ATATTCTTTATATTTAAAGTACATTTTTAAATTAATTAGAATTTTTATTAATTATTTTTATTTATAAAATAGTTATTATTTAAAAGGTAATAAAATATTCTATTTTATAAATATAGAATATTAAATAAAATAATATATTAAATTTTAAAATAATTTAAATATATTTAATATTTTATTTATTTTATTTTAAAGGAATATTAATATTTTAAAAAAGTTAATAAAGTTTATATAAATTAATTATAATTAATAAATATAATATAATATTAGATTTCTTTTAATAAATTAATAATATTTTAATTTATATAAGTTTAAAAGTATTTCTATAATATTATAAATAATAATAAAATTTAAATAATAATTTTTAATATAATTATTAATAAATTAAATAATAATAAAACTTATTTATTAAAAGTTATATTAACTTTATAAATACTTTTAATAAAATATATATAAAGATAAAAATATTATTATTACTTTAATTATAATAATAAGGATAACTATATAAATTAAAGAATAAACTTAAAATAATATTTTATATTAATTTAAAAGTTTTAATAAGTTTTATAATAAAAAAGAAAAAAGAATTATATACTTACTTTAAAATTTAAATAAAATAATATAATTAATATATTAAGTAACTCTTTTAAAAATTAAATATATTAAAAATCTTTAATTTAATTAAAATTAATATTTTTATTTTTAAATAATATAATAAAAATATATAATAGAATTTATATCTTTAATATTTATATTATACATAAAATTAAAAGTAAGAATATTAAGTTATATAAAAGTTTAAAGTTATTTTTAAAATATAATAATAAAAGAAAAAAATATTCTTATATAATTATTAATAATATAAAAGTTAATTAATACTTTTATTAATATTTATAATTATATTAATATATTCTTTTAAAATAATAATTATATTTTAAAATATTATATAAATATATTTATAGTTTAAATATAAATAAAAATTAATTTTAATATAATTATTAAAAGATTTAATATAAATATTTTTAAATATTATTATAAAGATTACTAAGCCTTTTATAATATTATAAAATTTAAAGTTTATTAACTTATTATATATTAAAATATTATATTAAAATTTTAATATAAAGATTTTTATATATAATATATATTTATTAATTATTAAATTAAAATATAAATAGAATAATTTTAATATTATAATAATATAAATAAATAATATTTTAAATTTAAATATTTTAAATTTATAAAGTTTTAATAAAAGATTAAAAAGTCTTTAAATATAAATTAAAATAAATATTAATATTTAATATTTTTAACTTTTATAAATTATATATTATTAAGGAAAATAATAATATTTATATATATTAAAAGTTAAAATATTAAGTTAAAATTAATTAATATTAAAATATTAAATTATATATAAAAATATATAGAATAATATATTTAAAAGTATATTTAATTTTATTTATTAATTAAAATAATATTTAACTTTTATAATAATATACTTATAAAATTATTTAAAAGATTATATTAAGTTAAATAAATATTTATAATAGTAAATTAATTATTTTAATTATAGATTTTAGTTTATATTAATAAATATTATTAAAGTTAAGTTTATAATCTTTATAAATAGATTGTTTATTAATAATATAAATTTTAGTTTATAGATTAGTTTTATAATTACTTTTTCTATTAAAAGATTTAATTAAAATAATATTTTTAAAATATAATAGATAATATTATTTATTAGTTCTTTATTAAATATAAAAGTTATTTAAAGTATATTAGTATTTAAGATTTATAATATAGTTAATAGTTTTAATATAAGTATTATATTTTTATTATATTTAAAAGTTATTAATTATTTAGAATTATTATAGGTTTTTATAGTTATTTATATAAATTTATTCTTTTTTATAAATATTTTATTAAATTTAAAATAATTAAAAGAAATAATTAATAATTAATATAATAGTACTTAATTAATTATATAAATATAAGGAGATTAATAAAATCTATTAGATTAATAATAAAAATAATTTAGTAAATATAATAATAAAAGTAATATTAAATAAAATATTAGAAAAGTTTATTTTTAATAATAAATTATAACTTTAAATATAAAGTTATATTAATTGAAAAGTATTAAATTTTATTAAACTTTAAATATAAATAATACTTAATATATTAAGGTATTTATTTTAATAAAATTAAAAGTTATTAGAATTTATAAATAAAATATTAAAAATAATTAAATTTATAAGTTAAAAATAGAAAATAATAATTAAAGAAGTTAATAAAAGATAAAAGTATAGAGTTATAATAAAATAAATTAATAAAAGTTTAGATTTATATTTTATAAGTTATTTATATTTAATAATTTATAAACTATATAATAGGTTTATAATTAGCTTTAAATTCCTTTTAAAAGTAAACTTTATAGTTAATATTTAAATTAATAATTTATATTAATAAGGTTAAAAAGTATATATATTATTTATTATTATATAGGTATTTAAGTTATTAGCTTATATTTTTATAAATATTTTTAGTTAAGTTTTATAATTATAATACTTATAATAATAAAAGAAAGAAAGTTAATTTAGTTTAAAGTTATTAAATTATTAAATTATTATATATTAAAGTTTTTAGATTTTAATTTATTTACTTACTTTATAAATAATAAGAGTTAAACCTATATATATATTTAAAATAAAAGCTTAAATTTTTAAATTAATATTTTTAATTAATAATTTTATTAAAATTAAAAACTTTATATAGGAAAATTAATATATTTATTTTAAATTATTAAATAAATAAACTATTTTAAAATATATAAATTAAATACTATTAATAATAACTTTAATTTTTAATATATACTTTTATTTAATAATATTTTAATAAAGGTAGTTACCCTTTTATTATAAATTAAAAAGATAAAGGTTTAAGTTTAACTTAATTTAAAGGATTTAAAGAAATTAGATTTTTTAAAGTAGTTATTTAACTACTTAATAAAAGATTATTAATATAAAAATAAAGGTAATTATAATTAATAGATAATTTAAGTTATATAACTTTAATTAATAAATTATAGTAAAGAATTTATTATTAGCTTTTTAAGTTTAGCTTCCTTTATTTTATATAAAAACTAATTAAACTACTTTTTATATATATATATATAATAATTTATATTAATATAAATAATAAATAATTATTTTAATTTAATTAATTTTAAAAATATATTTTATTTTATTTATTTAAGTTTTAACTATTTATTTATTATTTTAATATTAAAATTAAAAGAAATATAAATAGTTTATAACTATTATTTTTATAAATATTATTTTTATTATTTAATATATATATATATTAAAGATATTATTATTATTTAATAAAGATTAATTTTAATAATAATATTTAAAGAAGAGAATTATTAAATTTTATAGTTTTAAAATAAATAATTTACTATTTTAAAGTTTTTAAATAATTTATATGAGTTTATTTATTTAAAATTATATTTTTAAATAAGTTAAAATAATATTTTTAATATTTAATAAACTTTTATTTTAATTTACTTTTATATACTTTATACCTTTTTAATTTTATAATTATAACTTATTTTTATCTTTTAAATATTATTATTAATAAAAATATAATAAGGTTATAATTACTTTAAATATAGTATTTATTATTAAAAAAATAGTTTTTAATTATTATAAATAGATTTTAATTAAAGTCTTTTATAAAAATATTTAAAATAGTTTTCTTTTCTTTAAAAGTATTTTATAAAACTTTTAAAAATATTTTAATATATTTAAGTATTTAACTATTTAATAATATAAAAGAAAACTTTAAATATTATTATTTTAATTAAAAATATTATTTAATTTAATTATTAATTTTTTAAAAAAAATTTAAAACTTATTTATAATAAAAAATTAAATTATTAATAATATTAATTAAATTTTATATAATAAAAATACTATTAATTAAACTTTTTATATAAGAATTAAATTTATTATATTTATTTAAACTTTTATAATTATAATTAATAGTATATTTAAAAAGGGGGGGTGCTTAGGAACCTAATAATATACTTTAATACTTTATCGTAGATTACCTGCAATCTACCCTCATTTAGCGCATACATACATAGTGTTGTCGCCCAGTCGAGAACACCTTTCTTACCACCAGGTAGTAAGCCAACATCCACTCACCCAGCAATTATATCCACTCACCTAATTCCCACTAACTGCTCACTTAGTACAAGAATTTACATATAGGGCCCATATAAAACTATATACCTAACCAGGATTCTCTAAATTTTCAATACTTTCAATATAAGCCCCTTCTATATACCTTCTAGCACCCCTTCTAGCCTATATATATTTAGGTATTAACTAAGTATTTAAATATTAACTAAATGCTAAAGGGTTAAAAGTTAAGAAGGTAAAGGTAAAGACTATATACTTTCTAACCTTTTAGCCCTCTTTATAGCCTTCTAGCTCTCTAGACTTCTAGCCTTTTAACGTTTAGTTAGTATTTAAATACTTAGTTAGTACCTAAATATATATAGGTTAGAAGGTATGCTAAAAGGTGTACTAGAATAGGCTTATACTAAAAGTATTAAAATTAGAGAAGAAAATTATACTATAGGGTCTCTTAATACTAACTTAAAAAGTACTTATAAACATAAGGGAGTTGCTTAAAAAAATTAGTACTGGGTGAGCGGTCGGCGGGAACTGGGTGAGTGGATACAATTGCTGGGTGAGTGGACGTTAGCTCCCAGGCAGCCAATTAACCATATGATTCATTCCTGCGTCCCCGAGATCAGGGATGTAAGCGACCCCGATTGCAGACGCTGTGGAACCTCACGGGCGTTTTGCGTTTCCGCTTTGCCGCTAACCCCCAAAGTCGCCGATTACCTAGGTAACTAGATACTTGAATAAGTACTTGGATAGTTGCCCCGCCTCTGAACCTTCCTCCTGGACCGTCGGCTTTCACTTTCTTATTTCAATTTAGGACTGACTCCGCACATAAACCAACACAATTGTTCCACCGAATCAGTCTGTCTACAAACCCACTGCTGTTGCCACCAGGCTGAAACTAGTGTGCGGCAACGAGCTCCGAGTGCTCAATCATTCCCCAAAATTCTTTTGTTAGCGCAGCCTGGGAGTAAATGGCTCCTGTCTTACTAGACGAGGCTCCCGGGATGCCGCCCAGCCAGGGCAAGCAAAAGGAGCCCCCAACAAGGGCAGACCCTAAAGTCGTATCTATAGGTCCAGCTCCACTTGACCCAGTTCCTGCGTTCAATTCTCGGATGTACTTACAAATTGGGATACTCAGCGGCTTGGTGCAGTTAAAATTGGGTTATTGGCGAAATTTTGGTCAAAAAACTCATTGCATTCGGTCGCAAACCGGTGACACACATCACTATCTCAAGGCGGCCGCAAACCTTGCCCAGTTGTTTCCCCCAACGCTAGCGGCCCAGCCTCAGATTGGCGTCGAATCTGAGGACACCATCACGTCCATCTCTGGCAATTCTTACCGCAGACAAGAAGATCGACATCACTTCTCAATGGCTTCTGCCTTTGTATCACGGTCCAGCTCTACTATCAGTGGTTTTCCATATCCCAAAACATTCATGGCTGGCTTGAAGGACCCTGAAACCTCGGCACCTCCCGAAAACTTGGACGATGCTCATTCTGAATCACGGGCCAGCATGCCCATTCAAGATGTTGTGAGAGCCGGGGATCAACAGACTCAAAATCCACCAGAGCCCGAAATTCATTCACCTGAGTGGGAGTTCGGTGACGGGTGCTTCGGAATAGGTTTCAAATACAGGAGACCTGTGGACGCACAGGTCAAAAGTTCAACTCAACAACTCTATGTGAACATCGGTCTATTTCCCCGTGGTCACGTTACCCCTGTTGAGCGGCTTATTTTCGTGAGCAAACCGGAGTACCTATTCTGGAAGCTGCAGTGGGCCGCTTTCCGACTACGGGGGTGGACTGGGGCTTTGTTGTCTCTCAGGCATGTTCAGGAGTTCAAGCTATACCAGGTTCGTGGACTCCGTCCCCACCAGATTGTAAAACCCTTATCCGCGCCGTGGCCGTTCACTTTTGGTTGATAAATTGCTTGTTTTCACAGTGTGACGTACGTAATGGAAGCCATGAACGAGTCCAGATCGACGAGAAGGCCGCGGCCGATTTGCGGCTGCTTCTTTTATTATATCGGTGCTGGCATGTTCCGCCGAGTATCTCGCGGGAATGGGCGCGCTGGATTCATGAAGAGTTTAATTGTGGCTCTAATGACGTCCTACAGGGCCGTTTCTCCATCGAATTAGTGCTGGGCTGGTCATCAACGAGAATAACAATAGTTGTTCTGCTGCCAGTTCTGCTGAGCTTGGTAGTGGGTCTTTGGATGAACTCGCAAAATTGGACGGATTTGGCTACAATTCAGACGGCATGGGGGACTGCCTCGTACATCGTCACCGCAGGGGGCTGTAAGTTCTCTTTTTTCTTTGCTCCCTGTGCTGTGTATATCTTCGCAATTCCATATTAACTTGAAGGCTAATAAACATTAGTGACTGCGGCATTGCTGGGGATTCTTAGCAGCATTGTTGACAAATAGTTATTATTGTGTGCAAAGGATGGATTTTCGTGTGCGATTTGGGTAGCCCACACAGTAATGAGGACACATCGGGGAGGGTAATGCACTGATTTTCACATCTTATGGTGTCTTAGGCGAGTAACAGATTAACGAGAACCCCATTTATGAGTTATGAACTTTAGGAGATAGAAACGATTAGAAACTTCCTACAAGCTCACGAAAAAGAGTGACGTACTTCCTTGAGCTTGATTCACTACATTAGCACGCGGTAAGCCATCATGCAATTCGTAGCTGGCCAGTAACACTAACTCATACAATTGGTACAAGTTTAGCAGAGGCCTCATATCGGTATTTATCCTTATACCCCATATATATCAAGGCCTAACTGGGCTATATATGACTTTGACGGTTCCTGGGAACCTCTCTGCGAACCTTGTTTGCATCCATTGGACGATCGCTCCACATAACTTGGCTTCTTGTTCCATCATTGTTGTAAGCGGCGATCTTTGCACCTCAGAAAGACCAGTGCTCTCTTTTCAGGTTCTTCGAGCCTCAACTGTTCAAGACGAGCGATCTCAGAGTCACATAGCCTAAAGTAAAAAAAGTAAAACTTTATATTTATTATAATTTATTTAATATATTAATTTTATTATTATTATTAAGTTTTATTATAATTTATATTATATATTATATTTAAGAAAAAGAATTTAATATTAATAATTTTTATTTAAAAAATATAAATAATAATAAATAAAAAAAGTTTACTTTTATTATATAAATTATTACTTTTTATTTTAAATTATAACTTTTAAATATATTTAATTTTAAAAATAGAAATTCTTTTAATTATAATTATAAATATAACTTATTTAAAAATATAGTTCTTATAAATTTAACTTTAATATTTATATAATTATTAAATATTATAAAAATAAATATTATTTTATTTAAATAAAATTTTAAAATATAATAATAAGTTTTATAATTATAATTTTAATAGAAACTATTTATTATATAATAATAAGTAATATAAATTATTTAAAAATTATATTTATAAATATTATTATAAAAATTATAATAAATTAAAAGTTATTTTATACTTTATTTTTCTTTTATAAATATTTATTCTTTTATATTTTTAAAGAATAATAAGATATATATTTATCTATTTAAGTTTAAATAAATATAAATAAAATACTATTTTTATTAATAAAAAAGCTTTATAAATAAATTAATATTAATATTATTATAAAATATTTATTATTTAAAAATAAAAACTTTAAGAGTTTTAAAGTAATATATTAATTCTTTTATAAGTATAATTAATTAATAATTAATAAATTATTAAAGTTAAATTAATTAATTATTAATAGTTTATAATATATATAAAAAATAGATATTTATAAAGTAAAAATAGATAGTATAAAGTAACTTTTTAAAAATAAAACTTAATATTATAAGTTTAAAAGATATTTAATTTTAAGTAATAAAAATACTTAATAATATAATAAAAAAGTAAATAATTTAAAAGTATTATTTTTATAGTTTTAAATTTAATATTTATATAATTATATATATTATTATAAAAATATAGTTTTATTAAAATAAATATTAAAATATTATAATAATTTTTAATAACTTTATTTTTAATATATAATATTAATTAAATAATAATAAATAATAAAACTTTATTAAAAGAATATTTATAAATATTATTTATATAAATTAAAATAATTAAAAGTTACTTTATATTATTTATTTTTACTTAATAAATATTTATTTTAATATATAAAAGTAATAATCTTAATTTCTTATTATATAAACTATAAAGTTATAAATTTAAATCTTAATATATTTTTATAAACCTTATAGATAAAAATAATATATATATAATATATATTTATAAAGTTTATAAAATATATTTTTAAATTCTTTATTATTTTAAATATATTTTAATATAGTTTATTTATTATAATATTATTATTAAAAGTTTAATATTTAATAAGATTAATAAATAATATATAGAATTATAATAAATATAAATATAAATTATAAAATATCAAATATAATTATAACTTTAATAATATATAAAATAATAATATAAAATATTTATTATTATATTATACTTTATAAAAATTATATATATTATAAAGAAGAATTAAATAAAATATTTACTACTATAAAATATATTTATTACTCCTATTAACCCTTTATAATATATATTTTTAAGCATTAAATATAAGCTTACACTATTATATTAAACAATATACACTAAGTTATATTTAAAACTCTTTATACCTTAATATAAAGGAGCTAATATCCACTCACCCAGCAATTATATCCACTTACCCAATTCCTACTAACCGCTTACTTAATATTCATTTTTTTAAATAACTCTCTTATATTTATAAATACCTTTTAAATTAATATTAAAAGACTCTATAATATAATTTCCTTCTCTAATTTTCAATACTTTAAATATAAATACCTTCTAGCACACCTTCTAACATACCTTCTAACCTATATATATTTAAATATTAATTAAGTATTTAAATATTAATTAAATACTAAAAGGCTAAAAGTTAAGAAGGTAAAGGTAAAGATTATACTCTTTCTAACCTTCTAATACCCCTTTTAACCCTTTAGTATATTAAATTTCTAACCTTCTAATATTTAGTTAATATTTAAATACTTAATTAATATCTAAATGTATATAGGCTAGAAGGCTTAGAAGGTGAAGGTAAAGGGTTCTAGAAGGTAAAGGTAAAGGGTCTTAAAAGGTAAAGGTAAAGGGTCCTAGAAAGGGTGTTAAAAGGGGTCTAAAAGGGGCTTATATTAAAAGTATTGAAAATTTAGAGAATCCTAGTTAGGTATATAGTTTTATATAGGCCCTATATGTAAATTCTTGTACTAGGTGAGTAGTTAAAAAAACTAGGTGAGTAGATATAATTACTGGGTGAGTGGACATTAGCTCCTTTAATATCTCCTTAATTAAAGAATAATTAGTTAGGTTATAATAAAGAATACTTTTTAATAATACTATAATCTACTGCTCTTCGCTGTTAATTGAATCCTCTAGCCTTTTCTTAAAATACATGGCTTCTAAAGGTATGTTGAGCTGTATACTGGCTAATATATCTTCGGCACTACCAGCATTATTGTCAAATAAGGTAGAATCACTATCACCCAACTCGGAACCCCCGTCGTCGCTGTCGTACGTCTCCCCCGGTGAAGATAGACCTCTGTCCAGGACTTCCTCATCCTCGGCACCATAGATTCTTTTAGAGCTAGATTCAAAATAGCGGGACCCTCGTCTCCAGGCACAGAACATCTCTTCGAGAAGTGGGCCGACTACTTCTGTAAGTTGGATGAGATGCCTATCGTCGAGTGTTTCACCTCCACTGAACATGTGTGATACCGAGAAGAGACTTGAACCAGTCAGAAGCTCAAAGGCTAGACATCCAAAACTCCAGATTTCAATACCTGTCCCAATGGTTTGCAGCCTTAGGATTGTTTCTGGTGCCCTGAGGGCATCCGGAGTAACAATATTTTCTGGTGCCTCCCTAAAGCGAAATGCTGTGTTTCATTATTAGTGTCTTGTTCCTGACTACTTTCATAGATTCGGGGGGCGTTGAATTATACTGACATCCACCAATGTCTGTTAGCTTAGCAACTGGGCCGAACCCACTGAAGATATATGTCCGAAGATCTGACCTAAGCAGATATGGAGGTGGACATATGTCCTTTTTACCATCAAGCCGCCCTAAGGGGCTTCCTTGATCCTCATATTGACGTAATTCAACCCGGGAGTCATACTCAGGAAGGAGGATATTCAGGAGGATGTTTCCCATATGAGGATCTCCATGTACGATCTCGCGGCTATGCAAGAATTGTAAACCATGTAGTGTCGCCCTGAGAACATCTTTTGCGAGGTGCGTTGGCAACCGATGGCAGAAGTCGTCATCAAGAGGATGTCCTACCATAAACTCTTGCGATCGGAGGAGTTCAACTAGGTTGAGGCCCATGACTTCAAGCACGATACATGTGTGCTGGCCGTTGGGGCCGGTCAGTTCAAATGAACTGAGTAGTTCAACGAGATAGGCTACATTCGAATCCTCCGCCGTCGAAGTCGCTAGGGCTTTATATAAACTGATTTCAGACTGCGCGGACTGACTTGCGCGGGCCATGAGTATCTTGATGGCTACGAAAGTTCTTGACCTTCAGGTTGGGTGTTAGTTGTCAGACGACAAGGAAGGTTTCGGTTGAGGGGGTGCACAGAGTGAGCTACTTACCTGCTGTCAGCAGCGAGCCAAACAGTGGAGAACGCGCCGTATCCAAGCTTGCAAAGGATTTCATAACGATCTTCCAAAACGTCACCGATTCGTACTGGGTGCAGTCCCGAGGGACGATACGACTCGCCCCATTCACAAGGAGTGCCATTTTCATGGAAACGAAGCCCTCCATTGCTGCCAGTGGCATCTTTGGGTATCGTTGCAGATGGCATAGGTGGGCGGTCTGACATTCCCAAACTTGTCATTGTGTTCATGGCTGTTGGTGACTACTAGAATGAATTTTAGCTGAATGCCTGGCATGGAGCACCAGACCTGAAAAAGGAGCTCAATATCCTAGATATCATGCTATGGGAACTTTCTATACGTTGTCGCTCCTCATTAGGCAGCAAGGTCCTCGTTCGACTTGTAGGGCATAAGCACGGGTGGGGTGATGAGTAAGTAACTACCTAGGTAGTTAGGTTGTCCGGTTGCCTGTTCTCAAGGCCCTCGGCCAATATCCAGTATGCCAGAAAACAGACGGTGTGTAGTTGAGAATACAGTTTCTAACCTTTCGATTCACCTTGGACAAAAGAGGTCCTTTCCAAAGCATCAACCAGTAACTACGGTCAAATTTGCAGCTTACTGGTACTCATCTACGCCACGTCCCAATGTTTATACAAGTTAAACCGTGGTATACCGGGAATGGTAATATAGTAGAATGAACTTGCCCCTCATGCTAGTAGGTGCAGGATTAACTGAAGGTCCTATCCCCGGGTAGAGGTAGCGGGAACAGATTGCAAAGCTGGGTGACCAAATGTTCAAGCACGTTGAGTTTCTCCTGGACGTTGTTCCCCTTGATAAGATGTTCGGTGGTTTCCCCAAACATCTTCCACACAGGTATGTACTTGTTGTCGGCCCACTGGTCGCTGCGTATGTTATTAAAGGCCCGTTCCATATGTGCTCTAGCCTCTAACATCTCGCGATAGCGCGAGAACTTGGCGTGGCTCGGCGTCCCGGTAGCATGGCACGACTTGACCACCTCGGTGCAGTATATAATGAGGGACGCGAGACCGGCGGCAAGCGCCGTCGCAACCGATGAGCCGTCGTGATAGTCGACCGGCTTGGGCAGCCGGGGGTTCCACAAGTCGGCTACCTGGTTGCCCGGGAAGTAGTAGAGGATGCGAGTCTTGTCCTCGGTCGTGGCGTCCTGCTGGCCGTACTTCATTGCCGCCCCGATTCGGAAGATATGGTCCGGCGCCTGGTTGAATGGCAGCATCTCCATGCTGTTGGCTTCGATATTGTCGCTGGCCGAGCAAAACATTAGCACCTTCTTCTCGGCGGCGAATTTGACGGCATCCTGGAGCTTTTTGATGTCCTGCGCCTTCTTGGTCTCCGGCGCGCTCTTGTTGCCCCCCGGCACGTCTGTCACACTACTCTGGGCCGCCGATTGGGCTGTGGGCTTGCTCGCCAAGTCGGCGATTGTCCATGACATGGAAATGATGTTCACGCCCCTCATGACAGCCGCACGTATTGCCTCGGCGGCGCTCTCGGGGTCGATCACGCGGCCCTTGCCGTCATTGCCGGATCGGAGCCGCATGGAGTATATGGTCGACCAGGGGTTAATGCGCAAGATCATGTTGGCCATGGTCGTACCGTGGTGGTTGCTGGACTGGTACCAGGGCCCCTCGCAGAAGCTCACGCCTCTGACAGTCATGAATTCTCGACCGTTGACTTTGAGGTCCGCGATCTTAGTTGGATCGACACCGTCGTCTATCAAGCCAACCTATGAAATGACAGTGCCGGTCAGTTGCCATTGCTATCTGGTCGGGGGCCACCGCGGGCCAAATACGTACTTTGACGGGAGAAGGACTAGATTTAAATCGTTGATACTGCTCCAATTCTCCGTGAAAGGACATGAGCGCCCCTCTGAATCTGTCCATCTTCTGCACCCAAATATGCTGGTTGGGCTTTTGAGATGTGGTCTCGGAGTCTGTCGTCGTATCGCCACCGTCATCTGGGGCATTCACATGGTTGGACACCCATTTAACGTGAACGTCGAATCCGGTTCCTGTTCGGTTCTGATTTTCGCCAGACGTGGCAGTTTCTTCGCGATGATGAGCCATTACTATCTGCTTTTTGAACTGCTCAATAAGCTCGGTTGCTCGTTCGCGGGTCTCTCCTCCCTGGAACAAATTCCAGTCAGCATTTTGCATTTACACTTTGAAATCCTGCCGAAGAAGGAGTAGAGTAGAAATGGATGATGGAACACAAGTCACGATTGGGACTTATGTGACAGAGTGTGAATTCGTACCGGACAAGCATGGACAACAATCCTTTCCAGACCCACAAGCTCCTTGAGTCGTGTGGCGCAACTCCAAGCCTCCAATATGGTGGAGTTGCCGCTCCAGTAGAGATTGATTTCTTTAACTTCGGGCGCCGCGAATGCAATGACATCAAGACTCAAATCGAGTTTTCGCCAATCCCTAGTAGTATGAATAAAGAAGCCGAGACAGTAAATAAATGTTCTCGTCTCTGGAGTATAATGGGGAGGAGAGAAGGGAAACGAGGTGAGAAACTTTGAATTGGTGGGCCTATCTGACTTACCATTGTTCCACTGATATCGGCCTCCTGATGTGCTTGTCGTTGTTGCAATAGGCCTGTCTTCCGAAAATAGACTGCTCGATGGTGGCATCTGTGTGGGATGGATGCTCCCTGTCCTCCACCTCCAGCCGCACAATGCTGGTGACTTCGAGCTTTGAGAGTTCATCGAACACTTCCAACAGGCCGGTGCGCCCGGCTGCTTGGCTCTCCAACTTGTTGGTGAGGGTGATCTTCTGGTTCATGGGGTATCTTTTCTTAGGCCTAGGATTCGAAGCCTCGGGCTGCGTATGGCTGATAGTGGGAAGCTTGACCAAAGACAGAATTTTGTCGAACCCGCCCGCTTTACCTAGTTTCTGCAATAGGCGGACGATGTTCTGGGAAGTATCGTTTTGGTAGTTCATTGCGTTGAACGACATGTTCGTATCTGAACTCATCAGCTGCAGTTACTCGGAACTTTCTTTTCTTTTTGATTTTTTTTTTGGGGGGGAGGGGGGGGGGGCTGCATAATCTTGAGAACGTGTAGACCTGTGGGTCAACTGCACCAACCTTTCGTCTTCCCATATATCAATTGTCGGGCTCTCATCTCTGATCTCGCTCCCATATAGTGTCGCTTGACAATTTTCGCGACCTCATCGGGAAACCAGTCATCCGGAAGAGAAAAGTGTGGAGATGGAGCCATGAGCGGGTTCGTTGCGGCCTTCGCGGCGGGCGGCTGCGTCCGGGTTTGGTTCATGGCGTTAAATTTAGACTCTGTATAAAATTCAAAAGTTGGAAATTGTTAAAATGCAACGTGGGTATGAGTACGGATCACGGGAAGCGGGCGACACGTACGTGAGGTTGCATGGTCGACGGAAGGAGGCTGGGGAACACGTGCTCCTCCGAGATTCAATCTCGGAGCCGTAGATGGTTTTTGAAATTCCAACTGGGTTGGCTTGCTCTCCTTTTGTGTATGGGATCCATTGTCGCGTCTCATTGCCAGAGCGCCCGAGTCTAATTTTTCGCTTTGAATTTGGGCGTTCTTCGTGGCCAGGTCATCGTCCTTCTTTGGATCCTGCTTCTTCTTTATCACCTCCTCGTTTCTCGCCACTTCTGCCGCCTGGATGTGAGACAGTGACCCCGTCGTCTTTATCGTGGCCCGAACGGAGCTCACGAACTCATCTTTGGTGCGTTGATAGTAGAGGTACGGTGACTCATCCTGTTTGTTGAACTCGCTGTTCTCCTGGTTGAGTTTGTCTGTCTGTTCCAGAATCCATCCAACCATGTTGGTATACATCTGCCGACTTTTCTTGGGTACATCGGAAAGTCGCTTGTAGCTAAGCGCGTAGTGAAGCGGGGTGTTTCCATGGTCGTCCTTTGCCACCAAGGACTCGGGCAATATGGAGTCGTTCAGCGCATGCAAGATTCCGTGCTGGAAAGCCAGGTGCGCGGCGTTGGATCCGGATTTGTCCGTCTCGTGTACTAGTTCAGGATACCCTTTAGACGAGCAACTGCGAATGCACTGGATGAAGGCTAAGTTCTTGTACTGGATCGCGAGGATCAGGACTGGCTTGGGAGCCGGGCTGTCTGGCTCTCTGAAACTCGGCCCTTGGGTGCTATCGGCTTTGTGTTCCAAAATATGGCAGATGACCGGCCTTAGAATCTGCTTCTTGCTGGCCTGGTCGCAGAGACCTGGCTCCCTAGCCAGAGAATGAAGCACTGTGGGAATGCGTTCTTGAGGCCTAGTTAGAGTTAGCCATCCCTTTAGTTGTTCAATGGTGGGCTTTTTGGTGTCGTCGGGCGCTTCGTTCCACTCCCGTCCTCCTTTGATGAAACAATCCATGACCTCCCTGCATCTTTCGTGGACAGACTTCGCAGACATTTCGTTCTCTACATTTTGTCCAGACTGTGCCCTCTCATCCTCCAAGTCGTCGAAGCTGAATCCCCAGGTGACCCCGGTCATGTTCACTGTCGTGGTAGTTACTAGTAGTGAGTGCACCACAGAATCATCACTGACCTTTCTCCAGGTGGACAACAGCGGAGCCTGTCTACCAATGCAGGAATGATATATAAACTGCACCTCGAAGGATGCGGCACCAAAAAGTTTCTGCATAATTATGTCGGCTCGGAGCATCGAATTGAAGTGCAGAGGGCTGCGGTACGGTGAGGTTTTATTCGCTGCTGACATGTACCCCGCCGAAGCCACATTCTGCTGTGTAGCCGCTGCGACTAGGATCGGGACATCTGGAGTGTCAGCTGGGAACCCTCGCGTGCTGCACGGAGTATGTCTCGCGGGCTTTGGATTACGCGAACGGGCTACGCGACACTGGCTGTCACAAAGTGATATCGGGTACATGCAAGTGACATTCGTATAGCTTGACCGACCCACCTCCTCATATGCATCTCTTTAGCCGGACGAATAAAAGGTGGAAGATAAAACAAGGCAACAGAAAGAGAAGGGCGGCAGCCATGCAGCCCATGTGCTACTTCAACCCAAGGAAGGCGGACTGAAAGGGGGCTTATGTTGCCTTGTCTGACCCTGCAGCTTCTCTTGCCACGCTATCGGTTGCCTTGGACGGCTTGATCGGCTGGCCGAAGCGATTGTAAAGAGTGATGTCCCAGAGGGTGTCCAGATCAACCGCGCCAAGGTTCTCGGGGTCGATCTCGACATTGATCTCCTTCTCGTCAATGAACGGCTCATACTCGGGGTCGAACGTGATGGGGTCGTCAGGAGCCTCCGAGGTTAAGACGGCGCAGAGTCTTGACTTGCGATCCACCTTGACCTCAATGGAGGGGACACACACGAACTCGGCCTGGTCGTCTCTCCTAAGCAGTATCACCACGCGCAGGAACGTGGGAATTCCGTTCTCCTGTGAGCTGTTCTCCACCAAGGACCACCTCGTGATCAAGCAGTCGCCGTACTCGTTCGCCGGGGTGCTTCCAACCACGTCCGTGTAGTGGGTGGTGGTTTTCGCGGTAGTTCTGCTGGGAGTAATCTTCGCTCCAATACCTGAGCCCGCGATTTTGGCGTCGAGGGACCCCTCCGCGGCCAAGCCCCTCGTGTTATTCTCCTCCGTGTCCCCCATTTTGTGCGTCCCCATCGGCTTGACCGCGGCTACCAGTGGCCCGGCGCTGTTGCCCTTTCCCGGCTGGAAGAGGAAATCAATATCAGCCCTCATTATGCGAGCCGACGAGCGGTGCGTGGCGAACTCGAAGTCGTATACGAGAAGAGTTGCCGGCTTGCCGGAGGTCTGGTCCAAGGTTCCGTGGACGATGGCTCTGGCCGTCGCATCGATCGAGAATCGGGAGCGCCTCTTGGCCCCGCGACTTGTGACTTTCATTCTCTGTTTCTCGTCCGGCTTGTTGCGGGTATGGAAGTCTGCTGGAGTGTCAAATACGCCATTCTCAAGCAGATTTGACGTAATTTATTAGCGAGCTCGCATACCCCCTGACACTCCCTCGTAGGTTAGTTGGAGCTTGAAAGATGTTCGATCCAGAGGACCATCTTGTCCCTCCTCCTCCTCGCCACCGCTAATCCAGAGATCATTGGCATCGTCCATTTCTGTCAAGTAGTCGCCAATTGATAGCAGCAAAACCAGCAAGATTATATTCCGGGATTCGGATTGAGTACAGGGAGACAGCAACGCAATCCCGCGCTGCTCTCCGATCGGCTTTTAATACCCTGAGTGCTTGGAGGTGTTTGACCGTTGTACACAGGCCCTGCATAAGGAGTGTTCAGCTCTGAACAGAGGCTTAATACTGAGTGGCTACCTTAGGGTATGTTGTGTGACCAAGGCCACTTGAAAATACGAGAATCAGTGGCTTTTCGAACCGAGAAATGGAAGAAAAGTTGCACATGTGGCGATTCAATGCATAAGGCCTGAAGGCTCGGCAATATCCGCTGCACGCAATGCACCATTTGCTCTTCTGATTGGGTGCGTGATACATGTAGAGGTTCACCGCGGTACATCGGAGTTCAGCGCCGAGACAACCTACTTAGCCGAGCATCCATCCAGACGTGCTGTGGATGACCGTGGAGGTTGAAGGTTCCGACAAAAGTGGCCCCACCTGGGCAGCTTTCTTTGAGTTTAACCAAGACGCGTTTACCTGACGCATTCTCCCGGCTTTCTCAGCCTGAAGAACACGAGCAGGTGATCTTTCGGGAACTTCAATGTTCGTTTGAATTAATCGACCTCTTAGTCTCGAATTATTTTTCTGAAAAAGCTGATATTCGCTTTTCGGTCATCCAGGCGTCCAAATGACCGACTCTGTAGACACCAGAGCTCTGGATGCCGCCAGCGCGCTGGACGAAGCTCCCCAAGACGAGGCGGCACCGTCACATAGAGACAATACTGTTCATATACCTGAAGACAATTGGTATGGCGGGCTGAAACTGATTTCCACCTTGGAACTCGATGGCGCTTCCTCAGAAGACGGATATCCGGATATTGAGTATGTGCCGACTGGTGAATCTCAAGTGAGAAGTTGAGGAGACTGACGAGTTCTCAGTGTCGTCCATGTGACCGGAATGTTTGGCGAAGAACAAAAGCTGCGTATCCACTCAATTATCAACTTCAAAACCTTGTGCAGAGAGTTCATGTTTATCTGCAATGTCGCGCATTTTCTTCTTGGGGATTTCACGCGAGAGGCAATTGAGACCGTGGCCCTTCGTCTGCTGGACAGCCTGGTCCGCCTGGAGGATAAAGATACTTCGGTTGGTGTACAGGAGCCATCTATTCAAAAGAATCTAATGATCTCTGATACTTGTACTATGAGTAGGAGAGAACCAGGCCGCCGAACCGTGCCATCGTCTTTGTGGCCTATGATCTCGGGGCCGTGATCCTCAAGAAGGTAAAGTTTTAAGACCAGCAGTAATGAGGAGCTCGTCCTAATGCGAACGGCTGCGCAAGGCCCTTTCTATAGCATCAAGAGACATATATAAATGGCCCGACAGATGTAGAAACTCGGCAAGGGTGGTACGTACAAGACCTATGTAGCCTCCCCGCAGGTGCTCGACGAAGGCATAGGTCTGATTGACAGCGAATTCGCTCAGATTTTCTATGGTGCTCCCCAGCGAAGCGACAGCCTTCGTGTCATGGAGGCCAAGTTGTTCCAGTTTCTGCGCGATCGCGAAGCTGATTCTTGGAGGAACATGCTCACGCCATCATCCATCAGAAGGCTTGCCCAAGCAACGCTGGGATCAACGGAGGAGTTCCTGTCCTCCAAATTCACGCTACGGGGCTCCATAATGAGCTTGTATGCACATGCAGAGAGCCCTCGCAGCATAAACCCTGTAAGCTCGCATGCTCCCTGTTCGTAAGGCACGCACGTGGCGGCTGCTGATGAATTCCTCAAAGGTGTTTGACGAGGCCACGGCCACTTTGGGTGTGCCGCGGGAGATTTCACTACGAGAGCAGGGCCAGGACGACGATGACGCATTCCCTACTCTGGCCACCAAGATGTGTCAGTATGTCGAGTGTAGGTTCACCCTTGCGTTTGGCCGCCGGTACGTCGAGTGCTAACCAGTCCTCCCAAGACTGGGTTGCCAAGCCGGATTGGGTGCGTGTCGAGGAGGCTCTGCTTTCCATGTCGGCCCCTCCTGGCCGGTTCAAAACTATCAAGCGCTTGAATTTCCACCCAACCGTGAACGATAAGCACGATATATGGGTCAAGGAGCGGGGTCATAGCTTAATGTACATCCACGGCACAAACAGAGCTGCTGTAACGAGCGCGGCCGAGCAGCTCATCGCGGTATGGAAAGAGGATCAGAAAGAGAGGTTCAGCAGCCCGTACGACGTGTGGTCCTTCACATTTTCTTCCAAGGATCCTCTGCGCAACTCGGCCTCCTGCATGGCTCTCAGTCTGATCACTCGGGATCTCATCTCCAGCCGCGATGATATCCTCTATCTCCTGGTCGAGGACCAGTTCCGCCTGCAGAATGGGTGGGGCGAACAGGAAGCGCTGAAGTGGCTAATGTGCGGATGGTGGCCGTCCACGAGGGCCGGCGTCTGCGTCCTGCTCCAGGACTTCGACGAGTGCGACGAGCAGAGCCGGGACGCCTTCCTCAAGCTTTTCAAGCTCAAAGCCGAGGGCAGAGAAGACACGCTTAAGCTTCTAGTGACGTCTCGAGTGCCGAGCGCCCTCACGAGCGAGCTGAACGGCTGTGCAGAGCTGAATATTGACCGGACTGACACTGACATTCCAAAGCCTCCAGTGAGTGGAAACGAAGTAGCAAATCCCGGTGCTTCACCACATGACCCGGTCGATTCGCTGGCGTATCTATGCCCGACTAGTACTTACGGGGCAAGACTCACGAAAGCCCTAAAACAGCTGGAAGCAATGGGCGCCGACAGGTCGGGCCACCTTCTGGAGCTCGCCCAGAAGCACTCGGCCTGGAGTGAGGAGCCTTCCACTAGCTCGCTGACCAAGTTTCTGGATCTCATAGAGTGCGTATCCCCGTCAACGACCGGGGCTGACATTGTGGCTCGGATCATGAATACTTTGCCTAACGTTGGGGCTGCACGGTGGATCCTCAAATGGCTGCTGAACAGCCAACGACCCCTGTTGATAGGCGAGCTCGCCACCATTCTCTATCTCCAGCCGAAAGAAGGCACAATTATGTCGTCCGAGACGACGCTTGGAGACATAATCCAAGCCATTGACAATATTTCCGATTGGTTTAGGGGTCTCATCGACATTAACTGCGATCAGGTGCTAGTACGGGATTTTGTCTGGAGCATGTTGAAGGACAACAAAGGCGTGGAGCAGCACTTCTTGACAGATATTGGCGACCAGGCGCACTCGAGCATCCTCGATTTCTGCTTTAATTATCTTGGCGACTCGAATGTGCAAAGACGGGCCATTTCCAACTATGAACCGTACCTCGCGCGGGTTCAAGCAGCAGGCGACAGCATCTACCCCCCCATGATCTCCAACGGGAGAGATCCGCTTTCATACATCGTCATGGCCTTCCCGCATCATTTATCACGCGCTCCCGGGGGCCGGGGCAAGCTCTCAGGGCTGCTACTGAAAGACCAGAATGGGCCTCTGGAACTGTGGTCGAAGCTGTGGTGGGCAATGAGCAGCCCTCTGACAAGACCGAGGAGGCCGTGCCCGTCTGCCTATCTAACACTCGCCGGCCTCGGTCTTGCTGATTACCGCCAGCCGCTTATTTCGAATGAAGAAAGGTGGGGAATCCTTGTGCAGGCCGCGAGGAACAACAACAAGGAGATAGTGATAGACCTGCTTCGCACCGAGAAGGACTGCCCGCTCTCCACACTCACCGATGCCCTTGAGGGGGCAACTAAGGCTGGCTCCGAAGAGATGGCGCTCTCGATCATGGCTAAGGTGCTCCCGCACCGACAACAGGCCGTACAGCAGCAGCCCCTTGAGGCCCGGGTGAATACCCCTTGGCCCCCCTGTCTGCTTTGGAGAGCGACGTGGCTCAACATGACCGATCTTATGGAATCGCTCCTGAACAATGACATGGAGGCAGATCCTAAGGGTATATTCGGGAGGCTTTTTCCTTCGCCGCTGTACATGGCGTCGCGGGTCGGAAACGCCGCCGCCGTCGACATGCTGCTGGAGGCCGGCGCTGACACCGCCGTGCTGAGGGCTGACAAGTACAGCTCCCTGATCGCGGCCGCTGGCCATATAGAAGTTATCAATATACTGGTGCCTAAGGCACGCAAGCTGCTGGAAATGGGACAACTGTATAGGCCGCTCGGAATCGCGACGGTCGACGCCGAGTGGAGGGCGGCAACCGCCCTCCTCGACCTCGGGGCCGATCCGGATGTCGGCATCAAGCCCAACGACGATGTCGAATACGGATTCTGGGCCCCCCTCTGCTCGGCCGCCTCCTGGGGCCATATTAAGACGGTTCAGGCGCTGCTCGAGCACGGCGCCGATGCCAACGTGCAAGGCCCCTGGAACCAGGACACGCCCCTCTGGTTCGCCACCATTGGCTCCGCCAGTGTTCCTTGCTGCCGAGCCCTCCTCGACCACAAGGCAGATCCGAACCACAAGCTATTGAGTCCGCCCCTTATGATCGACCTCGTGAACTCAGAGCGATCTAGCGAGGAGGTCATTGCTGTCTCGGAGCTATTAGTGAGCCACAGGCCCCCCATTGATGTTGAAAAGGCCGACTCGGCTGGCCGGACTGCCCTCATGCACGCGTCGAGGAGCAGCGATCCAGCCCTGGTCAAGTGGTTGCTTGAGCACGGCGCTTACGCCAACTCTGTGGACGACAAAGGGTGGACGCCGCTGTTCCATGCCACTGAAGCTGGGCGGCTCGAGACGGTCGAGGAGCTGCTCCAGTCCAAGTGGAAGCCAAACCTCATGCTCACCGCCCCCAAAGAGGGTGGAAAGTCTCTCCTTCAGGTGGCGTTTGAGGCAGGCAACAACCAGCTAATCAAGAGGCTGCTTGAGGCCGGAGCCGATCCCGAGCTTGAGCTGGTCGACCGCTTGACGCTCATAAACGTCGCCACAAAAGCGGGCGAGACCGAGGTTGTGAAGATGCTGATCGAGCACAAGGTGGATCTCGACCACGCCGACCGGTTCGGGTGGACCCCGATGTGCGAAGTCGTTGGCTACAAGCCCAATGCCAAAATCGCGCGGCTCCTGGTAGACGCCGGTGCCAATGTCGGACATATAATGGAGAATAGCGGCAGGAACCTCATGCACCTCGCCATGGGACAAGGGGATCCTGAGGTTATCCGCATCCTCTTCGAGTTCCCCAAGGCCATCGACATAGACCACTGCGACAACTGGGGCTACACGCCTCTCTTTTGCGGCCAGAAGCCCGAGGCTGTCAGGCTGCTGATTAGGGCTGGGGCTAATTTCAACGCGCAGAACTCGAAGGGGGTGACACCACTGATCTACGCCATAGAAAACAAAGCGCCTCTCGAGACCGTTGACCTCTACCTGTCCCAGCCGCAGTTGGACCTCGCAGTCTGCTCCAAGAGTGTGGGCAGCGCTCTGCACATGGCCTGCCGCATGCTCAACGGCGACGCCGTCAATAAGCTGGTCGCCCAGGGAGCCGACGTCAATCTTCAAGCACCCGTGGTCGGCTCGTCGCCGCTTATTAGCGCCTGCGCACCCGTGTATTGGATGACCGCGGAGCAGCGCGGCAGTGTTGACGAGATCGTGAGCGTCCTGCTCGGGGCCGGCGCCGACGTCAACGCCGTCGCCGCCGGCGCCCGGTACACCTTTTGCACTGCCCTGAGCGCTGCCGCGTTCTGGGCCAAGCCATCGACCATCAAGATGTTGCTGGACCACGGCGCTGACGCCGGCTTGCAAGACCGGCTCGGGAGGCAGGCCATCCACTTCGCCGCCGCCAACGGCGCCGACAACCTGCGAGCGGTGCTGGGCGGCCACCAGGGCAGCGTTGCCGTTGCAGACTGCTTCGGCAAGACGGCTCTGCACTGGGCGGCGCAGCTGGGGCGGCTAAAGGCGCTGGAGATGCTCCTGTTGGCCATGGACAGGCGCGAGCGCCTGCGTTGCGTGGACGAGCCGGATGTTGACGGCTGGACGCCGCTGTGCTGGGCGATGCGAATCTTCACCATTGAGTCGATGAGCTTTGTGGGCAAGGGTTCCGACTATAAGGGCGTGGTGCAGTGCCTGCTCAACAACGGAGCCGACCCGCACGTTCAGTGCCATGTGCGCCAGGGAGAGGAACAAGAAACCTTTACGCTGCTCCAGCTCGCCCATCTGTACAATGTCGACGACTGCATCATGGCCGTGGTCCGGGACAGCTTGAACGGTCAGACGGGGGCTTCCGCTGCCCAGAGCAAGACCGAAGAGGCCGCTACTAAGCAGTACACACGTTCCGACTTGATTTGTGATGTTTGCTTTTGTGTAGGTTTACCGCGCCTAGTTTGGCTTTGTCCTTTTGTTCTTTCATTTCCGTCAAAAAAAGAAAACCATCACTATACCTCTAGCTAATCTCTGCCCCTGTTTTCCCCCGCAGCAAATCTATGGACTTGGGTACGCCTGTAGCGCGTGTGATGATTTCGACGTCTGCAAAAAGTGCTATGGCCGAATCGATGACTATCACGGAAGCTTTGAGGGAGACGAGGGAGCGATGCACACATTCAGCGCCCGTACAGACAGAGATGAGTTTGTGCAGGCATCGGAACTCGCGCCGAAACCAAAGATTGCAGAAGACACGACGGATATCGAGCAAAGGGGCGAGGAAGGAGTTTCCGTGAACCCTGCAGACAGTAGAACCGGGCAACCAGAAAGCACGAAGGAGGGCGACGAAGACAACAACAATGAAGACGACGAAGAGGGTTGGGGGAACCAGGTGGAAGAGGATTTCGACTTCTTCACGCGACCTTAACACAATTAGAAAATTAGCCACGCTTGCTGTCAGGCAGCCGAAAAATCCTACTTTGCCCCTTGGTAACTAGTCCAGTTTGACCGAACATTGCATGTGAAAGTTCCCCGTACAAATCAAACAGTTTAGCGGGTCATTTAATATTTTTAAACTCGCTATTATTTATAAGTACTAGAAAGAATTTAATATTAAATATTTAGTATAGAATAAAAGACTTATAAGTAGAGTTTAAATTCTTATATATTATAGTATAGCCACTTTATATATATTATACCTAATTATAAGATAGTTAGCATCTCCCTTGTCCAACCTATACAGCCTAGTAAGCATGGGTAGGGGGGTGAGTAAGGACCCAGGACCACGCGACGCCGTTTTCCAACATTTGAAGTTATGCATACATGCACCTATGCGGATGTATTGGTGCGATCATGCATTGGGGGGGCCTGTTGGAACGTGCCTCTAGTTGGGTGCCTGGTGCTGCCTATATTGTTTTCCCCCAAGCTGAACGCCACGCGCATTGGAAGATTTAAATGACATCCTCTCTTCCGTGGTCTCTTTGATGAACAGTAACTTGAATTCACAACACAACATCTACCCTTCATGCGTCGGCTGATAAGTTGTGCCCAGACGTTGTTTTGCCTAGCATCACACTCCTCTGCAACCGGTGCCATGCCGCGGGGCACGGAGCGTCGAGGCTCTGGTCCAAAACCAGTCGACACATCTAACGACAGCGAAGCTGCTGCTGTCGAGCAAGGCCCGGTCCAAGGAACAAGCATGAACGACCAGGAGCTCTTGAACGATTTGCTAGGTTTCCTCGACAAGAGAATGCATGAAGACACGCTGAGCCCCAGGCGGCGTGAGAGCATCCAGCTGACTCGCAACTTCGTCAAAGAGCATGGCTACCCTTGGAAGACTACTGCATATATGCATGGGCAACTCATGGTATCGTCAAAGTCTTGTCGGACGATGAGACAGGTTCCCTGCCGAAGACGGTAGAGCATGCCTCGGACAGCTACTTGCTTGTGAGTAGCGACATGCCCGACCCGCTATTGCAACCCTGGGAACGTTTGTCGTTGCTGACGGCTCTCATTATTAGGGCGCACCTGAGATCGACCTGCGGACTTTCATTTAATGTTTGCTGGTGAAGAACCGGGTTGATGAACTTAAAGTTGAACAAAACATGAAATATGGGTGGGTAGTTGGAATTGATGGGGCAGTTGGGCACGACCGAGACAAAGCCATGGGAGAAACGGGATGACGAACAACTTTGCTGAGAAATGGCCAGGAGTAGGACCCTATTGCCAAAGCTAGACCAATCATTCGGTAGGTCCACCTGCCCAGGTCTTAAGCGCTCGTGGTCAATAAGCCGGTTTCAGGCGGTCCTGGATCCGTGTGAAGGATACGGGATGTGCATTCTCTCATTGTAATGGGGATCATAGCCATGAATGTGATTTCACGGGAAATGATGAGCATTTCAAAAAAATTTGTCGTTCTGGAAACTACGGTATATCGTCATATATTTGCATTGCCCTTCCCAGCTCTCAGTCCACTCCTTTGGTCGCACCTCTCAGAGGACGTTGCGGTCGTGGTTTGGTCATGGCCGTGGTTTGGTCATAAAACAGGAGTGATGGAGGTGAGGACGATGAAATGAGTGATATGGAGCCACCATACCGTGTGTTGGTGGGTACTAGAGATAGTCACTATGAATACCTATACCTTTCTAGTAACCTTTTAATTACTATACTACTTCTCTCCCTTTAAGGCTATTACTATAATATTCTTTTTATTATAATAGTTAAGATAGTATATATAGTTATACTTAATTAAATTCTTAGTAATTATAAGGTTATTTTAAAGGCTAATATTAGTTTCTAAAGGTTGAAAATAGTTTTAGAGAAAAAGGGGTTATAAGAGTGGAAATAAATTTATTAGAGAGGCTCCTTCCTTTTAAGTAACTCTTTTTTTATTCCCTTATAGTTGGTTTTCTACTTAAATATACTAATTAGCTAAAAGAGATTCCCTTCCTTTCCCTTTCTATTAAGTCTTTTTTAAGTTTTTAATTTCTATTAGCTTATTTTTAATAGCTCTATTTTTAATAGCTCTATTTTTAAATCTTTAGATATAGGATTCTAATTAATTGACTTAAAGGAGGAAGGTGGAGGAGTTGGTGTTAGAGTTGAAGGAAGGAAGGAAGGAAGGAAGGAAGGAAGGGGAAGGAGAAGGGGAAGGGGAAGTACTCCTCCTCTCTTTATATAGGGGAAGGTACCTCTAGAGTCTATAACCCTTCTCCCTTTTATAAGTCCTTCTATAAGTCTATTTCTTTACTATAAGTCTATTTCTTTTTTATAAGTCTATTATTATTAAAAAGTTATTAAAAAGCTATTTAACTATTTAAAAGTTAATATTCTCTCCTTTTTAAATATACCTAAAGTTGGTCTTATAAATAAGGGGTTTTTAACGTAAATAATAGCCCTAATAACTATCTCTAGTACCCACCAACACACGGTATAGCACGGCACAGAGCTGCCATCGAATCATTTCCCTCCCGTGCGAGGCCATGTTCAAGAAAAGAGCGCTGCCACACTCAGCCCCCAGATGCATAACACAAACAGGCCCACTGGAGGGTTCCTGGTCGAAGCCCCGCTCTTCTCGTGGAATCCCAGAATGCCATGCCTCCATCTGCTGTCATCCCCTTCGTGATTGACGAGGCAGTTCGAGAATTCCTCAAGCGAAGCCAATCCCGGTGGGGCCTCGCACCAGGCAAAACAGCTGTCAGCAACGCTGACTGGATTTGGGTCGCAACAGGCCACAAGGGCCTGGTCGCTGGTGTTGGTGGATGGGACGTAGGCGAAGGTAATGTTGGACGGAATGTTGAGGGTCGAGGACTCCGGTATGCCGTCAGGGCAGTTGGTCGCGTTCCAGGACATGATTTAGTTGCTGCCCAGGGATGGGACCCGGACAGGCCTGTGTTGACCAAAGATAGTTGGATGAAGGCGTCGGGTATGACAGATGCAAGTAACTCTAGATAGGTGGAAAAAAGGGTTGGTGGGTGGGGGAGAGCAGAGTCGATTGAGATTGCTTGCGAGGTATCAGTATTGCTTGATTACCGGAGACTAGTGAAACTCGATGCCTTAGAAGCTTAGGCGCACACACCACTAAGCCTTGTCATACCAGGTCCGGCTGTCACAAGAAGCGATACAGAGAGAAGGAAGCTCTCCTAAACGCTTGGAGTAGGCCAGGGTCAGCTCTTTCTTCTATTCGGGAGAAAGGGAGGAGGGAGGACGGGTTGGATGTGGCCGAGCTTCTCGGCCGAGGTTGTATTCAAATATCCCTATGCCAAGGGACTCATTTTCCACAACCGCGGAGGATCTCCACAAAATTTCCTCGTGAGCTTCCTTATTCAGTAGCAAGCCAAGACGAAGACCAAAAAAGTGCTGCACTAAATAGGGCCCAGCTAGTCTGCCCGTGGATAGCGTTCGACAGCACCGCGGATGCTGCCCCACCAGAACCACTCAATCCTGCCAACAGTGCGGCCTGGCCAACATCAGGTCTATCGTGGCCTGAAAGAAACAGAAGCTGGTCGCCTTTTTGGTTCCCAGGTCGACAGGAATAATACCTAGGCAGTAGGCATGACAGGCCGCGGCCTAGCTACCTTTACCGCAAACGTGATGTCGGCCCCAACACCCTGTGTTGCACCTCCCGACGCGTCCCTCTTTCGGCAGCCAGCTCTCGTGTGACCCTTCTTGGTGTATGAGAATGTCTGAACAACGACTGTAGCGCCGTTCGGATGCCGTGGTGATTTGGCACCATCGTCAGTGCGCCGTGGCACCACGACGGTAAGCGGCATCGATTCAGGGGCCACAGCAGGTTGCGCGTTCCGGATACCCAGAAGCATTGCTTCCTTCAGAGCTTCCTCGTTGGCTTGCCACAAGGCGGCGTGGATGGTGTCGAATTTCAAGTCGGGCCGCGGGAACCTCCGCTTCGCAAACGCCTTCCACAGTCGGAGAATCTCGTAGCTTGATGGGAATAGTTCTTCCTGGGCTGCGTGCTTGACCATTTCATATGACTCGTCAGGAGCTATCTCCATCGTAGCGTTAGGTTTGACGTCGACGCGGCCTAATGTGTGAACTTCGTTGGTGATAGAGATCGCCCCTAGCTTCGTGGTCGTCTCGCGGTCGATTTCAGGTGACGCGGGCTTGTTTTCTGCGGCTAAGCAGACGATGTCGCCAACCGTTGGCGAGTCGCATACGAATGTTCTCGGACGAAGGAGCCAGTACTCAAGATCGTAATGTGTCTGGGTTGTTGACGTTGAGCGGCCAGTGTCCTCGGGCTGGCTCGGCGGCACAGCGCGCTCGCCGCGGTCTTTCTCGAGCCTCGGATCTACCTTGCTTGCTTGCTTGAGCAGATCCGCGATCAGCTGGCCCTCTGCCGCGTTATCAGATTGGGTCATGCCAAAGTGACTATCGTGAATCGCAACGACTTTGGAGCCAGGCAAGATAGCCCACTCGGGGGATATCATCTGCAATCAAACACAATGGGATCAGCCTTCCCGCTGGTAATAAAAAGCGGGTGGGATCATACCAAATTGGAGTTCTCAGAGCGCCTGGGGACGCGGATATGGAGCATCCCGAAACAGCTGACTAAGAGTGACGACTGCTCTTTGTCTGCGGGATGCTGGAAGCGGGTGGGGAATTTCGCGAAGCAACAAACTACCTGAAACGAGACTGTGTCGTCGTCTACCAGGCTCTGGAAGACTCTCTGCATATCAGCCATCTCTCGGAGATCCCTGTAGCATTCGGTCCAGTCTTGTTTTTGCGGAGTTGGCGCAGCATCGATATTGTTCTCCTTTGCACTGAGGATGGCCCACTCTCCTAGGCCGGCCATAGTGTGAGGAGTCCCAAACAATACGACTGCGACGGTACGATCCAGAATCTGGTAGAAGTGCGGGTCGGATTGCGCGAGCACAAGGGCCTGGGGCTGCTATTAGCGGTTCCTCCATTGACCAGATGCTTCTTCTGATGTCCGGGGAGGGGAGCTTGCCTGCTCGCAGACCAGGCCGCCGAAGCCATGGCCGAAAAAGACCAGGCCGTGTTCGCGGGGAATTTTTATGTCCTTGCTTCTGCACTGGAGGAGTCCTCGCGCGAAGCGCTTCAGTCGGCTGGCTGATATCGCGTCCAAGAGGGATGGCCCTGACTTGGCCGTCCGAAATGAGCGACGCGTGGCCTTTCGGGGGTAAAGTTCATACTCGTACTCGAACGTGTGGACCGAGTGGCAGGCCTGAAAGGTGAGATGCCAGGGGTTGCTATTTGGGTTGCTAGCCCACGTATCCTGGGCAGTCTTCCGTATATCCTGCAGGAAAATCGCCCTGGAATTGGGAAGCGGCTGCTCGTCAGAACAGGAACACGTTTACGGACAAGGCTCCGCGGGGTACACAAACGATATTGGTCTTCCCTGTTCCCCTACTTTTCTGCCGACGAAAGGCTTGATGGTATGTATTTTAAAGGGCGGAGGGTTATTCCCGGTCTCAATTCGCTTTGGCGTGATGGCTTCTGGGTTTACAACCAAGGTCTTCGTCCCGGAGCCCGAGGCTGTCGTGCGCTCGTACATTTCAGTTCGCGACGTTGCTGATTCAGCGGACCTGAGACACGTGATGACTGGGGTAACTTTAAAGCAAGCGGCGAGGGGGGAGAAAGGAGGCGACCGATGTAAAACGGCCGGTTCCTCGGCCGAGCGCGATGTAGTATATAAGCTGTGTCAATACCTATATTGCTTCTCCCCTTTCTTCATCTCAGGTAGAGATAGAAGGGGAGATAGACGATGGGAGGGTGTGGGAGGGAGAAGGGGAAAACCCCGTCACGTTCTCGCCTCCTAGTGCATGTGGCGGTGCCCGAAGCTGAACTCACAAATGCATGGTCACACAACCGTGGCGGCTACTAGTGAGTCAGGCGGCGCTGTGCACTAGAAATTGCCGGAAGATCCAAGTATCAACAAAACCCTTCACATTGCTGTCACAATCATTCCTCAAGCACATAATATGTGTTTGCTTCTTATTAAATCTTCATCCTCGGATTAAGCGTATCGATCTAAAAATGTTCAAGCTTTTGCTAGAATTCGTGATTGTGGTGGTAAAATGGGTGCACAAATTGAGCGGTTCTGATTCTGGTACGCAGTTCATGGTGGCGTGTTGTTGGCAGGATCCCATTGGACTAAACCGCCGCCTCCCTGTGTCCAGTCGGATGCCGAAGTCTGCATGGCTGGCATACCTGTCAGGCAATATTGCACATTTGCAACACTTAAGCGGCACAAGTCTGATCATGGCCACATGCTGTGGCGGCGCACTGGGCCTAAATATGGGATGTGGTGGCTTTTCGTTCTTGGGATAGGGATCGTCAGCTCTGCCTAAAGCTGAAACAACCCTCAGCATTTATCGGCCCCATGAAGCTATTCATCTAGGTCGCTATTTAAGTCACGGAAACGCCATGCACGCAAAAGTTTTCATGTGTTTATAATCATCTAATAAGCCGGACTCTCCAGTCTAGAGGCAAGCCCAAGACAGCGTATATTTGGACATTTATTGTGCCCGAGAAGTGTACGCCTCAGTACGGTAGCATAGGTTGTTCGCGTCCATCTGATCACTGGCAGCGTTCTGGTCTTGGCAATGTCCGACAACGCTTCTCAAGGAAGGCACATTGTCGTCGCCGTGGATGGCACTAAGCAGAATGCACGCGGTATTGAACTCAAGGAAACCACAAACGTGTTTAGAGCTACCCGCTGCATCGAGAACTCCAATTCTTCCACGGGTGGAATTCTCTATATTCCAGGTCTAGGTGTTGAGGGCAATGCCTATGAAAATCTAAAGGGGTTGTTTTGGGGGTCTGGTAAGTTTCCCTAGTAGTACCTCCCGCCTCAGTCCTCTTCTAATGCATTCTCCCAGGAATCGATCGGCAGATCTGCAGAGGCTATGAAAAAATATGTCGAGAATACCGGTCTTCCGAAGACACTCTAATACTCATCGGTTACTCGAGAGGGGCCTTCGCGATACGATGTCTGGTAGACCTCATTACCAAGTTTGGCGTTCTCGTAGACGTGTAGTTAGACGACGAGCCAAACTTGCTTGTGATCTTCGAGACCTGGAAAGCCGGGAAACTAGGGAATGAAGTCCCGGACCATATTCGTCGTGAATCAGTAAATCGTGGTAACATCATCTGCATCCTATGGGATACTGTTGGCGCGGTAGGGGACAAACTTCTGCGACTGATCGATTCGGGAACCGAGGGCGGCGGCTTCAACTACCACGCCTTGTCCTTGCACGAGAGGCGGAAGAAGTTCCTGCCGACAGTGATGAGATTCAGGCAACCGGTGCTGCTGAAAGATTCTGAGCAGTGCTGGTTTGTCGGCTACCATGGCGATGTGGGCGGCGGGAGGAAGAAGAACGCTCTGGCAAACCTTGCCCTTGCGTGGGCGCTGGGTAAACTGAGACAACATCTGGAGCCGAACTGGGCACCCCTGGAAGGGATAGAAAACGAGCCAGGAGATGTTTGGAAGATAGAAAGACGGACAGGAAGAGGTAATGATATCGTCTCTTACCCTCCGAATTGAAGATTATCACTTCCACCAACTAACCAAGCATCCAGTGGTATTTGACATAAAAGACACCAAGAAAAGTTGGTCTCGATTGCTCCGGACCCGCGGACGATATCCGAAGCGCGATTTCTGGCGAGGCCCTTCACACGAAACCCTTCCCGTCACCCGCGAGGTGCATGGCCGCCATACCCAAGAAACGATCCACGTTACCGTGCGTGGTTTGGTGGGACACATAGGTCGGCAGGCGCAGGGACTGGAAAACGCTACGCCACCCCAAGGACCTTCGCCCTCGGGAGTCGGACATTGGACATTGTATGGGCAGGACTGGTTCATAGTGGACGAAGCCGTCGTGACACCAGCGGAAAGGAGAGGCTTGACCCGGTGGTTAGATAAGAACCTGAGGGAGTTGTACGCACTTTCAGCGCCGGGGCAGCCGTCACCAGGCACTGCGACAGCTGATTCACTGGCTGCTGTCTGTGCGGCACGAGGATGAGGCCACGTACCCACGTCTTTTATTCTCTCTGCACTGTTATTGGCAGTGTATGTTTTGAACGCTGGGTCTTGGGCGCTTAATGATGTGTTAATGCGCCATGCATTTATTTGCACGTATCTGGAAGAGAAGAGAAACCAGGTGAGATGACAATACAGTCTCCCATGAGATAGCCCCCTGGAGGATAATCTCGTAAAAGGTGTTTTCCTTGAGGGTAACTGATTGATTACTGACCTTAACGGATATTTTGATGTTAGAGATGCGGAGTACCGGTATGGGTGTACCTTGGTATGCTCTGTTTCTGCGGGTGTGAATCTCTGACCTGTACTTCTTCCCATGATTGCGGAGCCGGATCTTGGTCATACTTGCTTTCAGATAATGCCATCATCAACTATGAAGTCATTCCTATAGAGCAAGATCATAGAAAGCATGAACATACGATGATCACGTAGGACTTGAGGCAGTTCTCGAATTTCTAGGCAGGGAATCCCCTAGCTACCGGCGGGAAGAGGAGTTCATGACATGACAGTTTGCCGGCCTATTCAAGTCTGAAGGGTGAAATAATTGAAACGAGTCCATACCTTTGAAGGGACTAAGACCGTACATTTCGGTATAAGAAGATCAATCTACCTATGACGGATTACTTAACTCTGCTCATTAAATCCACTTATGATGCCTGAGCTTAACTTACTTAGGTACCTTCTAACGCAGGTATTAAAGATGGCGTTTGACCGTTCTCGAGCAAACATGGCGTTACTGGAGGTACTATGCTGATTCATTGTGAGGCATTCTCATGTATTCTTGATAGCTTTGGGCGAGTCTTGGTTTATTTGACGGCAATGATGCTTCAATGTTTTCCCCCCCGTACCTGCCATTTTCCTACACAATTTCGATTCCATCATCATTCAGTCCACAACATATGCCCAAGTTGGTACTTTTTACGACCCTGTATTAGTATCCAACCAAATGACCGAGATGTTCGGCAGCATTGCGTTACCGGCTGACTCTATGGATATTACGGGATCGTGGCCGGGCCATGACTGACCCAGGGTGGCTGGGTTGAGCACCCAACGTGGTAGCCTTCAACAACCCACCACAGCCCAGGTGTGAGCCCCTGGAGCCGGATGGTGCGTCGAACCGGTGGCACTTGTTCACGACACGGCCCTAATGTGCATCCCAGTTGCGGTAGATCTGCTAAATGAACCTTGGCTTAATAGGGTTATCTGTTGCTGAAGGGCTGTGCTGAAAGGCCGTGCTGAAATTGCGTCCAAAGGCGTTCAGCAAGGTGGAAATAGAAATGCTGCCATCATCTTCGCATCGCCTCACAGAGTCATATCAGCGGAGATGGTTGGGCACAAATTAATGGGAAGGGATTAATCTATTGATGTGACCTACCCTAGGGTATCTGGATTCCAGTATTTCCGCAAAGGTAGGCTTGGATTTCTCTGTTGAATTCAATGAAAGTTGCTTTCAGAATCACAAGTCTGAGCAACATTGACAACTGTATGTTTAGAAAGGCATCTGACAGGAAATGGAACTTTGGGCATCAGAATCGTCGCGAGGTTGGTTTGAGAAGTTGCTGGTTGACTAATCCTGACGCGGACGATTGTTTCCAAACTTCGGAAGCCATCAAATGTTATTCCAGCGCAGAGGGAAAGGGCATTCTTTAAATCTTGGGCCGTTCTATGCCCAAAACGTCAGCTGTTGGGGAGTGAAGGGAATTGTAAGAATGGTTTCTGTAAACTTGCAGCGGCACCCATGGAAGTCACTCGTCGCGACGCCACGTCGGTCGGGCCTTTGCCACAGCAAAGGTCTCGCAAATGATGTACCTAGGTACCTCTGTGGCGCAGCACCATTTGCCAACCAGGTCCACCAAGACAGCAACCTTTGTGCTTCTTAACAACTGATTTGTGCACAGCCCAGCAAAGATCATTAAGAGTCGCAGACTGAGAAGTGCATGTAGGTTGCTGCTTTCACTTGCCTGGCTACAGTTGGTTTGCCAGTGAACAAAACGGATGTTGTTCAAGCTCTCGACAGTGAAGGCCTGCCGGGATGGGCTTATGTAAGCCGATCTGACGGACCCTGGGAACTCTTTCACTGTCCCCACCGTCCAGCGTCCAGCGTCCCACAAACGGACCCACACCTTATCTTATCGGCTAGTGCTGCAATTGAACGTCGCCTCCCTCGAACTTTTTGTTGCCGCTGACAACGCCAAACTCAGGTTTCCAACATCACCAACACTCACTCTCCACTCCCAACCACATCAGCCACCATGCCTCAGAACGAGTACATGGACCGATGGCGACGCCTTCACGGCCGTCGGTAAGAAGCACCCCTCTCCCCAATTCCCCTCCACCGTGCATCCTTTGGCAGCAGCTAACCATCGCCCTCGACGGGATGATACAGCCTCGACCACGAAGAGCGAGCCCGCAAGCGCACGGCGCGTGAGGGCCACGATGCCTCAGAGAAGGCGCAGAACCTGCGAGGCCTGCGTGCCAAGATGTACGCCGAGAAGCGGCACAAGGAGAAGATCCAGATGCGCAAGCAGATCAAGGCCCACGAGGAGCGCAACGTCAAGGGCGCCGCCCCGGACAACGACCCGGCCAACCCCGTCCCCGCCTACCTGCTCGACCGCAAGGACGCCACCTCGGCCAAGGCCATCAGCTCCGCCATCAAGAACAAGCGCGCCGAGAAGGCCGCCCGCTTCGCCGTGCCCCTGCCCAAGGTCCGCGGCATTTCCGAGGAGGAGATGTTCAAGGTCATCAACACGGGCAAGAAGACCCACAAGAAGGGCTGGAAGCGCATGGTCACCAAGCCCACCTTTGTCGGCCCGGATTTCACGAGCAAGTTTGCCCCCGCCCCCCCCCCCCGCTCTCTCTTACCGCGGGAGGATTGTGTTGGAGCACTGGCTGACTGGTCGTTGGTACACAGGGAGACCGGTCAAGTACGAGCGGTTCATACGTCCTATGGGACTGCGTCACAAATACTGCCATCTCTCACATCCTACTCTGGGAGTGACGATCAAAGCTCCCATCCTCAGTGTGAGTGGAATACACCCTTCCCTTTATGGATGTTCTGGGATGAGAGACTAACTGAGGGGAATTGATCAGGTCAAGAAGAATCCGCAAAACCCTTTATATACCCAGCTAGGCGTGTTGACCAAGGGCACTGTAAGTTTCCTTGTCCCGGAAGTAGGTATCGACGACGTTCGTATACGATCTAACACGTGCCGTAGGTCATAGAGGTGAATGTGAGCGAGCTTGGTATCACGAGCACGTCCGGGAAGGTCGTATGGGGAAAATGGGCCCAGATCACAAACAATCCAGAGGTATGCCGTCAACCACCGCTCAATTTGAAGCAGCCGGAGCTGACAATGTGATAGAACGATGGTTGCGTGAACGCTTTGTTGCTTACCTAGGCATTGGACTTTTGTTGGAGGGTTTGACTGGGAGTTTGGCGAGGCGAGAGGGATACATCACGGGGCAATCACGAGCCCTGCATCTGCACCATAGACAACGTGGCAAAAATACCCAAAAGCATCAATCTTCTCGATTCATTGGTCTCAACACTTCACTGAGACTGTGCACGGTGGATGCCTCTCTTTTGCCGACTTATGAGTAGCTAATGGACTGCAACTCATCTTCCAGCCAAGGCCGTCAGGATCACCGACAATCCCACCTTGAATTCCCAGAGGGTGCTCGTGGCGGGGGCAAGGGAGTCTGGTCACCAGCTTCGGTCTAAGCCACTCCTACGCAGACCGGCTAAGGTCGTGCCCTGTTGAGTTGCTGCGAAGGCCCCAAGCCATACCCGGTTGCCACGGCGAGGCTGCCTTACACACGGGTCGGGGGAGAAAGCCCGGTCAATCGCCGAAGATAATCTATCCGACATCCACTCGTGTTACAACTGGCCCCGAGCGCATGGTAGCGCATGGTAGGTGGATACCTACTTAAGTAGGTATTTTGTGAGCACCTCAGGCTCTTGGCAGCTGATATCATGGATGCCTGTCGGCCATCATGCATCAATAGTTTGCGCCACCACTGCTTGTTCTGCAGTCCACCGGTGACTGTGTAACCTGAGTGTTTTCAGCTCACAGCCCTTGGAAAGATTTGTAAATACACACAGCTGAAGATGTCCAGCCCCTCCCGCCTAAGCAAAGGTACTACATGGGGGAGAGGAAAACTCATTGAATGGGTGCATCGCGCCAATCTCGTAAAATGTGATCAATCGCTCAATTGAAATGCGGTGGGACTGGAGGAGTGAACATTTGAGCATCCTCGAGACCTGGGCAGCACTGAGACCAAGTATATCAGTAGAGATAACTCCCTGTTCAACCCTCTCTGGACTGAATATCTCATGATACATCTTCCAATCTTCCGTACACTGTATATTCACTCTTACTACCAAGATTTCGTTTCGTACTCCAACATGGCCACCAAGAGTCTTCAGCAGGCACCCAACGGTCCAGCTCATGGCCATCGAGACCAAGAGCTCGAAATGAACGACTTGATGAGCAATATCAATGACGTCGTGAGCCGCATGGCAACGAAGAGCAAGAAGCGAGGCCTAGAACTGAGCAAGAATCCTCAGCTCGATGACATTCAAACAGCATTGAGTGAATTGGGGTACACCCATTCTGAATCGTCCGCGGAGGCAACCAGAGGCGACAAGGTTAGACGCGGCCTAGACCGAACCCTTGAATGCATCCAGACTCTGGGAGAGGTTGCGACTGGGACTGCCGTTGTAAGATAACTCACCTCCTCAACACCTTTGACCGAAATTGCGTATTTATAATTCAATTAGGGTGTCAGCGAACCTGCAAAGGCATGCTACAATGCTGTAAACTTTGTCATCAAAGCTTATCAGAATTACAAGCGATCGTTTGAAACACTCGCTCAGCTTTTGGAGATGTGTTTCGCTTCGGTTGAGCAAATCGATGTTGCGTATCGCGAAGTATCGATCAAGCCGAAGCTGAGAAAGGCCGCCTGCAAGCAACTGAAGGTGTTTGTGGACACTTGCGAATATGCTTTCAATCTACGATACAGTCGACGTTCCAAGATGAAGTTGCTCCTTAAGATAACTTTTCTCAACGACAATGAGGTCCAGAAGCTTCTGGAAAAACAAAAGTCTTCGACACAGGATCGGGTTGCAGAGACCATTACGAACATGAGCTTCAATCTCGACACAGTTGTCAAATCTGTTATGGACACGGAAGTCACCACCAAAGAGTATATACGCATGCAGAGAGAAGGTCAGGATAACAGAGATCGGACATCCAGACTTCTCAAAGCCTTTAACTTGCATGGGTCTTTGATCGATTCTGCACAGGGCAAAATACCTAACCCTGTCTGGGAGAAGCCTTTTCGCTCTCATTGCGATCAGATGCTGAAAGACACAGGCTTGTGGCTTCAAGAGCACACTCGATTCTCTGAATGGGCTTACAAACACGATGCTACGGCGCGTATTCTGGGCGTCACTGGTGGTGAAGGCACTGGGAAATCAGCACTGGCAGCCTATATCATCCATTGTTTGCGGCAAAGACGCAGCGACACCAATGTACGGTCTTATGTGTCGTACTATTTCATGAAGAGAGACTCGAAGGAAGAACAAGACAACATCGCATCCACCATCTCAGGAAGCCTGCTGTGGCAGCTCGCTGAGTCCTACCAGCCCTTCTTCAAGTCAGCGTCTAGCAAATGTGACAATATCGACAGCGCATATGATTTATGGACGAATCTTCTTTTCAATAACGAAGAACTCTTCAAGTCGGATTCCGTCTTTTTCTTCGTGTTTGACGGGTTCACGGAGAGCGTGCATTTGAACTTCCTGGGTCAGTTGCTAGACAAGTTGGATCAAGCAAAGTTTCCACCTCATCGGATCCGGCTGCTGATTACGGGAAAAGACCTTGACTTGAAGAATCTGGCAGATTCATATGCCCTCGGAATGCAGACCATCGAACTAGGGCGCGAAAATCTGACCGACATCGAATTGTTCATCGAACATCACATGGCCCGTGCTCAAACCCCGAAGTCTCCTTGGAGACACAACATCGAATTGAAGAAAAGCATCATGAAGGACCTGAGAGAGTCAAATGAGGGAAATTATCGTGATATAATAGCCGGGATTGAGCATATATCCAACATGAAAGACGAAGGAGAGATCGAGAGGTGGCTGACGCGGGAAGACGTGGCGTCTATCCACCCGATCGCTGTAGCCATCGAAGAACTTGACAGGCATTGCAGCCCCAGTGACTTACAAGCTATCACCGAGCTGATTCTTGGGGTCATGAGCGGAAAAGCGTGGTTGAGTCCAATTCAGTTGGAAGCCGCATTGTTGCTCAGATCTCAAGCACTGACTGGAGCAACTCCTGGCGTCTCAAATCGTCAAAAGTCCAGGTCAGGGTATCTGAAGTCAAAGCTCCAGAATCAGTGGCACCAGCTCTTCGACATTGATGACGATGGCGATGTGACGTTCAAGAACACTGGACTTGATACCGCAGGGCGCGTCATTCCGTTAAGACAACGAAACATAGACGACAGAGGCGGACTTGGAAACTCTGCCGACGTCCAGCCAGCCGAGGTGGCACTGCTACAGCACTATCTTAAATCCATGTGCCCAACCGAGACCTACGAAAAATTTGGATTCGCAATGTTCTTCAACGACAAACTTCTTCAACGGGAGAATCGCATCTGTCAAGACCCGCGCAACGCTGAGATTACTCTATCGTTACGTTGCTTGACCTGTCTCGTTGAGACGCGCAATGAAGTCACCCAAGTGCTTTATGATTACGCATTAGAGTATCTGTCGACACATCTCCGTTTCTCAGTCTCTATCGAAGACGACCTTGACGAGCTGGCGCAGGCCAGCGCTCTTTCATCCACGGACAGTAACCTTCGGGCCCAAGTGGGGCCTCTACTGATGAAACTATTCACGGAAGACTATGCCTTGAACTCTTTATTGCAGATTCATCACTCTTTTGACAACGAAGAGGTATCAACTCGACTCATGGCGAGGATGCTACCCCCCAACTGGGAATTTTGGTTGGTAGGGGACAATGGGTTAAAGCTTTTGGAACAGTACTTGACTGATGAGGTGGTTTTGAAGTCTGTTGAGGAGATGCCATTGGCAAAGGTACTGGTGCCTCAAGAGAAACGAGTCATTGCACTGATATAGTCAGCGGTGAAGATGGCTGTCAAGTGCTTCCTTACGAAAGAGGCGACGGATCGTGACGTTGAGATCGCTTTCACATTCTTACTTGTTGCGGAGGCAAGGGTAAGGCCACAATCCCCTCCGAATTCAGGAATAAAACCGGCTGACAGTCCTCACCTAGTCCCAGCAACTGGATCTTAGCGGCGAAAAAACCCTGGAAACATATGTTTGGACCCCGTCTGCGCAACGAGTGCAGGAGGTAGAAGCGTGGTCTTGGCAAATTGCGCCGCCTGAATTGGATAGATCAACCTGGGAGGCCCGCATGGCCTCAGTTGTCCTTCATTTCTATCTCAGTGGGAACGAGTGCATCACGAAAGAATACGTGCAACAACGAGCAAAGTTCGCAAGAGGGCTGAGCAATTCCACTTGGCAAGTGTCACAAACCCTCGCTCGAGCTGTTGAAGATGTCGATGCCGCCGAAGTTCTGGAGGATTTGATCAAGGATCTTACGAAAGACAGGAAGTGGTGCGATGTTCCTTCCAACAGACCCATCTTGGCCGAGATTTATCTGGATCTCGGTGACAGGTATTGGACATTGGGCGATTCTACAAGACAATCAGCCGCCTTCGAGATGCACTTGAAGAGCATCAAAGAAGACACGAGTCATCGTCAACGATATCTTGGAATAATATCCCGTTACGCGGAAGTCAAAGCCTGGGGGCTTATCAAGTCTTTTATCGAGGCACTGTCCAAAAGACCTCATTCGAGCGATGGTACACCAATTGGAAAAATGGTGGTACAAGGTGTTCTCGAAGACCAGGCTTTCAGCACTAGCATCAGCGATGCCGCAGAGAACTTGAACGAATGGGGGTTTTTGAAACATGCCTACGATCAAGCCCTGAGAGAAAGGATGTCCCCTTTCGAAGCATTCTCCATACGCCGCGCATATGGAGAGGCCCTCCAGAACGCAAAGAATGAGGGGGACAAACTGCTGAAGGTTTGGGAGGACATGCTCGAGGCATCAAAGGACCTCGGCTACTTAACACGACCTGCTATCACCTTCTTGGTGCCAAAGCTTATGCCGATATACACAAAACGTGCTATTCTGGCTGCAGCACTCGAGGATTCGCCCATAACTCCCACCTCCACCTCATCCAAAAGGATCGATTTTCTATACGAAGTATTTCGGAATACCACTGATTTCTCGACTTACGTTGTTTTATATTTCACACGGTCTTTTCTTCTTCGCAAAGACCGTACGCGGGCGATAGAGTCGGTGGCGGAGCTGCTGGCGCAGTCTTTGGACATGATGTCCAACGATGACCAGAGCGACGATATTCAATGTTTTATACAACTTCAAGCCATCTTCTCGACATTCAACGATGTACAGAATACGTGCGCTGCTTGGCAAATGGTAGCAGCCGCAAATGAACAGCAATTCGAGGCGCGAATGGATACGTGGAAGTTCCGAACCGGCGCGAAGGACGGTCCCAAATGTGAGTCTAACATCCAAATGTTGAGGAATACTACTTGAGAATGATGCTAATACTTTCTGTATCCGGAAAAGACAACCAATCTCCGCCAGAGACCGAAGATTGGGCTGAGGACCATCAGACGCCCAAGGAGCCCAGTAGAGACCCAGTGGTTTGGTGTGACGATTGCGGCAAAGAATACTCTTCTCCAAGTGGTATTTGGACGTGTATGGATGAAAGTGGCCTGGTTCAGCTGGATCAAGAATGCTACAGATTGCTTAAAGGGGGTAAGAATTATCAGGGAAAGGATGTGTGCGATTCATCCCACCACTTGATGCAAATTCCCAAGTTTACCGTCAAGGAGATAATGGGAAGGATGAAAGATGGAAAGGTGAGAGTCGGCGAGTGCGATATCACCTTGGATGGATGGAAGGAAAGCATCATTGCTGAATATGAGGTACGGGCGCAAACTTGAGTGTTGAATCTCGTGCAGGCTCCCCAGGGCCAACATATTGCTCATCGGATACCCAGCCGAGAAAGTGGGACTGATGGTCGGTCGCGTCCGTAAGCCCTATGTTGCATCTCTTAGCCTAGCTTCGCCTCTTCCCAGCCCCGCCTACGCATGGTGGGTCAACTCGAGTTGATGGATACGATCCTGTTAGCTGCCACGCCTCAGACACTTATCTGTTTGAATTTGTCTTTTAAATGTGAGCATGAAAAGGATCTCTTGCACTTCTCCCGTGCGACCTTCTCCGCCTTCAGTCTCTGGACTTGTGCATGACTACATCTAGATTGCCGGCAAATTGTCCAGAGATTGTCTGCTCCTGGGAACGTGCGCCTCGGTACTTTCGTGTATGAACGTATGTATATGTATGCCAACTCCAATTTGATTAGCACCAATAAGTAGATCGTGCCTACGGTGTGGTGGTTCAATGGAGCACATGAGAGGGCCCCGATTCCTCGAAGGGTATGGCGGTGGGTCCACCGCCGGGAGGATTCGATCCGCGCGTGGTGGTCTGGAAGGGACGAAGCGTTTCTGGGAAGGTCAACTGCACGAAATGACAGTGAGAACATTTGAGGCGGGCTGCTGGCCAGCAAGTACATGTACGATTCGAAGCAGTGGGCCCAGAGGGCAGATATCATATACACTTGCAAACCTATCTGTATGGCGAGAGGGGCAATGGACACGCGAACGTTGTGGTGTCTATCCTCAGCTTGTACATATGATGGCAAAATGAAAGTATTGATCGCTTGATGCGACGGGTGGGCATCGTGCGGTCGGGACTAGGACTGCAACAGCTCACCCCTGGCGATCGACGGTGCTTGGAGCAAGACTTGAGCCTACGTCGACGATGCCGACAACAAAGGCTTCTACACATTCGGCACCGGGAACGACGCCTTCAATATAGGACGATGCTGACGTGACGGGCTGCAGATGAGCCAGCCCCCCTGGCCCGGGAATTGCTGTAGCCGATGAGGCCACCACCCAAAACGGAATACAGACCGGGCAGTGATTGGGCGGTCCACAAGTATGTAGACCCGCCCAATGCCTCTTCCTGTCCTCCTAGACTGCACCTGTGATTTCCTTTCGAATCCCCATTTATATCAAACGTAGTAGGCATCTTCATACACTGGCATGAGTAAGCGCTCAAAACCCAGCGGTTAAGAAAAATACAGCGCCTCCTGAGGTGCACCTGGACGCTTCTCTACTCAACAACGTCCTCGTACGCTCTTCTTCCCGCCAGGAATTGGTTCAACTCGAGCATCTCTCTCGGTATTCGTACCTGGCTGCCATCACAATGTACGCACTGAGGCACCCCCCTATCTTGCGCAACCGCCATTAGCTGACAAAATCAGGAACTCGACTGTTGTTCTACCCACCATGGGTGCGCAGGATACCACGTACTGGGGCTCATTTGAGGATATCTCAAAGCACAATGTCTCGCTCAACTACGGCGAGCGTCTATGGGCCGCTTGGTACGCGTACATGCAGAACGACGTCCTCGCCACGGGCATCATGTCATTTGTCATGCACGAGGCTGTCTACTTTGGTCGCTCGCTTCCGTGGATTCTCGTCGACATGATGCCTTGGTTTAGGCGTTACAAAATCCAGCAGGTACGATACTACGAATCAACCTTCCCAAGACAATGCAATGCTGACGAACGCGATAGAACAAGATCCCGACTGCACAGGAACAATGGCAGTGTGCCCTCCTCGTCCTCCTCTCCCACTTCACCGTCGAGCTCCCGCAGATCTGGTTCTTTCACCCTATGTGCCAATTCTTTGGCCTCAGCATCTCTGTTCCGTTCCCGAGTATCTACAATATGGCGTTCCAGATCGCCATCTTTTTTGTTCTCGAGGATGCGTGGCACTACTGGACCCACCGCGCTATGCACTATGGCTTCCTCTATAAGCACATTCACAAGATCCACCACCAGTACTCTGCACCCTTCGGCCTGGCCGCCGTATACGCCTCTCCCATCGAGGTCATGGTGCTTGGCTTCGGCACCGTCAGCGCGCCCATTCTCTGGTGCGCCATCACGGGCGACCTACACATCTTGACCATGTACCTCTGGATCGTGCTCCGCCTGTTCCAGGCCATCGACGCCCACAGCGGCTACGACTTCCCCTGGTCCCTGCACCACTTCGTCCCTTTCTGGGCCGGTGCCGAGCACCACGATGTACACCACGAGCGCTTTATTGGCAACTACGCGAGCAGCTTCAGGTGGTGGGACTACGTTCTTGACACTGAGGCTGGGCCCGAGGCGTCCAAGAGGCGCAGGGAGAGGAAGGTCGCCGCCATAAAGAAGAAGCAGTAGGGGCGCAAAAGAGCTACCGTGGACTGTACAAGGCGGGTTTAGAAGGCAGTGTACAGTTTATGATGCTTTATTTCGTTCGCGAGCTGTCGGCCGCGGTACGGACGGCGCTACACTATTGGAGATCATAGGATGGGAGCTGCGATAGAAGGTTCACCTCGCCGACCTTGGCTGCTAGCAGCTTATAGAATACCCGATCATCTTGGTAATGGATTGGGGATGTCGACTCGCGATTGGACGTTACATAATTTCATTCATATTGCGCTCGTTCGCAACGCATCATTCCTAGATCCATGATTTCTCTCTAGTCCCTGCAACTTCCTTCCAGGTTGTCAGCTCACTCAACCTCCAGAATCATGTCCACATCTCGGGGCAAGCCTTTCTTTTAACAGGTTCCTGGGATGCATCGCAGCCTTCCAGCCGCGGTTGTGGCCCCTCAGCCCACCGATCTTCAAGTCACTGCGCTAGCAGTAAGTGAAGCAAAGCCGACCACCCACGAGTACATAATAGTACATGGTCATCCTGACGGGGAATTTTGCTCCACCACATTCTGACAGGAGGTTATCAACAAATCGATTGCACTTGTCAAGGTTCCACAATACTGTAATCGACATGCAATTTCCCGAGCCAACTGGGGCATGTGAACTGACGAACACCCCAGGATGAGGTCTCACTGCTGAATGGCGTCAAGTAATCCCAGCCAGCTCAGCAATTGAGGAGGCGCATGAGGAGCTGCTACATGCCGTGTAGAAAAGAACCCCAAAAAGTGGGGACTACACGTAAACTCCATCTCTCCAAGCATTGCGCGGCAAGCCAGGATGTTCGGGGATTTGAAATATATGTGAGAAAAATATGAGAAACGGGGTCTCTTGCGGAAGCAGCAAAGTGGTGGTTGCCTGCTCCTGCCTCGGAATGCTCCCTGTAGTACGGAGCATAAATATCTGGTAACCCACGCTGCACCGATTGCCATCAGTAGAAGACAGTATGTATCCCAGATTGTGATGTATTCGACTGGACCGTACCGAGTTGAATATGAACTCGCTTGCAAGTGATGCTGTAGAAATACATTCAATTCATAGCGAATTTGACACCATCTTTCCCCACATGCCAACGCCACGCAAACATTCCAAGTTCGCGCCCTGCTTCCCAGGAAGCAACCCGTCCGAAAAGCCGACTTCACAAACCAAATTCACGCATCGGGTTTGCCAAACCTATATTGCCCCCAATTCAAACTTGCCTCAGGGAGAGCCCATATTCGTTCCCCGGTGTCTGAACCCGCAGCGCCAGCAGCGATATACATTGGAAGAATGTGCTCGGCGCTGGGATGAGCCTGCCTGGCAAGGCTGGTTCCTAGGAGACTGATCATAGTCTTCTGACGGTCTTCTGGCGTCGTAGTGATGGCTTGTGTCAGTGCTTCCTCGAAAGTGGACGCATACCTAAGCAAGTAGTTAGCCATATGGATAGTCGGGTCAACTCCACAAAAGGGAGGACAGGAGTTAGAAGCATAAGAGAAACAAAAGGACCATACGGCATTGTCCTCCCAGATCCTCTGGTTGCTCTGTAGTCGTGAAGGTTGTGAACAGCCATCCCTGCCCCTATGATGAGGATGCCCTCATCCCGCAGACTTTCTACCGCCTGTCCCAAGCGGTAGTGCTTGGCCGGATCCTCATTGCCATAGAGCGAAACCTGGACCACCGGCACATTCAGTGGGTTCTTTTCTGGGTCAAAAGCTGCATCGGCACCGGTGCGTCAGCGAATGAGACTGATTCTGAGCTCTTCAGGGTGGGAAAAGAAAACTGGTGATTACCAGCAATGAAGCCCACCCAGACGCCGTGGTCGAGGCCCCGTTTCACCTTCTGCACCTCGATTCCGGCGCCCTCGAGGTTGTCGATGACCTTTTGGGCAATCTCTGGGCTTCCCTTATACGGATACTTGTACTCGTAGTAGTGAGGCGGGAAGTTGTAGAAGTCGTAGATGATGCCTGCGTCCTCGGCTACGTTGACGCTCACCCTGCTGGGCCCATCCTGCCAGTGGGCAGAGAAGACGACCACGGCCTTGGGCTTGACCTCTGTCGTGATCTCGCGTCCAGTCTCACCCAATTTTCGGAAGGCAGGGTGTTCTCTATTCTCCATGAAGTTAGGCCCGCCGATGCCTAGGAAGTAGACAGGCGTTCGTCTATGTTGGGCCGAGGAGGGTTCCGCCATCGTGGGGGAATCCTGGATTTTTGCCAAGTCCTGGGGGTTGGTGTCGCTCGTGATGGTGGTCCACGACTGTAGACGTGGAAGAAGGAAGAAAATCGAAAATGCGGCGACTATAATCGACAAAAAGGTCCCATAAGGTCGAATGGGCGCTTGTCTTGGGGGCGATGCTGTGGACATAGAGTCGGCAATCTTATTGCCTTTCTGTCATCTTTCATGAACAACGCGCGGGAGGACAGCATGGAGTATTGATGTATTATCAGCCACTCGAGACTGTAGCGCGCGCGGCATAGGTCAACATACATCCCACGTCCCTACCCTAGGGTAGGTACGTGGACAACAAAGACGCTGCATACTTTGCCGCGCGGGTTGGCATCATGTTCTGGATCACGCAACGTCACGGTCATCACGGTTATAAATGCTTACGGCCAACGAACGAGCCGCCGCATCATTTGTAGTCTTGCAGCCACTTCACGTTGGTCGTAATCTTAATCTTGGAGCCGAAATGAAGGGATGTCTAGGAGTGACAACGTGGCTCCTCGGCGGGTGGAGGGTCAACTGGTGTTCCTGCAAGTGACCGGGGTGCATGTTTTGCAATGCATATGCAGATCGTCAGCCTCGGAAAGCTTTCAAATCTGCTTTGTGGCCTGTTACCAACGCCTCATTTTTGGTCAAGGTGAGGAATAAGTACTACTGAAGTCCATGATCCACCTCAAACTGTTCGGGAACACATCTTTAGTACAAATTCCTAGCCCGCGCGGGTTTGGCTAAGCTGACCACCAATTGTGGGCCACTTGCACGCCCGGGCGGCTTACGTATTGCATGGTATGTGGCGTTTGGGCTTATATTTCCCACCGCGCGGGGCCCCTCGGCCCGTTGTGCGCGCGGATTAAGTCTGAAAGGATGAGGAGCGGCAAGCAGGCTGTGACGTTTGTCATCGTTGGAGAACAAGGTCGCGCTCGCGCTCGCGCGGTGAAATGCTCACCAAGCATGTCTTTGTATCGGACCAAGTATACAGATTTGCGTCGATCAGCTCGCGCGAGGAAGAGATAAAGATGAGGCATATTTCTTGCTGGAAATGCGACTTGTTCCTCTGGCTCTCCACAAGGTCTTCCAATGTGCATAAATCCCATCAAGTCCTTTTTTCCTTCAAACAAAAGAGTTCCCACAGACCGTGACTCCGAGTCCAAACCACATAACAAGATATCCACCATGACTTCCGCACCTGTCGTTCTCATCCTCGGATCCGGGCCCAGAATCGGGGCTTCGGTCGCAGAGACCTTTTCCGGAAAGGGCTACAAGGTCGCCATCGCATCCAGGAAGGGCACCGACAGCAAGACCACCGAGGGCTATCTTTCGCTCAAGGCTGACCTGGCCGACCCGGCCTCCATCCCGGCCCTGTTCCAAAAGGTCACGGGCGAGTTCGGCGCGTCCCCGAGCGTGGTCATCTACAACGCGCCATCCCTTACGCCCCCTCCGGCCCAGGACTCCATCTTCTCCATCCCAACGGCTCGCTTCACCCATGACCTGAACGTGAACACCGTCTCCGCCTACGCCGCCGCGCAGTCGGCCGTCGCCGGCTGGGAGTCCCTGCCCAAGGAGACCAAGAAGACCTTCATATACACCGGCAACATGCTCAACGTGGCCGTCCTTCCCGTGCCGTTGATGGTCGACCTGGGCGTTGGCAAGGCCGGTTCCGCGTACTGGATCGGCGTAGCTGATGCAACGCTCTCCGCCAAGGGGTACAGGTAAGGATATCTTCTCTTGATGTTTTAGATGGTACTAACGACTTTCTAGGTTCTTCTACGCCGATGAGCGCGCGGAGGGTGGTAAAATGAAGGGGATGGAGCTGGATGGGCCCGCTCATGGCGACTTCTACGGCCAGTTGGCAGAGAACCAGAAGGACATTCCGTGGCACGCTACTTTCGTCAAGGGCAAGGGTTATGTCAAATTCTAAGATCGTGCATTGAATATCAATGACACTCGACAGCATCCTAGGGTAGAATAGCCGTTCTGGGATGCCAGGGGATACGATGTCTGCAAGGGTACCCCAGACCGCCAGACGAAGGTCTCGCCAGAACAGCGCTTGCTGAATGGGTTCACCAAGATTACAATAAGCTGAATAGAATAGCTGTCTCCAGCCGTAGCTTCGTTGGCCCTTCTCCCTATGTAAAGAGACCTTTCTCTGATAAGAGAACTGTACCAATCTTCCATAAGTATCGACAATAGTAGCTTCCCGTAATCAAAGTCTTTTAATTGATGACAGTCCCTGCTATAGTACTAGATAATCCCCACCTTCTAGTTAGCTAGCTCAATCAGCGTCTAAAGACCCCCGCATCAGATAAAGACTAGCTATGGAGGAAATTCTGTCTAAATCTTTGTCACAGCTGGATAAACCTAGCCCTCTAATCTCTCTTTCTCCGATCCACTATTTCTTTCCCTTTTCTCATATAAAAGTTTGAACATACTGTAGTATGTATTACCTCTCTTCTCCCTAATTCCTCGATTACATACAAATCAAATGTCAATTAGAAGCTCAGGGTTTAGTTAAGTAAGCATTACGGCTTGGGAAACGGTTACTTCTAAAGCTTTCATTGGACTGCCAGTGCATCTATTGCTGAAGCCTATACCCCCTACCCCTAGTACGGCATACAATCGTTATCTCTCGGAAATATGATTTTCTTGAAGAGTAAGGGCCTTTAGAAATGTGTCCCTTGAATTATAAAGAGAGTTGCATATATTGCGTCCTCCCATGCCAACCCTCCTCCCAGCCATGGCAGCGTCATGTGACCGCGTCCTACGAAGTGACTTAGATACGAATGAAAGCATGGAATCCCGAGCAAAGTACCCAGTGACACCTAGGTAAGTTTCTGGCCCTACCTAATGAGGACCGAGAAATAACGGCAAACCTCAGGGGCCGTTTTCTTCAGCAGCCGCTATGCTATAAATAATGTCATAGAAGAGAGTATTAAGTACTAGTCACTAGTAATCTGTAGCATTGTTTTCTCAGGTTTTGGAGTGTGTCCACTTCCTCTTTTCCAGCTCGTTCAATTTGTATTCTTTCGTGTGTCGACAGACAAACTACCGCTTATACAAGCAATAACAGGCCGCCCTGACTTCTAAAACACGCAGCAAGGTCACGACTCGCACTGTCAACGGCATCCCTACTCTGCCATACACCCTCCATGATCTCCAGTGCCTTACGCAAAGTACCAAAAACAGTCGCAGGCTGCAGTGCCTCTACCATACCACGCAGCTGTTCTTCCTGCTCAGGCGCGGCGAGGCAGCCTGCCACGCAGAACGGCCATACCATCGTGCGCAGCAGACTCGGCGGCGAAAGTCCGCACGCCAGCAGCTCAAGGATCCGGCTGACGTGGTGGCGTACATCTTTGCTCGCTGGCTGCCACCCGGAGACGACGACGGACAGGTAGGCGAGCGCTGCATGAGCCCACACACGAGTGGCTAAGCCGGTCTGGCTGGTAGTTGCGGTCGCGAGTGTGTGCTCCCCTGGGCCCCCGTGGGCCGACGAGAAGATATCGAGAAGACTGGTGCCGACGGCAGCGGGGACGGGCTCCGTGTCTATGTCGAGCTGTCTGAGGTGGGCCTCTAATGTCTCTTTGATAGTTGTGGCGCGGCCGACGAGCTCCATGACGTCCAAGCTTCCGGCATTTTTACACCGCTGCTTCCAGGCATCAAGAGCGGCGACCTGACCGATCTGTAACAAGGCCCAGTTCTGGCAACCCACCACAGCCTCTAGGTCGATCGCCGTCTCAATCATGACATCCCCACAGAGAAGGCTGTGGTGGTACTCAAGAAGCGCAGGCTGCTCCTGGAGAACAGTACTAGCAATTATATCGTCCAGTATCAAGAGCGCGGAGGAGAAGTGAAATGCAGCCTGCTCTGCACTCACGATGGGAAGCTGGGCCGGCTCGATCCAAGACGGCGGCCCCAGCCTGTCCATCACCTCCTTGAAACGCGCACTGGGTTCCAATGACTGGGCCGTGCTTGAACCATCGAGCAGTTGCGTGAACAAGACCCGAGCAGCATTGAGATGTGCCCAGCAGTTGCTGAAGCTCAGAACGGCGACTTCGAAGCGTTGAACTTGCAGGATACTCGACATGATCCTCACTGCGCCGTGGATGTGTTCTATCACCCCTGAGCCCTCAATAACTTGTAACGACTCCCTCAGTACACCAAAGACGTCCCCGGTCTGCTGGAGCATCGCCTCCCAGGCCCGGCTACCATCTTCCGACTCCCGCGCCAGTGAGAAGAAGTAAGAGCTCTGGCAGAGGGCAGCCTGTCGGACGACAGGGCTACTGATCATCATTTCCAGGACCCATGCTCTACCTCCCTCGAGTAGGGAAGGTCTGTAGAAGGGGAACAGGAATGGAAACAGCTGCTCGAGGTAGAACGTGAGAAGCACGGTGTCCGACCGTCCGAAAGCGACCCTCTCGCGAGCATACCTTCCACCCCGGCTGCAATCCTTCCCTCGCTGCTGCTGGGGAGGAGACACCTCTCCTTGGGAGAAACCCCCCTGGGAGAAGGACGGACTCGTCACCGCCCCGCTGCTGTGTGTCTCGGAAGAGGTGCTAATAGTGGATACGTCAGGAACCTCAATATCGTGTAACATTGTCGACGGATCTTCTCGCCCGTCGACGACGAACTCGTGTCCCGCCGTGATGGTTGGCGAGACAGAGTCACCGGAGCTGTGCACCGCGCGGCGCTGTGCCGCCCTGTTCTTGACCTCTTGCCTGAGCCGCTCGGCCATCTCCTCTTGGCGCGGGCCGCCGTCCATCCAACCAGGTCTGGCTTGATCGTAGTGACATGTGATGAGAAGAGATGAGCAAATGTCACACACCGGGCGCCTTTCGTCACACTTTTTGCGCCGCAGGCGACAAGTCCAACACCCATTGGACCTTGTGGCCCTTGGCACTGGCAAATTAGGCCGACCGTGATGTAGGGGCAAGTCCATGGTCAGCAGACATATACATTGACTAGCATGGGTGCACGGCCTGGGCGTTCTTCTCCTGGTTGTTTGGGGAAAGAAGCAGAAGATGAGGTTGCTCGGTCGGTCCAGGCCAAGCCATCACCGCGCGGGCCGTAGACTTGGCCAGCAGAGGGGGCGGGAAGTGAGAAGTCGAGTTACACCAACGCGCGCGGGGTGGTGGCTTGAATTCCAGACCCAGCCATGGGAGGTGGGCCCCGATAAGCTAATAAGCAAAGTCCTTCGGGACAACAGGGGATAGGCAGTAAGCAGGTCGATCCCCGAGAACCAGACTCCTTGATAATACTCCTGTTAGTAATCCAGCAGAGAACATTTCAAACTAGAGGAATAGCGGACATGAATGGTTTCCGGTCCAAAATATGACGTTATTGGCCGCGAGCTGCTGGTTGACCTGTGCCACCGTAATACCTTAGTATCGTGTGAACAATATACCAAATGGCCCAAACCTAGGGGTTTTGTGGGTTGTTTCCATGAAAATGAATATAAACTCTTGGGTGCCATCTGTGTGACTTCTTTCTTCTGAAGACTGTTTGCCATTATCCGTTAAGAGACACGATGTCCTATACCAGTCCCTTTGAAGAGATAAAACAGCTACTGGCAACCGCAGAGGGAGCCTCGCGAGGTTCTGTGCTGCGCCAGCTGCATGAGATAATAGTTTCTGCCGAGACTCCTGCAGAGACTGCTACTCGAATGTGAGTACCCATGTAATAGCCCGTTTCCTAACCCGAGGCCAAGACTTTACTAACTTCATGATGTAGCGCACTCTATGTAGGACCAGCTACTCTAAGTCTCATACGCTGAGCTTGGAAAGTGTTGACTTCTCTCTAGCCATTGCAAACTTCAGCGATAAGGATTAGCCATGACTTGAAGATCTTTGAACTCCTGAATGAGGGACCGAAAAGTCTCGGGCAGCTCGAGAAACTCACAAAGGCACATCCAATTACCCTAGGTGTGTATATAAACTTTGCGAAAACTAATCTAGCGGGGGACTAATGATCAGTACTGACTGTGTCTCTAGGGCGCCTTTTGAGATACATGGCTTCTGTGGGGCTCATTAACGAGCCTCGGGCAAACTGGTTCGAAGCCAACAAGAAAAGCCGCAACTTGGCGACTTCGGAGGCAATGACTATCTCGACGCACTTGTATGTAGCGCAAACACCATCCGAAAAAGACCCTCATCTACACAGCGAAGGAAACTGATACTTCTCCCAAGTTTTGAGAACTGCAGCCCTCTGTTCCAGGAAATGCCAGCTTTCCTGCGCAAGACGAGCTACCAGGATGTCACCGACGCAAAGGCTACGGTCTTTCAGCCTGCCTACAACACTGACATGGACACGTACACATGGTTTTCAGAGAACCCCACAAACAGGGCCGCTTTGATAAAGTACATGGGCCTCGAGGAGAGAACAAGAGGCCGTTGGCTGGACAGCTACCCTTTCGAGCAGATGACCCAGGGCTGGGACCCCAGCTCGCCAGTCTTTGTCGACATCGGTGGTAACGTTGGCCACTACTGTGCCAAGTTCAAGGAATGCTTTCCCAACATTCCCGGCCGTGTAATCTTGCAGGATCTGCCAAGCACCCTGGCGCAAGCGCTACACACACCAGGTGTCGAGGCGCTCCCGCACGACTTCTTTGAACCTCAGCCCATCAAAGGTAGGTGCCACCCATGAGCTACATGTGGGGAGGCACAAACTCTGGCCTGCAATATCCGCTGACAAGCTGTTCCAGGCGCCAAGTTCTACCACCTCGGTTGGGTGCTCCACAACTGGAGCGATGAGAAGTCGGTCCAGATCCTACGCCATATCAAACCAGCCATGAGCCGGGACTCGGTGCTCTTGATCAACGACATGGTACTGCCTGAAGCTGCTATTCCCCCATTTGCGACTTCGCTAGACTTGGTGATGTTGGGTGCATGTGCAAGTCGTGAACGGACATTGGCCGAGTGGAAAGACCTATTTGGCCAAGCTGGCTTGACTATCATCGATTGCAATATGTATGATCAGAAGTTTTGTCATGGTCTTATATCGGTGGGCTTAGCTTAGAGCTTGTCGCGTCGTGTCAGAAGCGCCCCTCGCAGCGCTTGGGAAGACCAACATTCAAGTCGCTGGGAAGCGTAGCTCAGTACCTACCTAGGTAGGTATAGACTCTTTGACAGTATTCAAATACACATTCCAATTTTTCTTCCAATCTTGACAACCATTTCTCGGTTTAACACCGCGATGCCGATATTGACCGTCTCCTATTGTTTCATGAGCCCTTCAGGACTGACTGGGTTTCATCAACAACCCCATCCAACTTAGAACACGTTGCAAAATGACCGACCCCAAATATTGTCCATGCGTGTCGGTAAGGTTGAAATGGTCTCAAGAAGCAACTCGTCGATAGTTGGTTGCCAACACAGAAGGAGTCGGCCATTCCACATTCAGGCCACCCCCTGACTCCGACCACCCCTGCTGTTACGGTGCAACACTAATAATGTACACTGCTGGAAGTAATCAATCTTGTTGGTTGAAAATCAATGTCTTTTGGTGGAAAGGCACCAATCGTCAGGAGTAATTGAGCACACCGCGTCACCTGCACACCAGGCCGACTAGCATTAAAGGATCATTTACTCAGCCAATTGAACAGCTACATTAATAGAAATCTAGACATAGGTATATTACTATATGATATGACTACATGCAATAAAATGTAGTGAGTAGGGGTGGCGAGAATCAGGGGGTAGCATGAATTCGAAATGGCCGACTGATTGGATATCACACGTGAACTTCAGTGTTCGAAGAAAGCACGCGCATGTTCTCACGTGAACCAAATGTCTGAATGGATTTTCCCATCAGGCGGCAAGAGTTGTGTGTGGTGAGTAGAGTAGGAATTCCATCGATACTACGAGTATCTTACTAGATCTTTGCTATTGCTAAGAAACCATCGGCACTGAATCGACTGAGATGCGCTCCTCTGCCAAGGGCGCTGCCTCTTTCCCAAATGTTCCAAACTTGTAATCGGAGTACTTCCCGTAGTCCTCCAACACCGGATTGGACACAGCAGTCGCCCAAGCACCTCTCTTTAGCATATCCTCATTGAAAGCGCTTACGAGACTCTCGTGCTCGAGTCCCTTGGCCCGAGTTTCCTTGACTTGGGCAAGAACTTGTCCGAGCTTGAGTGCATCTGTGAAGGCGCATACCCCTGCTTCCCCACGGACTAAAGACGGTCAGCAATGATACCTCAGTGTATGCAGCAGGAAATTGAAATTGGCTCTTACATGGTGTCATTGAATGGGCTGCATCTCCTATCAGGATAACCTTCCCAGCAGGCAGCTGATGAGGTTGTAGCTGCACATCTTGAAGCTGGAACCCAGGGCTTCGATATCCCTCGACAGGAGTCTTTTCAATGATGGCGCGGAGATGATCCGGGTATGTCTTGGTCTTCTCATGCGCAAACGCCATCAGCTCCTTCTGAGTTGCTGTCACGGTCCAGGAAGGGTTCTTGTCGGTGGTTGCAGGTGCCTCTTTGTCCACCCAGAGGAGCAGGAAGTAATAGTAGCCGGTCTTGCCATCGTCACTGACTCTGTTCAGGGCCGCGAAGACAGCACTTTGGTCGTCGCTCCCCACAGTTGAGTTCATGGTGATGTATCCGGAATGTGCCAGAGATAGCTGGCGAGCAAAGTCGTCACCAACAAGCTCCACCTCGCCGACGAGGGAGCCGAGCGGCAGAGGCTTCATGACATCTTTACCCTGCAGGAGATGTGTGCGGACAACGCTGCGCGTCCCCTCAGCCCCCACGAGGATGTCACCAGATTCTGAAGTCCCATCTTCGAAATGAGCCGTCACTTTGTCGGCGCTCTCCTGAATTCTTATCACGCGCTTCCCGAACTGCACGTCGATTCCCTGGAGTAACCAGTCCCGCAATTTCTTGCGGTTGGACCGGATAATCTTGCCGGTCTCGTCGCTGGCGACTCCAACCCGCATATCAGGCTTGGTGATGTCGTAGAACACGAACTGTGCTGGTAGGTCGAGTGGGCGCAAGTGACTCGTCTGATCGACCGGTCCTAGTTCGTCAGGCATAGAGGTTTCTAGCCCGGACAGTGCCTGACCGAACAATGACAGTGCCCACCCCTGAGCCCGGGCATCGTTGGTAAGATCGCGCTCGAAGATAGAGAAAGAAATGTTGTTCTTCCGGAGTTGGTGCGCCAGAGTCAGACCACTCATACCCGCGCCTATAATGAGGACGTGAGGATAATTATCGGTAGTCATGTTGTCTTTAGGTGATTTGAGGCCCGAAAATGTCTGCTGTCAATTCAGTTTGTAGAGCGATTGTGAGTCACTTGGTGCCAACAAGAATGTTTTCTGGCATCTTCTTCTCTGCTTGATATATAAAAATTCCTCCGGTCCCAAACCATATGAAAGGCACGTAGCTGGGGACCGATCTCAAGACGATCAAATGCCCATCGCCTCTACCGCCGCGGAATCATGTCCTGCACCGAAGCCATCGCAATCGGAATACAGCAGGACCCCGAGATGGACTCACAGCAAAAGCCGCCAATGCTGCCAGAGAGCCTTAAGTCCACAGTTGTGGTACATTGCATGCATTAGCTCATGTTAATTCGCAGTAGTAAACAAAAACGCCATGTAGTGACGTGTTTCTAATCCCGCCTGCTACCGCCTGCGAACGAAGATCGAGCGTGGTTGACCGCCCGCGCTTATCGCAGTTCGGGCACCGAAATGTGGTGACATCGTCATCGGTTGGTTTAAATAAATTTACCTTGTATCACCTACCCATTCCGGAAAGTTTTCGCCGTATGAGGCCAAATATGTGGTACTGCACGTCTGGAAACGGCCGGCTGACACGGCTGACTACATTGTGGTGTCCTGCATGTGTGGGCCGCGTATTTACTCAACCCGCGGGGGTGGCTACCTTGGTACTCAGGCACCCGTACCCGTATCTTTGGGAGGGGGATGATTTCATGAATCTTGATAGGTCATCGAATGAACCTCAATCCGAAGTTGATGTGAGGCCGTAATTCCCGAGATCGATCGAACGCGTTAGCGCCGTTATAGAGTGCTCTACATGATGACCTAGACAACCTCACATGTGGCTCGTGATCAACATGTCTTACGCCGCAATGTCTTGGGCTTCCCGATCTGGTACAAAAGTAGGATGGCTTTGTCCCATACATCCGTCCCTCGAATCCCGATCCCACCCAAACTCGACCTGGTAGTGCGCGCGGGTCGAGGACGACTGCAAATAACAGGATCCATAAAAAGTGATGAGACCTTGTGGGTTGCACGGACCAAAAGGAACAACTCTTCTAAGCTGATGAAATGCAATTGTGATTGGAGACCACGTAGTCATGTCGCGTCCGAGGCTTTGGAAGAGGCTTGTGAAGCCCGGTCAGCTCAAGGCGAGTTGCTCTTGTCAAATTACTATTCGTCAATCCCGTAGTCACGCTAAACAAATCCTTCTTTGCGCGCGCGTCTATGCTACGTATTTACTGCTTCTTCATACACTTCATCCAGCTGCACTTCATCCTCTTCCCCCTATCCATTAGTAATGGCTTCTATAGTATCTGTAAGCACGCGTATAGCACACCGACACTGATCAGCGCCAAATATTTATCTCCGTCGCTCGAAGCTTTAAGCTTTAAAGACAATCAACAGCTAGTAAAGAAGCCAATACACAGCTTGGATTAGCTTCGATACTTCCTCTATTTTGCCCTAGGCTATAACCTTTGAAGAAATAAATTGCTTGTTCAAGAGGCTTTAATGTAGTAAAAGGAACAGGCTGGGTCTAGACTTGTGGATTCTACACATGTAAGCGGACCAAAGCCTGCATCTCCTTCCCAATAGTATTAGCGGTGAGAAGAAATGTGTGAGAGGTGTGAGATAAGACAAATGTTCTAGATGCGAAGAAGGGGCGAATACGCCATGCGGCCGCGCTTCGCATGAGGGCTAGCCATTTTGTTTCCCGAGGGTGTAGGAGCAACGTTTAGGATGTGTAGGTGCGCGTGTGAGGAAGGATCTCGAATGTGTCTGAGAGTGGAGATAGTAATGTGATAAGGGTGGGCACGCCGCTCAGCAATAGCGATATGACTAGACGATGATGATGAATCTGTGGCGCGCTCACGTCAACTGATACGTTCCTTTGACATGAGATTTGCCGCAGGAGATGTTTGCAAATACATCAATTATTACACATCTATATAAATATGATCAGTGTTCTCCGTCAGTATTCTTTTTAAAAGTTTGAGCAAGGCGAAGTCATAACATCGCCTATTCTACTTCCGCATCGGCCGGTTCAGAACATTACCCATCATTCATCATGACACGGGCTAAGGTTCTCTACTTCTCCGGTGAAATACCACAAGGTGACCCGGAAGGAGATCAGCAGGACTTGTTTAGAAAGCTGCACCTGCTAAGCAAGGAGAGAACTCACACTGTTCTGGCCTCCTTCCTCGAATCGGTGACCTCAGCCGTGAGAGACGAGTGCAGCCGCCTGCCTCAGAGTCAGAAAGTCCTCATACCAAGCTTTGAGAGCGTACTGGACTTGACAGACCATGTTCTTGACTTGAGGAAGACTGCATTCGGTGCAGCTATCGAACGGGTCTTGGTCATCGTCTTTCAGCTCGGCAGTTTTATTGCGTAAGATCCATCCATCGCCTGTTCCCACACACTAAACGTATTGGACTATGTGGCAGGCTTGAGGCTAACTGATAGTTAAAGATATCACGAGGCAAAGCCTCTCGAATATGACTTCCAACCTTCCAATACGTTTCTCATCGCGAGAGGCCCAGGCTTGCTTTCAGCTGCGGCCATCAGTCTTTCACCCAGCCTGTCGATGATTCCAAGCATCAGCGAAGATATTGCGAGAATCGCCTTTCGTTTCGGACTTGTCGTTGATCAGGCTTGCCGCTCGCTTGAGGTGTCTCCAGATGAGATCAATTCAGAAGGAGCCTGGATATACTGCGCGTATGGTGTCGAAGAAGACGCTGCTGTCCAAGCAGTGGAGCGTTTCAACTCAGAAAAGGTAACCGACGCGCCTGAGATGTCTCCGTGGTGTCAAACATTCATGAAACTAATATCTACTCAAGGCATACCCCGAAACCAATGCGGCGTCCATCTTCAATGTGGATGGAAAGTCTGTCAGCGTCGGTGGCCCACCGTCGACGCTCAAAGCCCTGTTCTCCGAGTCTGAATATTTCAAGCAAGCCAAGGCCGTGCCCATGAAAAAGGTCCAAGGGATGTGGCACACGGGTCGAGTTTACAGCACGGAACATGTCCAGCAAATAGTACCGGAGATACAAAGTACTCACCACCTGTACCTGGATTTATTCTCTCCAGTTACAGGGTCCCCAATCAAGCAGACACAAGCAACTCCTGCGCTCGAGCAAATCATGGAGGAGATGCTCACTCAGAGGATTCGATGGGACAAGACCATCGAGGGAGTCACTCTTCGACTGAAGCATTTGTCATGTGACACTATCCAGCTGATCGCCATTCAGCCGTCACATTATGTGGAAAGCCTGCTCGACCATTGGCGAGCTGAGATTCCACCAACAGAACCGTCGAGCCAGGATATGATGTCCGCCGTTATGGATCTTCCTTTAGGGCAAAGTCCACCTCGGGACGCCAAGTCGTCCAAGATCGCCGTAGTAGGCATGGCGTGTCGTTTCCCCGACGGTGCGGATGACCCGGAAAAGTTCTGGGAACTATTGGTGCAAGGGCGAGATGCCCACAGTCCGGTGCCCCCCGATCGGTTCGATGTCGACACTCATACCGACCCAGCTGGAAAGAAGCCCAACGCGTCCAAGACCCCGTACGGATGCTTCGTGGACTCCCCTGGCCAGTTTGATGCTATGTTCTTTGGTATGTCTCCCCGAGAGGCGGAGCAGACAGATCCAATGCATAGGCTCGCCCTAGTCACCGCTTATGAAGCCCTGGAGAGCGCCGGCTACGTCCATGGCCGGGGTAGGGTGCATACCCGGCGGGTGGGCACATTCTACGGGCAAGCCAGCGATGACTACCGCGAGGTCAATTCCGGACAAGATATCAAGGCATACTTCATTCCTGGAGGATGCAGGGCCTTTGCTCCAGGGCGCATCAACTACTTCTTCAAATTCTGGGGACCAAGTTTCAGCGTCGACACGGCCTGCTCGTCCAGCTTGGCGGCTATCCAAGCAGCGTGCACCTCCTTATGGAGTGGTGACGTTGATATGGCGCTGACTGGTGGTTTAAATATCATCACAAACTCGGATGTCTATGCTGGGCTGAGCAATGGCCACTTTTTGTCCACCACTGGGAACTGCAAGACTTGGGACGAGAAGGCTGACGGATACTGCCGAGCCGACGGAGTTGGTAGTGTGGTCCTCAAACGGCTGGAGGATGCCGAGGCTGACAACGACAATATCCTTGGAGTCGTATTGGCTGCCGCCACGGACCATTCGGCCGAGGCTGTGTCCATAACTCATCCACACGACGTCGCACAGTCACATTTATATCGCCAAGTGGCCAGGCGTGCTGGGGTGGACCCACTATCGGTCGGTTACGTTGAGAGTAAGTCAATAGTCTTCTGTGCTCGAACAAAGAACTACTTTCGTCTAGAGGATGCTCAAACAGTCAGCTAACTTTGTATCGCGCAGTGCATGGCACAGGTACTCAGGCAGGAGACACCAACGAAATGCGGTCCGTCACGGATGTCTTCGCCCCAGCCAGTCGACGCCGGAGCTCGCCCCTTCACATAGGTGCAGTCAAGGCAAACGTGGGGCATGGTGAGGCCGCTGCTGGAATAATGGGCTTCATGAAGACTATGCTGGTCCTGCAGAAGGGTCTCATACCTCCCCATATCGGTATCAAGACCCGCTTGAACCCAGCCCTACCTGGAGATCTGGCCGAGAGAGGAGTCGTCATCCCGTACAATGCGAGCAGTTGGCAACCGAGAATTGAGCGCAAGAGGCTGGCTATGGTGAATAACTTTGGAGCTGCAGGGGGAAATACCTCCATTATCGTGGAGGAGACCACTCCGCGACCGAGAGCGGCTGAGGACACACGAGAGGCACACCCTATCACCATCTCGGCAAAGACCGCCCTATCCCTGCAGGAGAACATCAAACGCCTCATAGGTTTTGTCGAGTCAAACGTCGACATTTCCGTGGCGGATGTTTCCTATACTTTGACGGCGCGTAAGAGCCATTACAACTATCGTGTCTCTGTCCTCGCCACAACCCTAGCTGATATTGCCACGATGCTTCGACCTCACATCGAAACCGCCATAACCCTAACACCCCATTCCGGGAAACAGCCTCATATGGCTTTTGCCTTTACCGGCCAGGGCACATTTTACTTGGGCATCGGGGCGCAGCTGTACAGAGACTCCGCCCTGTTCCGCCAACAGCTTCTTCAACTGGATCATCTCTCACAGAGGCAGGGTTTCCTCTCGTTCTTGTCAATAGTCACTGGGACCTGCCCCCCTGAACACGTGTCGACTGTCACCATGCACCTGGCAATTGTGTCCGTCGAGATTGCCCTCGCACGTCTATGGGGTTCTTACGGCATCACTCCTGACGTTGTCGTAGGCCACAGTCTCGGCGAATACGCCGCATTGGCCGTTTCCGGTGTTCTTTCTGATAGTGCCACCGTGTTCCTCGTGGGTATGCGGGCTCAGCTGCTGACCTCGGCCTGCACCCCTCGCACACACGCCATGTTGACAGTACGAACTTCGGTCGAGAACGTGACCAAAGCGGCTGCTGGTCTTCCTTTCGAGGTCGCTTGTATCAACGGCCCAAATGAGACAGTTGTTGGCGGCCCGATTTCAGATATGAAGACTATTTCAGACTCTTTGACTGCAGCCGGGCACAGAGCCATAATCCTGGACGTCCCACATGCTTATCATACCAGCCAGATGGACTGTCTCCTGGAGGAATTTGTCGAACGGAGTCAGGGGATAGAGTTCAAGAAGCCTCGAATCCCAATTATTTCTCCGCAACACGGCCGGGTCCTGACAGAGGAAGACACTGTCGATATCTCGTACTTGGCTTCTTCGACTAGAGCAACGGTGAACTTCGCCGGAGCCCTGGAAGGCGCATGGTCTTCTGGAGTGATATCCTCGTCCACAATCTGGCTCGAGGTAGGACATCATCCCACCAATACGGGTTTCATAACCCGCACACTACCTTCGACTCGACTAGCATGTCCCAGCCTCCACCGAGATGCCGACAATTGGAAGACTCTGGCCAAAACGCTCACTGCCTTCTACGCAGCGGGTGTCAACATCGACTGGAACGAATACCACCGACCCTTCGAACCTGGTCTGCGACTGGTCGATGTCCCAACGTATGCATGGAACAATAAGAACTACTGGATTCAGTATCGAGGAGACTGGAACCTCACCAAAGGCCGATCTGATACCGGACTGATCACCAGCTCACCTGTGCAACCGAATCATTCATCCAGCATTCACCGCATCGTGTCCGAGACCTACAGCGTCACCACAGCACAGGTTTCGGCGGAGACCAATATTACCGACCCATCACTCCAAGGCGCGATTGATGGACATGCGATGAACGGACATGGAGTTGTCTCTTCAGTGAGTTGAACGTGCCGCCGACTGGAATTACACCAGTGCTAATACCTCACAGTTCCTGCACGCAGATATGGCGTACACATTAGCCACATATGTCTTGCAAAAGGCGCCCAAGAACCTTCCAACTCCTCTCGGACTCAACGTTACAGACTTCGAGTATCATGAGCCAGTGGTCAAGCAGCGAGACACGAAGTCTGCGCAGCTGATCATGATAAACGCCGAAGCTGACTTTGACCAGATGAGTGTTCACGTCAAGTGGTACAATCCGGCCACGAAGCATTGGTACGCCCACGCCACGGTTCTGTGCCAGGACACTGCAGGCTGGCTTTCGGACTGGACCCGCCAAAAGAAAATCGTATCCAGTCGAATTGACGACCTGAACGCGATGGCGAACACTGGCAGAGCCAACAAGCTCTCCACAGATCTCGCCTACAGCCTCTTTGCCAAGCTTGTGCGGTACTCCGAGATGTATCAGACCATGCAATGGGTGACCCTCAACCAGGATGAAGCCGTTACCGAGGTGCTGTACCCTGAGCACACGAGCGGGGCGTGGACTGTACCGCCGCATTTCATCGATGGTGTGGCGTCACTGCCGGGGTTCATTCTCAACGGCGGAACCCACTATGACAACAAGAACAACTTTTTTGTCACACCATCTTGGAAGTCGATGCGATTCGCCAAGCCACTTTCACCCGGTGGTCGATATCAAGCCTACGTGGCCATGGTACCCGGCGGTGACGGCCACAGCTTTGACGGAGATGTGTATGTCCTCCAGGGTGGCGAGGTAGTCGGGCTCGTGGAGGCTATCAAGTTCCTCCAGTGGCCAAGGTCGATGCTGGACCGCTTCTTCAGCCCGCCAGATTTACCAGCAAAGGCGCCAGCATTGCCCTCGCGCCAGGGTGAGCGGCAACCGCGTCCCGTAGTCTCGTCGACTCCGCCCTACTCAGACGAGGCCGCGTCACCGCTGACGATAGATGTTCACAACGCCAACGGTTCTCAGATGTCGGCCACTAAATCCACGTCTCCGCAAGTCTTGACACCTGGGACTTCGAGTCCTCCCGAGCAGGCGGCAAGGACGGATGTGATTGGTCGTGCCATCGACCTGCTCGCCGAGGAGCTCGCTGTCGACATTGGCCTTCTGACGGACGAGGCACAGGTTTCTGACCTGGGCCTCGACTCCCTCATGTCGCTCGTCATGTCAACGAGATTCCGGGAGGAACTAGGAATCGAGATAAGGGATGCGTTCTTCTTGGAAATCTCCACGATTGGAGATCTCAAGAAAATGCTTGGGTAAATGGATTGAGGGGCAGAGAAAATACCATAGAGTCAGTATCATCGAGGGCGTAGTTAGCTACGCTCATGACAGGATGCGCTCCTACACTGAAAACTTTCCACACGCAGACTGTTGGTGGTGCCAGTGTTGGTCTGACGACAAAGACCTCTGAGTCTTACCTTTCCACAAATAGAACTCTAAAGCTAGACTCTCCTACTAAATAACTAGACAATGAGAACTATATTTTCCTCCGGTCTATTCAAAGTAAGTCTACGCGGGGCCCCCAGATATCATAGAGCTCTAACAACAGCTGAAATTCTCCGCACATGTTTCTGGCCATTGGGGTGTTTGTGTACCTTAGGAATTCCTACGTGAAGGTCATCCCGTAAGACTGGGCCTTAAAAACGCACTCAATGTGCCTTCGTATCTTCAATGAGCTATACTCCGAAACTGTCGAGATTAATGGTAGTGCAAACTGAATCACGTGACAATGTGTCGTTCGAGAGCTATCTACCTAGGTACCTAACTACTCTGCCTGCTTACAACCAGACTTTGGATATTGTTTTTATAGGTGTGGTTACACCATATAGAGAGATGTCGGACTTTAGTACTTAAGTAACCAGTCATGCTAACTCGTTTCACTTCTCTTCCGCATACGTCCGGGGACATACATGGCCCCTTCATAAGGTGCTAAACACTTAAGACATAGTGTTTGAAAACAGATAGTGTCAATGATAGCGGTCAAAATACGATAGGTGGCGCATCTTCCATTCAAACTTCCCAAATGTGATGAACCTCGACTGCCTAGATGATCCAGGAATGTAGCAACCCAAGCAATACCGAACGCTCCATTCGAGTAAGTCAGCGCACCGGTCTGCGCACAACCCCACCAACGCACATCATTTCTAAAATAGATAATATATTATTATTAATTCTACACATATTTTAAAAATCTATATTAAATATATAATAAAAAAATTATTTTATAGATATTAATATTAATAATAATAAATTAAGTTATATAGAATTTATATTTTAATAAATAAATAAATATATTAAATACTTTATAAAAAATAAATTACGTTATTAAAGCCTTTATATTTTATTAATATATAAGGATCTTTTTTATATAAATAATAAAAAGTTAATATTTTTAAAAGAATTATTTAAAATTAGAAATCCTTTTTAAAGTTTCCTTACTAAATATAAGAAATATTTTTATAAACTTTAAATTATTATAAAGAATACTTATTAATAATATATATTATTAACTATATATATTAAATCTATTAAAAATATAAGCGTTTTAATTTTAAATATTCCTATTTATAGAAAATTAATAGAATAAATTATTAAAGATTTAAAAAGTAGAGTAAATTCCCTACTTATTTTACTCTACTTTTCTTAAATCTTTAATAATTAATTCTTATAAATTTCTATAAATATAAATATTTAAAATATAGGTAAATATTATAATAATATATATTTTTATCCCTTTTAAATATAAGGCTAATAGACTTATAATTATAATTTTATAATTAGTTTTTATTTAATTATATTATATTATTATAACTTTATTTAGTTTCTAACCTTATTTAAGCTTTTTTAAGCTTTTTAATATTTTCTCTTTAAAGGAGTTAAATCTAAAAGGAAGCCTTTAAGCTTAAATTTAAAATTTTTATAAATTTTAATTTTCTTTAAATTAAGTTTATAATTCCTTAATTTTTAAAAATATATTAACTATTTTAAATATTAATAACTTTTCTTTAAAGTAAAGGTCTACCTTTATATAATTATAAATCTAATTATTAATAACTATTTCTTCTTTTATTTATAATAAAGCTATTAAAATTATAAACCTAAATACTATATATAATAATAAAGTATAATTACCTTATTTAAAGGTTGTCTTTTAATTTATATAATAAATTAAGTAACTACTTTTAAGTAGTTTTACTTATAATATAATAAAGCTAATAGTCTCTTAAGTTTATTAAATAAATATTTATTTATAAAGTAAAGTTAAAACTTTAATTAAAGGAATAATAGCTTTATCTTTATCTATTTTAACTAACTTATATTTATACTTAAATTATATAGCAACCTTATATATAGTGCTTAATAGCATTAAAATTAGCTTATAGTTCGTAATAGTTTTAACTTTTAATAGATAAATTTATATTAAGGTTAATAGTGCTAGCCTAAACTAGTACGGTTTAGTATATTAATATAAGAAGGTGTCTTCTAATAATAGATAGTATTATAAATAATTATAAAGTTATTATAAAAAGTTTTATATAATAAACTTAGTTAAGTTAATTTTTAAAAGATATATTATATTTTATATTTTTAAAACTTTAATTATTTACTTTTAATTTAGTAGTGAAATTTAAAAATATAAATAGTTTATATATATTTTTATAATAAAACTTAATAATTCATCTATTTAATTAAAGTAAAAATTAAAATTTAATATCTTAATTAATTCCTTAAGAAATTACTAGTTATTTAATTAAAAGAATATTAAAGTTTAATAATTTATTTCTAACTTATAATAGTATTTCTTAGTTATTTAAAAAAATTTCTACTATAAATGAAAAATCTAGTATTTAATAGTATTAAATTTATAATTATAAGAATCTTATAGATTTAAATAAAGTATACTGAAAATCGACCTTTTTGGTGGGAAATGTGTGTGCGTTGGTGGGGATGTGCGCAGACCGGTGCGCTGACTTACATGTGAAACGAGTTGTGTGGCCCACCAGTATGAAATCGATAAATCTCTGAGTTTGTCGGATTCATACGGTGTGGAGAATTCAGTTTTAAAACCAAGTATATGCAGATGATCATCTTAACTAGTTAGGCTGTCCTACTGAGTTGCTCCGAGACAGGAAGTATGCTGAGACTGGCTGGTAAAGGTGCCGGTGTTCGCTCTCCACAAACCGCTCCAGCAACCACTGCTGCTGGCCCTCCATATCTTCCCACTCATTGGGGACCCAACCACCGAATAAATCCCAAAGACACAGGTCAAAAAAGTACTCGCCAGGATTACGGGGCAAACCCTCAGCCTGCTCCAATGGAGATTCTTCAAATGATGCATTATCATAATCGATGAGCACAATTCGCGGTATGGTCAGTCCGCACACTTTTTCGCCCTGCGAATCCGTTGTGACAAGTACGACATTTCGCCCAGCCAGATCGCCGTGGAAAAGACCAGTTTTGAACTGCCTCACATAACCATCCAGAACCCGCGCAAGTATTTCTAATCTGTACCCCTCAGGGTAGTGAAAAGCATCTGTGCCCATACTTTTGTCGTGATTGTTTTGGACGCGCATATCTTCAAGGCTGACCCCATTCAAGTGCTCAATGAGGACTAATCGGATGGGCCTGGTTTGCGGCTTGCCATGGATGGTGATGGGAAGCCAAAAGATCCAGGTGGTAACCTCGAGTATCTCCTTCCATTTTCCAATGTGCTCATAAGCTGCGGCTTCGGCTTTGTAATCTCGGTCCGCCCCATATGCACAGTCTTTCGGGTAGGTGCCAATGTCAGATTGAAAGCAATAGTATAAGGGATCATAGAACTTGGCAACAGCTCGGAATGTCGTGGGGGTCTCCCCGTTCTCTTCTACCAGAGTAACTGTACAGGCGGCAATCTGGGCTCCTCGTGCCTCCCCGACCGCAATTGGGGCAGTTATGGTCAACTGGGCAGTCTCATTCTCGGCGAAGATGGGGTTTCCGTTTGGAGGGTTTGCTACGACAGCTTCACTTTGAGTGACGTTTTCGAGATACCCCATTGAATCAATGAATGGTCTTGATTTCTCTCTTTCAGCATGATGGCGATATATTTTCGTGCTGAATCCCGGTAGGTAGGGGAGGCGCGGCTTATCGGGATCTTCCGGGGGAGACCAGAACTTTAGGGGTGGTGGTCGCTTGGGTCGCAGGAGGACATCTTTCAGCCATTGAGGTATGTGTTCTGCATCACGAATCTGCTGCTCCTCTGTGGCGAGCTCATCCTGTTGGTCCATGGTTGTGTCTTCCGACATGTCGATGCGCGGGTCTGAGGAATCTCAGGGGAATGTTGGGGGATTGGAAGGAGAAGGCAGGGGCAAAAGATGATAGACGGACTCAGAGTATTCAGAACATGTGGTGGGTTAAATTGGCAATTGGACTGACAAATTACTGTCCGACAAGCTGACTTTTACCGTCTACCAAGCAAGGTTTCAAATTGGTAGGCCAGGCAGTGATCTATTGTCGCAGCTTGTTCTGTGTTGGTTGGCAGGGTGTGTTGGACTTGTGGGTTCTTAACTCATTTGCGCCCCACTTGGCCGCATCCTGGTGGATAGAGTATGTTGGTACTTGACATGTTAGTGGAGGTTTGCTCGAATCACATCCAACCGCTTGCCTTGGATTATTGCAGACATACCAATTTTTTATGTCATCCAACGGAAGGTCAATAATATCATATTTGACTGAGCCCAAACGAGGCCGGTTACAACATGAGGTAGTAGCATTGTCGACGGCTGCTCAAGAGCATTATCGTTCGGCCGAAAAAGGATGAGTAGGTGGACGCAAATGATGGGTAGATGAACGTTGGTTGGTGTGAAAGCTGTTCCTGATACTGCAACGTATCTGGCCTGGCCCACTTTAGATAACAATTAAACCTGCAGTGATGATCACTTGCTATATTATGCTAAGCCTGATCCGTTCCAGGCTTACCTCTTCCCTTCCTCTGTTTTGGATCGTGCGGCCTACCTACTTGGTACTCAACACCACAGAATTTGATACTCACTACCCACTATACCAATATCAACATGGCTTCTTCACCCCCACTTCCAGATCTCATTACCTACAAGGCCAATTGTCACTGTAGTCAAATTATGTTCACAGTCACGATGCCTGATATTACCAAAGGCAAAGTCCTACGATGCAACTGTTCCATCTGTGTCAAAAACGGCTACCTTCTCGTCTATCCAAAATGCGAGGACGTTAAATTTGTCTCGGGAGAGGAAAGCCTGTGCGGGTACCGTTTTGGGAGTGCGCAAAAGCCACACCGCTTCTGCCCACGGTGTGGTACCAGCATTCTCATTGACTTCTCAGAGTCGGACAGAGAAATTGAAAGAACGGTCACAGCTGTTAATGTGAGCTCATCTTTCGACCACCCCCTCCTGATTTTATGGCAGCTAATTCCCTAACATTTGTTTAAATCATGACATATGAAGCTAATGGCTTAGCAGATCAGAACATTCATGGACTTCGGGGAACTTGTAAAGGATTTGGAGTTTCGAGACGTTGATGGCAAGCACAAACTCCAGCCGCCTTACAAAGAGCCTTGGTGACTGCGGATGTGCGAGGAATATGTCTTCGTGAAGCTGTACTAAGAATGAGGAAATGACCAGTTGCCGGGTGACCGAATACCAGTGTTACGTGGAGTAGGGTACATTAGCCCATTAGCCCCCAATCGGCGCTGGTGGGGAGCCAATGCGCTAAGGACCAACAGTCTGGAAGGAGATAACAGCCCATTTGACTCTGAAGCGAGGCGCACGGAGTTATCTGGTCTCTAGTCTATTCCGTATACATCCGAGGATATACATGAGACTTTCATATACGTAGACATGTTAGCACAATATGCAAGCTACGTGCCTATAACAATAGCAGATAGCTAGTTATGCGGTATGTGTAATAGTGTGTATCCTACCTGTACCTACTGGTCAACATTTTAGATATTAGGTTGATTCTAAAGACTGACGGTGTAGGCAGATAGGTTGTTGATTCCTCTTAAATGGTGGTTGCCTGCGCCTAACCCGAGGCATTTAGGCCTGGCCCGGGACGTTGGCGGGCGGCTTACTAATCAAGTCTACGGATCCACAATAGTGTAGGTTTTACCTAGCTAAGTGTGAGCAAGACAGCTATACTAGTATATAACTTAGAAAAAGCTACATATTAGAATAAAGGGATGTGTTGGGAAATAGGGATGTGTTGGAAAAATCGGACGTGTATGGGTGGGTAGCAATAACAACTTGCTATAACACACACTGTGAGAAAGTCTGTGGTACCTTTCACGGCCCGTGTCCTGTTTCCCGGCCGGGCGATCGGGATTCCGAGCATTCTGAAACACGAAAGAGGGGTACTTGGTAATTGTTAAAAGGTACAAAAAGGTGTTAACAGTGGCAAAAAATGTACTTGGACGGGAATTGAGCCCGACGTGGGGGTCGAACCCACAACCTTGAGATGTATCTCTGTCAGAATCGTGAGGTTATTCAGAACCAGACGAGGTCCTTAAGAGTCTCACGCTCTACCGATTGAGCTAGCCGGGCGTCGTGAAGACGCCTTGATCGTTGGAGGACGAATGGATTGCGTTCCTATGGAGCGTGGACAAATCAGTAGAGACTCCTTAATATTTAAAATCCTATCTTTAATTCTTAGTTTTAAATATTTATTATTATAGTTAAAATAAAAAAATTAAAATACTTTAACTTTAATAAAAGTATTAATATAATATTTAATAAATATTAAAATAATATAAGAATTAATTAGATATATAACTTTAATCTTATATTATATAAATAAAGTTAAAATAAAGTATATTACTTCTAACGGCACTAATAACTATAATTATTAACACTATTAATCTAAGGGCTAATAGATAGTAAAATAGTTCTATCTCGAGTCTAGAATAGAATTAGAAATTATAAAAGTCATGAAGTACCTTTAAGGCACTAGCTTAGTAGGTTAAAAATGTAGGATATATAAGCTGCATCCTGCGTACGCAGCGACAGGGCTGCCGCTCACTACACTCAGTGTAATCAGTGTAGTGTAGTGCGTGTAAATACGCCCACTACACCCCATTACACTGAGGGGATTTTGAAGTCCACTACATCACACTGAAGCATCCAGTGTGTGTAATGTAGTGGGTTTAGAATTCGAGTGTAAATAGGGGGGGGGGTTGGGGGAGGAGGGAGAGAGAGGGAGAGGAAAGCTGACTAAGCAGATAGATAAGATAAGATAAGATAAGATAAGATGACTTTTACCTACCTATTTACCTATCTATTTACCTACCTATTTACCTACCTATTTACCTACCTATTTATTCTATTTATTTATTCTATTTATTTATTCTATTTATTTATTCTATTTATTTATTCTATTTATTTATTCTATTTATTTATTCTATTTATTTATTCTATTTATTTATTCTATTTATTTATTTTATTTATTTATTTTATTTATTTATTTTATTTTTATTCTATTTATTTATTTATTCTATTTATTCTATTTATTCTATTTATTCTATTTATTCTATTTATTCTATTTATTCTATTTATTCTATTTATTCTATTTATTCTATTTATTCTATTTATTCTATTTATTCTATTTATTCTATTTATTCTATTTATTCTATTTATTCTATTTATTCTATTTATTCTATTTATTCTATTTATTCTATTTATTCTATTTATTCTATTTATTTATTTATTCTATTTATTCTATTTATTCTATTTATTCTATTTATTCTATTTATTCTATTTATTCTATTTATTCTATTTATTCTATTTATTCTATTTATTCTTTATTCTATTTATTCTATTTATTCTATTTATTCTATTTATTCTATTTATTCTATTTATTCTAATAGTTAAATAGGTAGTTAAATAGGAAAGTTAAATAGGAAGTTAAATAGGTAGTTAAATAGGTAGTTAAATAGGTAGTTAAATAGGTAGTTAAATAGGTAGTTAAATAGGTAGTTAAATAAGTAGTTAAATAAGTACCCCCCCCCCTATTTACACTCGAATTTTAAACCTACTACACTACACACACTTACACTAAAGGTCTTTACATTACATTATATTTACACTAAAGGTCGAAGTATTTACATTTACATTCCACTGGTGAGCCCAGTGCGTGTAGTGTAGTGTACGGCAGCCCTGCGCAGCGAGCCCATGTCACCCCCAAAGTGCAGCGACAAGCCTCGTGACAACATTTGAACGCTGGGAAAAATCCTGGTTGTTAAATATGAAACATTAGCCTCTTGCTGTCCGTGGTATAGTTTAAATGCTCTGTCATTATTAGTTTACTGCCATTCACGACTTTGTACTCAACCCGCATCCCAACACACTCTTTCTACAGTCATCTCAGGCTCAGCAGTTAGCAACAGAGGCTACAACAGAGCTCAAGTCAGAGTTGTATAGTTTGGAATGACGATAATAGAATGCATCCGCTGTTTTGAATTAGAGACCGCACCGAAGATCGTCTCCCGTAGTGCTCAGGCTAAAGATACATGGGTCGTGTCAACGAGTCAATAATCTCCTACGCTTATTACTTCCTAACTTATAAAAGCTACAATCCCGGCTCATCCGGCGCGGCGTCTACGCTCGTCTGATTTTTATGGGGCAAAAGGGGCCGCATGAATATTTAGGCAGCCAGAATGGCCCTTTCTTTATCACACATGACTAGTTCTTCATTTAACCTCAAAGCATATAAATACAGCAGGAGCCATATGGGCACACGTATACTGACAAGGTTACCTACTGAACCTTTTTAACCAAATACCATTCTTCCTCTCCTCACCGACTACACCATGCAGCTCAACGCCCTTTTGACTTTGCTCTGTGCGACGGGTGCGATCGCCGCGCGCATAATAGGTTGCCGCATGCCAAACGGGTCCCTTAACCCCAGCGGAAACATTTGTACCTCTGCAGGTGGCAGAGTAACGGGAACGGTAAGACTCCCTTTTTTAACCCGAGTCATACGAAATCATCAGGTGTCTAGATCATCCCTTGCTGACGAAGACTGCACAGGGCCGATGTTGCGGTGACAGTCTTGTCGAAGCTCGTTTCATAACTGGCTGCAATAACAATGGTGGCTTTGTCGGGCCCAGCGAGGTGTTCGGGGGTTGTTAACAAAAGCCTGGATCGAGTTTCTTCATATTAGCAGTGACTACACCCACACATACCAAACAAGCGTTCATGTTGAAATAACGCCAAAAGCATCGTCCGACGATAATGGTATTCTTATTAGCATTCACATACGGAATCAAAGCGTTTGAACGGCCTATTTTTATGCCTGTCACTGCTCACGTCTACAAGGGTGTATCCTGGATCTGTCCCTTTTATCAGCTCCTTTTGTGTGTTTCTATGCTTTACACTTTTCTCAGATGAGAAATTGATCATAGAAATGTCCCTGCCATTCCCCACTACTATTTTTTACATGGATTGCATTCAATATTTAGTACTACAGACGTGTGACATCCTGTTGATTGTCTCGGGTCGAGGTCCAAATAGTTGATGATCCTTAATCACTGCACGACGGGCTCGCAAATGCTTTAGTGTGTATAGACACTGAGAATCAAATCTATGTACCCTCCAGTGCTGACAGGATAACGTCCTTCCTCTTGTGGAACCACGTGCATATGCTTACCTAGGTACGCATTAGCAGGTCCGCGCCAAGTGCACCAGGCCAAGGTGAGATGACAGGACGCCACAGGCGACCTTCGTACATCATCGTAAGCACAGCAGTTGATCTGCTGCCTGTGCCGACTTCCCGTCTCAATCCCGAAGACAAAGTGCACTGCTACAGCCTCTCTGTAACTGTTATCCCGTTGGAGAAATCCGATTGTGTCCACGATGACCCTGGAAGTCCCCAGCAGCAGTGTTTCCGCTTTTGAAGAGTGGTATGCTACGTATATGAGCATGACAGACTTTGACGCCGACGAAGCTCTGCGCTCTCTGAAACTGGACCCAGAGGACCTTGAAGCTTTCGAAGCCGAGGTGGTTGGCATAATGAGGGAAGTGACTCTTGTCGGTGAATTCTGTGTCACCTGCCAAGCCATGCTGGACAACTGGCCAGAGTTTGACCGGAGAAACAGGCCGCGTGAAAACAGTATAGCGCAACTGTCAAAAGCCCTGGAGAGGAAACTTCCAGCATCTCCAGCCTCGCAGGATCATGATGAAGGTCCCAGATACTGGAGACACCGAGACCATGGTAGGACCACAGATTTAACATGCCAGTCAAACCTTGTCAGACGAAGAGCAGCAGCCAAAAGTGGCTGTAGGTGCTGCTTATTGATCGTCGGTAGCATAGAGGACGTTGGGAAATTCGAAGACTATATCAAGGCCGACAGAATCCTTCAAGAGCTTGGCAGATCGTCCGACATCCACATGGCGCTCAGTCTCAAGCGGGAGTACCTGGTGCCAGACAGGTATGGACGCTTGTTCTCTCCCGAGGTCGCAATTAGCCAGTTACCTTCTCTAAAACTCTATGCCCGAATAACTCCACTCGTTCCTATCAGAATCGAGCAGGTTCGACCTTCCAGACTCGTCGTCGTTGAAAGCACAGTCTGAGGCGATGGATTGTTTCGCTAACACTGTTGATAGTGACGCAAGACCAGAAACGTACACCCTGCAGATTAGCCTCCCAGGACGGCGGTGCGTAGAGTCCAACTCTACAAGCCAACCCTTGATCCACAGCTTCCCCGTTAGTCACGATTGTAAGTACCTAGATACAATGAGCGACACACACTGATATCATGATCCACTTTAACACGAGATTTCATTAAGTGCAACGCCATCTCTCTCTGCGAAACAACGAAGTTCCGTCTGTGCCAGTCTCCTGCACAGAGCTTGTCAAGCAATGGACAACAGTTTGTCTGGAATTTCACAAAGACTGTAAATCAAATCGGCCATCACAATACCCGAAACGACTTCTGTCAATATCAACAGACTCCGTTCGACTTGTATCAACCAGCGGGTGGACTGGAACTCCTCACTATGCAACGCTCAGCCACTGCTGGGGTGGGCAGGGGTTCGAGACCCTGCTCTCGAACAATCTTGAGCAGATGCATGTTTGCATACCGGGAAACCTGCTCACCAAGACGTTTTCAGATGCAATTGAAATTTCTCGGGGAGTGGGTCTTCATTACCTGTGGATTGATTCGTGGTGCATCGTGCAAGACGACGACCAAGACTGGGAAATCGAATCCGCCAGGATGACTTCGGTGTACGGCGGCTCAGCTCTGAACATCGCGGCCTCATCCGCAAAGGACGGAACCCAGGGATGCTTTCCACGTCCCACCGACCATTCTGGCGGCTTCGAAGCCGAGGTTTGCACCGGTGGCCGAAAAGAAACGCATCATTTTATGCCATCTGGCTTGTATAGGAGGTCTGTCAGTAACAACCCCCTTGCGTCGCGGGCATGGGCCCTGCAGGAAAAGGCTCTCGCCCCGCGCACTCTACACTGCCTCGACCAGGGCATGTTCTGGGAGTGCAGGACGACCATGGCCTCCGAGGACTTCCCAGATGGCTTCGGCGGGAGCGCCGCCGAGTCCCATTTCGCCAGGCAGAGTCAGCTGCTACACCCGGAGCGGATGGTTCGGTTCTCGTGGGCCTCGCTTGTGACTCAGTATTCCGGATGCGAGTTGACCTATCCCAGGGACAAGTTGGTCGCCCTTTCGGGGATCGCCCGCTTCGTAGGGGATATCAATGAAGACCAATACCTTGTCGGGTTGTTCAGGAAGACGCTTGAGGCCGATTTGTGCTGGAAACCAGTTGTCCCGCAACGTAGACCTCATTACCGCGCACCCTCGTGGTCTTGGGCAGCGGTTGATGGACGTGTTGACTACCCACTAAAGCCTACCTTTGACCACAGCCCCTACATCCATGTGCACGCCATCGCACTTGAAACCACAGGTCCAGACCCCTTTGGCCCGGTAACGGGTGCAAGTCTCACGCTTGGTTGCGACAGAATTCGACGAGGCACTGTGACAGCTACGCAGCCGAGGTCAGCTAGCAGCCAAGGAGGTCTTGCAACTGAAAATCTGCTATATGTCGACTTAGGCCACGAGGATATACTGTTTCCTTTTCATTTGGATTTCGCAGAGGAACAAGACAAACGGCTGGGTGAAGCGTTATTCTACTTGCCCATCCTAGCAGGAAAGAATTGGCACTTCCACCCTGGTGTACACAATGAGAGTGGTTACATGGATGAGGTCCAGACAATATTTGGCTTGGTCATACAAGTGGCTGGTGATTCCGGGGATTAGTACAACCGAATCGGTTCTTTTATATACAATTCATGTGGCGGGTGCGAGAAGGAGTTGTACCACTCAACTCGGACTTTCTTTCCGGGGTTTCAAAGGCTAATATCAACCAGCAATTCGGAAGCCAGCAGGGTCAAGTTAGTCTAATGCTGTTCAGGGTAGTGGTATCATAGCTCAAAAAGATATCGAAATGAATCTCGAAAGCTCTAGATTGATTGCTAAATCATTTGCAGACAGTATCACGTCTTCGTGCTTTGTCCGCCCGGCGTTCCCCTCTCTTAACTGACGGCTCTACACCACTAATAATTCCACGATAAAGCGTCTGGGACTGGAACATGAAAAGTCCTGAAGCCATTATATAAGCCATTTTCTGTGATGCATGAGATAGAGTGTATTGAATAGATGTGAATTTCCTACGCCAACATCGTGATACTGTATTTTACTCTTTCACTTGTACAGACTTTTGTAAGTTGCCTTCATCCCGTCCGCCCACCTGACACGACTGCAATGACTACTTGCCTAAAGGACTGTGCGGTTGAGAGACCAGGAGTTCTAGTCGAAGATTTAATGCCCCAAGTATTGTAAAACGCCTACGGTGCCGTACCGTCACATCTGTCTTTTCCCTCATTATCTCCTTGATGGTTGGGTAGAGGTCAATTATTTGCACATTCTCAAAGTTGTAATGAAGTACCTAGGTAATCATATGTCTTGTCTGTGGAACTCATAGAATCACATCTTCTATTTAATTTCAAAACCAGCCTCCAAAAAGCATTCTCGCTGTGAAATGACTTCCAGCTACCTACCTAGGTACGTACACAGGGCCACTAAATTAAAACTGGCTCTCTCTCGAGTGCCATCTCCCCCCTTTTCATTGCTTTTTCTTTCCGTTCTGGTCGGCGTACCCTTTGGTGAGATGTTCCCCATTGCTGCGTGATATAGGCGCACTCATCTGCTCCCTTGCTGTTGCAACTGTCAAAACAAGCAGAGAAGCTGCTGAGGCCACGTTTCCGATGAAGGACACCACTGAACTCCAACCCGTGGTCGCTAACGGGTAAATGACCACAGCAAGCACAGCTGAGAAGAGCCCCATCGCCGAAAAGACCCAGAAAAAGATCGAAGGACCCGAGGTGGGCCCTGATTGGAGCAGAGGCAATGCTGTAGCAAAATTGCCCAAGACAGACATTATACTGCTTTGGATGAGGTAATAGAAATCCGAATCGCTCGTGGCCCCTATCTCATGCCTCTGTGTTGAAATGGCGAAGCCTTGATAGCCGGGAATAAAGGCGAGAATGACGAAAAGTATAAAAAGTGCTAGTTGTAATGAGACATTCTGAGATATATATTAGCAATCAAACTCAGAGCAAATTTTGTATCTGAACACCCCATAGAAAATGTATACACTCACATGTTTCGTAGGAAGGCGTGCTGTGCATGTTCCCGATTCGGGCTCTGGATGAGGACCTGAGATGCCAGGAAAGATTGCAGCCTTAATTTCCATGCCTTCATCTAGCATCACAACTTCCACAGCTTTATGAAGAACATCCAGCCTTTTCTGAATACTTCTTCTCATAATGGCGATCTCCCGTCCATCTTCCCCATTTGGCACGGTCATTTGAGTCATGTCTTCGACTTTCTTCGTGCAGGACAGTGCCTTGTATTGTAGCATGTACAGGATCGCAGTTCCGAGAGTATTGGATGTGTTGCTTTCCCTCCAATCTAGGAGGAGATCAATAATGAGCTGCCAGTATGGGACTTCGAGGGTGTCTCGCAAATAGACCAGGTATTCCTCGCCGTACTTGAGTCCATTTTTGTAGGCCTTAACATTGTGACTAGAAGCGGGCTCTACCCAGGAAGCGAAGACATTCTCGCAGAATTGTCCAAGAGACCCAATGTAAACAGTCTCGTTTTTACTTGGACCAGAGCTCTGGTTTTGGTATTTGGCGAGGTCATTTCGTATGCGTGATAGATCTTCGCGGATCTTAATGTGATTAGACGCTTTCTCAAATGCTCCAAAACAGTCGGCGAAAAAATGGTCGAGAAAACTGAATTCCTGGGCGATTTTAATCAGACTTTTCGTCACGGCCTGATCTGAGATGTGTACCCGAGGTACATAGCAGTCAGATTGTTCGACTGTTGGAAATTTCTAGTGAAATCATGTTAGTCAATAGACAGGGGGCTTACTGCGTGCGGGCACACAAGAACGTACAGATTTGTGTTTGATATACTCTCTCCTCTGTTCCGAAGGAACATGGTCTACGCCAGTGGCGTTGAAAGAAAACCCACCAAGCGCTGCAGTTCTGCGATGAGAGAACCGATCACTCAAATACACACCTCCAAGATTGGCGCGGCCGACTTCAACACCAAAATGAAAGTGGCTATTTGCCTTGGAGAGGGGCTCCTCGGTATCTGGACGGCGGCGCTTGACTTTCTGATTCATACGGCGAGGTTCGGTACCACTTATCGACCCAGGCGAGTGAGAGGGGCTAGATGTGGAATCCGGGAGCAACTTGATCTCATCTCGACAATTCGGATTAGGCGCGGGACTCGAACGCTCCAACGAGTCTGCCATAGGAGAATCGTTCACAATTTCATCAACAGCGACGAGTTTCGTTTGCCTTCTGGATCAGGTCGAGATGGTACAGCAGTCCAGTTGATCCAGACGTCTAGTATATGAAAGCGGCCCAGAACATTCATTATACGATTCCAACTTTGAATGTTTTACGAACACAGCCTCTTGATTTCATGCGCGTGAATGCAAGTCAGCATCCTGAGCAGGCCAAGGCTATGTCTCCACCAATGTGATTCGCTGCTGAGCCGCCGTGGCTATTTACCGGAAGGCGCAGTGCCAAGGTAGTTTTTCCACATGCACGCCGTCCACGCTAAGATTTCCCAAGGATTCTGTGGCCGCCCCGAGCCTGACGTACAGTACACCCGCCAGAGTGGAGTGAAAGGTCCGCATTGCTATGCAGTGGTCGTGGCAATTTTGTTAGTTGACTGACTGACCCAGGAAGTAACGCACTATATAGACTGTGCCACTGACTGTATTGACAGCCGCTGTAATTCCTTGGGACTCCACTGTGACTGCTAACATATACATGAACTTGCCATGCAATTTGATGAGTGAAGTTTGGGCGACTACATCACAGCTATGCAGATGGTGGTAAGATCAACTTCTACGTGCAGGTAGGCAATAGAACATGCGTGTAATTCAAATCAGCGACCGCTAGAGTGGTAGCAACACTTAGGGTCCGATTAGGGAGCGATATAAGTCTTTAAAAGTGAGAACGGAAATTCGCGTACCCTCAATCGGAAGGCACGTACCCTCCCACTTATTCAGCCAATCAGAGGATAGGACCTCAAAGTCCTCACGACTTTCACAAATAAGTCTTCACGATTTTAGGGACCACAAACAGGGCGGGTTGGTCCTCTAGGAACTCGGGTCGTGCCTACCGGCCCTACTCACGGCCCTCCGCTATGCTTCGCACTCCGGGGCTCGCCCCCTTCGCCCCAGCCGGCCCTTTCGAAAAGAAGTCGTCTTGTATAGAATACTTCTTAGTCAGCAAATGGGTACGCGCCTTCCGATTGAGGGTACGCGAATTTCCGTTCTCTTAAAAGTAGAGGGCGAAACTATGATGGCTTGCACGCGCCTACATAGGTCATAAGATCTATAAAAAAGAACTATTTTATCTACTATTAAGGGATAACTATACCGCTTTTAAAACTATTAAAAAGAAACTATATTTATTTAATATTTTATTATAAAGTATATTTAAGATTTTTAAAGAAAGATATAAAGTAAAGTTAATTTATTTAAATACTTATATTATTATTAATAATATTATAAGTGTATGTATATAGGTGCCTAAAGGCCTTAACTAGCTTCCTACTTAGTTATCTAGTAGTGGCCTAGTTACCCACCCACTTTAAAACCTTAGTATTTCTTTTATAATCCCTTTAAACCTTCCCTTTTATATAGAAGTTAGCGTTAACTTAACTATAATTAATATATTTAAAATAGCTACTTTATTTTTATTTCCTCTCTTATAATAACTATTATTAATATTACTATTTATTTATTAAGATTAGGCTTTAAGTTTTTATAAATATTAAATTTATATATTTTATAATTTTAAAAATAAGTAATAAAATACTTAATAAAAGGGTTAGAAAGCACTTAGAATGTTAAAACACATCCTTTAAAATATTAGATTGCCATGGATTTAAGTACTAAATCACCTTGTTAATTATAGATAGTTGAGTGACAGAGAGCACTCAATAGGAATTCTAGTAAGCTTACCCACTCCCGTATAGAAACTCTTCACAGTGGGCAATATGGGGTCAATTAAAGTAACCATATCAACTAGTACTTTCCCTACTCCCCACCTCCCCATTGTCCTCACATGCATCACCAGCACCCTCAACCTGAACATCCTCATCAGAGCCAATGACCCTCCTCCACTCACCATCCCACTCCCCATCACCCGGCCAGCCAAAACCGCCATCACCACCCTCATCCCCATCCACACTAACCACCTTCCGCAAGTCCACAGAATACATCCCCTCAAGCCTGTCCAGCGCGGCGAGGACGTCGTCCTCGTTCCGGACCTGCACCTCGTGCCGCCGCCCCTCGATGTCCCGGCTGTCCTCCCCACCACCACCACCACCACCACCACCCCGGAACTCATCAGCCCACACCCCCGGGTCAAGAATAGCCATCATCCGCGGGCCCTCCTCCCCCGCACCAACACCAGCAAACAGCCCATCATCAAGCGCCCACCGGTCCGAGACCCCGATGGGACCCCCCCCGGCGTCGTCGTCAACAAGCGGCGCGAGGTCACCGGCCCCGACCTCCGCGGGCCCCCGCCGCGCCCGCAGCGGCAGCACGCAGGCGGCCCCAGCCTCAACCCAGGCCGGCACCCCTACCCCCGTTGTCGTGTCCTTCTCCTTCTTCCTCCCCCGCACGGCACCAAGACACTCCAGGTCCCGCAGCACAGCCTGCGCGAGCACCTCCCCCAGCGCGACCGCCGGCCCGGCATCCCCAAACGCCTCGGGCCAGCACCGGGCCGCCAGCACCCCCAGCTCGGAGGCGTGGCGCCCCTCGCCGAGGCGCCTGACCCGCGCCAGGGCGCGCGCCCCGCCGCCCGCGAGGTCGCGCGCCAGCGCCTCGCCGCCCAGCTGCGCGTACGCCGCGGCGGAGATGTCGTGGACCGTCTTCTCGTCGCCGTCGCGTTTGTGTGTTCTGCTGCTGCGGTGCCGCTGCGGCCGCGCCGGCGGCCCGCGGATCAGCCCGGCGACCCGCTGCCGCATGCGCCACGTCGTCAGGCGCGCGAGGCACGCGTACCGCCACACGATCCCCACGGCGCACCGCAGGCGCGCGCGCCACGCGATGTCGAAGAGCAGCTCGAAGGTGTCGCGGCCGGGCTGCGCGGCGGCCCCCGCGCGCTTCATCCTGCGGGCGGCGTTGACGGCGGCGGGGACCCTGCCCTGCGTGCGGGCGTGGGAGATGATGGTGTTGTAGCTCGCCGTGTCGGGCTTGTACGGGATGCGGTCCGTGTCGGCCCGCTCGGGGGGCATGGCGGCGAGGTAGCGCTTCATGCGGTCCAGGAGGGCGAAGGCGTCGGCGAACCGCCCGTGGCGGCAGAGGACGTCGAGGACGGGGTTCGCGGCGTCGCGGGTGAGCCAGTCGGCGCCGTAGCGCTCGTCCTGCTCGGCCAGGAAGGCGGCGAGGTCCTTCCCCTGGCCCATGGCGTGCTCGGCGTCGAAGCGCGCCATCTCCTCCGCGACGCGGCGGACGGCCTCGGGCGTGGCGAGCAGGTTCTTGTCGTTCATGGCGCGGAGGACGTGGCTCTTGACCTCGACGGACTCGAACATGCGCAGGAAGAGGATCCACGTGTCGAGGTTGGGGTGCAGGCCCTTGCGCCGCATGCTGATGACGGTGCGGCGGAACTTGCGCAGGTTCCGCGCCGCCGCGGGCGCCCTCAGCAGCAGGTTGAAGACGTCCGCGTCCATGCGGAGCCCGAAGCGGTCCATGCTGTTGTAGACGCCGCGCGCCTCGGGCAGGAACTTGTCGCCGCTGCGGCAGAGGAACGACAGCGCGAGCTTGAGCGCCGCGCACGAGATCCACGGCTTGGCGTCACGGTTCGTGAAGGCGCGCTGCAGCCGGCGGGCGACGGCGCGCTCGTGGTCGAGCAGCACGGCGTGCTTGGTCGGGTTGTAGAGGGGCGAGTTGAGGTGCGGCAGCATCGCCGAGTCGGTCAAGGACGCCACGTACCGCTCAAAGGACGCGAACGACATGTGCACCGGCCACGCCGTCTTGTAGGCGCTGTAGTCGACCTTGACCCGCTGCCAGAGGCCGCCCTCCTCCCGGGCCAGCGGCGGCACGAAGAAGTCGTCCTCGCTGAAGGACTCTGTCCTGGCCTCGCCGGGCCCCAGGTCGGCCCAGAGACGGGTGATGGTGATGCGCCCCGCGATCCTCCTGAACTCGGCGGTGGCGGCGTTGATGGCGGCGCGAGTGCCCGACACCAAGAGCGACGAGGGCGCGCCCGGGGCGTCGGCGCTCGAGACCTTGATAGAAGCCCCCGTCCGCCGTCTGATGGATCCGATCTTCTCGTCGCCGCCGTCCTCCATGATGGCGTCGAACTTGTCCTTGGCCAGCTCGATCTTCATGCCATCCTCGATCCACTCGTCCGACGCCACCGGTGTATTCCTGTATAGTACCGCCAGGGCATCGCGCCAGTCGGTGGAGGCTGGGTTGACCTCGATGCCTGCTTCCGTGAGGTTCTGGAAGTTCCGATCGTAATAGACCTGGGTCGAGACAGACGCCTGGTGGGCCCTCCAGCTCTTGCGCGTCTCCTTTTTGTTCGGGTAGGTTCGGGCGGGCTTGACGAAGACGGACTGAGCCAGCTTGCTGCGCTCCAGCTCCCTCTCCAGCTCCCTCTCCAGAATCTCCTCGGGGTCGAGGTGTGAGGGGCCCTTCTCCTTCTTTCTCTCCCGCTTGGGTGCCTCGGAGAGCCAGTCCCTCAGCTCTCTGGCCTCTTCAGTCTGGCCGACAACTTCTGGCGGCCGCACCGGACGGCGTTCGCTGGGTTCGCTGGGTTCGTCCACATCGTCCTGCTGCCTTTCACCCTCCTCTGTGCCTGTAAAGGCGGTGCCTGCATCCTTGGCTGATGTTTCGGGCAATCTGAGGTGCGCCCGAGTCGAGAATAAGGAGCTCGTCACAGGGACAGCGAGGCAGATGCGAGGCGGGCGCTGGCGCGGGCGCAAGACGAGGGGCCACTCCCTGGGAATCAGAAGGCCGAGCGTTCGCTGAGGTCGGGCCCTCCATATTGCATTGATCCCCAGGGACATTTGCTATGAAGGTATCATTCTGTGTGGTGGGTTTTGTGTGCGCCGAACTCGAGTGGCAGGAGGCGCATGCGGTTTGTTGGAGGGTTTGCAGTTGCAGAGTCGAGGCCGACGGCGGTTGAAGCTGCAGGCCGATTGAGATTTTTCGGCGCCGGGTCGCACCCCAGCACCAGCTCTGCCTTATCGATAACAAACTCGATAAGTGCCCGGGGACGGTCACCCCGAAGTACCTAGGTACCTCGACGCGATCAACGCGCATTGCAAGCCTAATTACTATTGTCGCTCAAAGAAATACATATTGAGGTGGTTGATGCGATGGTGCAATGCACGGTAAAATTGTCGTGTAAACCCTTACTACTTTTTTTTCCCTTTTGACCATGTCCAGTAATTATTATGTGGTTTTGCTCGGCTCACATGGGCCACTCTGGTCGACGCCGCGCCAGTCCTCGGTCCATCCCTCGCACTTGTCTGTCGCCGTCGTCGACTGCCCTTCCCTAACGAGCTTCTTGACGTCGCTCCAGTACTCCAGCCGCCTGCATTCCTCGTCCGCGTGCCCTATAGCACCTTTCAAATTGTTACTTCTGCGCTGCAGCGTGCCCGTGTCGTTCTCCTTGAGTTCCTGCTGCGTCTGCTCAAAGACCTCGTTCAGCTTGGCCAGCAGGACCCTCCTCGAGGCCTGGAACACAAAAATGGCCATGATATCGTGCATCCTGTGCTGCAGATGGACCAGCTCGTCCCCTCCGTGCTGCAGGAAGTTCTCCACCGCCTCGATCTTCTCGCGGTCGATCCGTGACCTGGTGAGTATGGCCATCAGGGTATCGATATCCTCGATGTCGGGCTTCGCTCCGGCCTCGGCCGACACCCACGAGATCACGCTTGGGCTGTGCCGGCTGTTGCGGCTGCTTGCCCTCCCGGCGGTGCGCTCCGTCTCCATGCTCCGGCGGACGGTGAAATACTCCGAGTTGAGCATGTGGGGGTCGTTGGACTCGGGGTCCCTCTTGACCCTTTGGCGAGTCCATGCCCGCCGCCGCACGCACGAGTTGTACCACCTAGGCAGGTGCCAGGAGAACATCTTGGCAAACATGAAGCTGTACTCCCAGCCGTTCTCGTCGACGCCCTCGTCCCTGTTGATGTGCCATTCGGGCCACGACCACACCCAGCTCGGGTCCGGGACCTGTGCGGTGTGGATGCTGGTCGGGCTCGGCTTGTGGGCGAAGTTGGTCCAGTTTGGAGGGTCTAGCTGGCCTAGGGCCTTCGGGGAGAAGAGGGGGATCCCACAGAACATGCCGCCTCGCTCATTCTCGTATAGGATGTCGATGGCCGTCTCGGGGGTTGGCTTGCGGCGCTGGGTGCCGTTTGCATCTGAATGGGTACGCTGTGGCCCAACGAGCGGCGTAGGCTCTGCTGCGTGTCAGAAAGATGGGGTCTTTGCCTCGCGCACTCGCTCGTGTCCGTCCGTGTAGATTCTCACCTGTTATTTGGAGTTCAGGGAGGGCTGCATTGCGGGCCAAGCTCTCTTGTGACGCAGCCTTTTTGGAGGCCTTTCTGGAGCGCCTGGAGGTCGAGGAGGCACCACTGGTTCTACGCCGTGCTGGGCTGTGCTGCAGCGGGGCCCTCTGCGAGGCGGACGGGCCCTCCCCAGAGTCGTCAGCAGCCTCCCGATCCTGTTCTGCTGCTGCTACCCCTTGCTGTGATTCTGATTGTGCGGTAGATGTCGGGCGCTGTTCTGCAGACTGCCCTGGCTGGTCTGGCTGCTGCCCCTGCCCCGGTTCTGGGGACAGGGCCTGGGGGGTCACGGCCTCTGCAGCATGGTCGACGAGGTTGATCTCGTGGTCATAGTCGCTGTCCTTCAGGGGCGGGGCTCGGCGCGAGCGATGCGCAGTGGAGGGCTTTCGCATGGCCAGAGGTCGACCCGAAACATGACGAACGGGAGAGAAGAGCCCGGCTGGGGTTTCAGGCCCAGGCGCAGGAGAGCAGAGATAGGTGGTGGTGGTCTGGTGACGGGTGGCTGAGCGGAGACGATCCCAGCGCTACTGATGGGGACTTCCAGGTCCTCAGGGCCCGCCCAGATGGTGGATGGTTTGGTTGGCTGGCAGGCTGGTCGGGAGCCAGAGGCGTCGACTGGTTTGGTTTGGTTCGGTTCTTGGACGGGAACGGCCCTCAGCCAGCCGCAACGCACCAGTGGCGATTTGGTGGCGCCTAGAGGAGTGACACCAAGTCCATAGCTTTGTCGAACGGGCTGAGCCAGTATAATATCACAACTTTGGAAAAGCTGGCTGCTGAGAACGGGATGAATATGAGGATATTTCTAGGAAAGAGGATGGGAGAAGTAGGATGGTCCACATTGTGGATTACCCGTGGGTTCGGCAGGACGTCTCGAGCTTGCTGGGTGCTGCTGTTGCTGCTGCTGTATGATGTAATAATAGCTCTCCAGACTGGGAAGGACCGCTCTAGAAGCCGCCCGCCTGCAGAGCATCCGTCGCACCTCCCCCAAGCTAAGCTGCATCAAGCTTCCTGCAGGGTTGGCTGTCGTCGTGCCCAGGAGAGCTCCACAGACATGCTCCCAATACGCTACCGAATACTTTGTTGTTGTGGCCGTTGTTGCTATGCAATTCATGTCCACCCATCTCTCCTGTCAATTCCTCTCATCCAGACCTGTGTCCCGGGAGCTGCTCAAGATCGAGGTACCCAAGTACTTAGGCACCTAGGTACTTTGGTACCTTGGAACATCCAAAACTGCACCCACAAAAGGGGAACCTTGGAAGCTACACCGTAGTACTGGGTACATAGCGTGCAGGCCACACCCATGTCTGCTGGGCCATCCTTGCCGGGTTGCTTGTGGGGAAGAAAACCATCGTGGTCGAAGCAACCGCATCGGCAACCGCATCTGCTTCGTGTGCACACAGAGTCTTGTACCATGTCAGACAGCCATGCTATGACCGGATAACAGACATCTTCCTGGACCATCCCAAGCCAGCATTCTCGTCACCTCGAGTCTTCGTCTCCATCGTCGTCCACTCAGCAGAGTCAGCCTCGATGCAAAGCAGCAGGAAGATGAAGATGCAGGCAGATACGTGCAGCATACGGCCGGAACCGCGAGCATTACGGCACAGCAACCTCTTGAGCGATACAGCCCATCCGGAATCAAAGGAGCGTGGCACATCAGACGGCCCGCAAGGTAAAGCCAGCAGGGTTGGTGAGGCTGACGAACCAGCTAAACACCTCGCCGGCCTGGCTGCTGTTGAGGACAGTGTAGATGCGCAGCTCATTCTCCAGGCAGCGTGTAAAGACCTCGGGCGCATTCCCTGATACCGCGAGGCATTAAAACGGCCGACTCGACAAGTAGAGGTACGGATCGCCCGGAGATCGTGCACTGAGAAGAATGTCGGCGTTGGTGATCGACGGGCGCGCCACGCCCGTGATACCAGCGTTCCTGATGACGATGACCCGCGGTCAAAGCATTTACATCGCGCGTGCCTGAGAGCAGGCTTGGGTCCTCTGAGTCGCAGATGGCACCGATGGCCGGGGCCTTGGAGCCCTACTAGCACGTAGAAGACGGTTAAGCGGTACAAGGAGCGGGCAAGTAGGCACTAGCCACACAGAACACTTGGGAAGTTCCTGGGTTATATATTGATTTCTTCTTTCGTTCCTAGAACTTATTATTGTGGTACCTACATTAGTTTGTATAGAGATATAAGTTAGAAATAATAGACTGCAAGGTCTTGGGCGTTTACCACTGTATGAAGGCCACATACATTTTACATGTGTGGGGATTAGAAACGAAACCACCACCTAAGGGATTGCACCGTTTGAACACATCTATCACAACTACTCCCCCTTAGAGCAAATATATTCTAGGATTCCCTACCTACAAACAAGCTTCTATCACTATATGAAACCTAAATTTCTCTCATCTAAGTAGTTTCATTTTTAATCCCTATATATATAAAATATATATAATACCTTTATATAGTAGTAAATACTTAAAATTTAATATTTAAAGAAATATAATATTAATAATAGTAAAAAGAGAATATAATATATAAATATATAGCTAAGCTTTATATTATATAGATAAAGTTAGAAGGTATTACTTTTAATAATACTATATTAAAATTATGAATATAAGTAATCTAAGAGCTAATAGTTAGTAAAGTAGTTATATAATAAGATTAAAATAGTTTTAAAATAGCTTTTATAAAAGAAGAATTTTATAATATAAAACTCAGTAAGCTAGTTTTCTCTATTAATATACTTAATAGTTTCTTTAAATTTACCCTTATTAAATAAGTTAATATAATCCCTATTATAAATATATAATTAATAGAATAATAATATTATAATAGTAAACCTATTTAAAAATCTTTTATATAAAGTTTATAAAAATTAAAACTTTTAAAAAGTTAAATAGAGTTTATTTATTATATATTAAATAAATACTATATAAAGAAAGTAAAAGTTTAAATATTTAAGAATTAAATCTTCCTCCTTTAAATATATTACTTTATTATTAAGAATTTATCTATTTCTATATAATATATAAGGAATATAATAGAAGAGAGAGTTCTATAAAGAAAGTTAATAACTCTATATATAAATAAGTTTAAAAATATATATTAAGTAATTATTAACTTTATATTTAAGGTATAAGTTAATAGTTAGTTTAAAAGTTGAGAAGATAATGAATAGATAAATAGTTAAATAAAAAATATAATGTGGCTGAAGTTTTTTTTTATCTAAGTTGCTTGTAGTATGTTGCTATTAATCTGCGTTGGTGATCACCTCCTTTTCCATGCTAGAGAAGCACGTTCGGGGTGCAACATCTGAAGCAACAGGACAGGTCCAGAATCCTCTTTGATCAAGTTCAGCACCCTCCTCCGCGCATCATCCGGGCTCTCCCCATCCAGCTGCACCGGATCGACCCTCCAGTCCCGCAGCAAGGTCGCCACCGTAGCCACGAACTCGACCTGTGAAAACTTACGGGCGGGGCAGTCCCTCCCCCCCTCAGACCAACCCAGAAAGGTTCCCTTCTTTGGGCTGATTACTTCTTCCTGGCCGGGTGCCGCCGCGCCCTCCTGAATCCAGCGCGACGGCCTCCACACGAGCGGGTCCGAGCCCCAGTACTTGGGCTCCGTGTGAACAGCCGCGTAGCTGGGGATGACCATGGTGTTGGGCGGGACAACGATCGTCTTCCCCCCGACATCCAGCGACGCCGTGCCCTTGTCCGTCCACTTGGCCACGGGGACGGGCGTGTACAGGCGGAGCGTCTCGAGCATGACGGCGAAGCAGCGCCTGAGGCGCGGGAAGTGGGCCGCATAGTCCCACCCGCCGCGGTCCTCGCCGCCGAGCACGGCGCGGACCTCCTCCGAGACCCAGTCCTGCACGGCCGGGTTCGCGGCCAGGAAGTGGATGGCGAAGGTGAAGGTGTGCGCGGTGGTGTCGTGGCCGGCAAAGTTGAGCATGAACATGTTGCCGTAGATCTCGCTCTCCGTCAGCCCGGCGCCGCTCCTGGCCCCCTCCTCCTGCGACGCGCGGACCAGCGAGCTCATCAGCGTCTTGGGGGCGGCCGCCGCCGAGCCCGCCTGTAGCCGGGCCTGGGACTTCTCTTCCTCGTAGACCTGCGTCATGTAGCGCTGGAAGACGGCGCACCTGTCGGCCAGGATCCCGAGCTTCCATGACTTTGGGAGCCAGGGCCTCGCCTTGGATAGGAACTTTGGTCCGATGGCCATGATGAGAATGCAATTCTCTAGAATGAGTTCTGTGATAGGTCAGTAAAATTGCATCATATCACGGCGGCCAAGGGAAATCTTTGTAGTCTCTTCCCGCCGTTGGGATGGGATGAAGATCGAGGAAAGAGATTTTTCACTTACGGAGAGAATCCTTGTAGTCGCCAGAAACACTATTCTTGGTTCTCTCTTCTGGGCTTTCCCACTTCGTTGATTTTCCAAAACCAGCCGAAGCGAGAATGTGCAGAGAAAGCGAACGGAGATCATCGGCAGAAGTTGTGATGGACGGTCTCCCAGTCCAGTACTTCAGCATATCACGAGCGAGCGTCAGGCTTTCAGACCAGACGATCTCATTGTTTGGCTCGTTGAAACAAGTAGCGATCATCGTGCGCTGGGTCTTCCACTGCTGGCCCTCCACCTGTGAAAGTGCATCCGTTAGTTGATGATTCGGTACGTCTCAGCTAAGCCAGGCATCTGAACTCACGGTGCCCAGATTCTTCCCGAAGACATCGAGCATTTCAGTAAGCTCGATGCACTGTGGAAACTCGGATCGTCGCCGGAACATTTCCATGATGACATCGGGATTACCCAGGTAGAGCCAGTTCCGTCTCGGCGTCACGATCATGAAGGCATCACCCATCTCATGATGTGAGTCGCAACGGTCGTACATCTCGAATGTCCGAAAATTATACCGTGTAAAGCTATTGTTGCCCAAGGGGCCCGGGACCTTCTTAATAAGTGACAGGACCTTCTTGTCCACCAGCATCCACAGGGGGTTGATATGGTCAATAGGAATGACGCGCACAGGTACGCCGATCTTGCGAGCTATCAGATAGTTTTGCAAGAGGCAGAAGTTGCAGTACAGCGTCCAGGCCAGGAGGCCGAAGGCCGGCCACATGAGCATGGACAGCATTGTTATCGTGTTGGTGATTTCAGTGGGGGGCAGTCTTGGCGTCCGCGGCGACAGCCAACATATCGCACAGAGTAGCAACTGAAGAGCAACCCAGAAATGTCTGTCTACGCACACGATCTGTAGGTGCAAAGGAAGAAAGACTCGAGTCACTCTGAGCACATCAAGGAGAGAGCAGGAAGGAAGTCTTTTATCATTGACGCTTTGCTGTGGAGACAGCCCAATCCCTGCGAACCTGCTAACCATTGGCCCAATCGACTACCAACGGGCGTTACAACCAACGGCATGATACGACCCTAGGAAGAGACCGCAAATGGGGCAATAAGGGTCCGTGTATCCACCATCAAGCCAGCTCAAAATATTTCCAACACAGCGTTCTGGAACCAACCGAGCCAAGATTCAACGGATCTGGTGCCATCTCCGGTGGCGCTAGCGTGCACTAGATTGGCATGCATTCATTGCACGATCAGAAATGCAATGGTGCGTCGCTCGACAGGTCCTGCTTGTTACCCAAACTAAGTTAGGTGTAAGCTACCCAAGGAACGAGATACACTGTCGCTGCACAGTGGCCGGCCAGATTCATTTTTCTTGCTTTCTTCCCATAATCGCCCCCCAAGGAATTCACCTTCAATATGCCGGGTATCGACTGCAGTCATCAAGAACGTGCAATGACCAGTCTGCGTTTAAATGTTGCTTCGTGTGGTTCCCTCACATTATCGGCTACTTCCAACCTTGGACAGGGCTGATTCAAGGTAAAAAGAAAAAAGGGCAACATGAACATACATCTCATGCTTGAGATCTTCAGGGGCTTCTTCCACCGTACTTGTGATAGTACGGATAAAAAACTTGTAAAGATTTCCCTCGAGCCAGTTGAAAAAGATTGGACAGCAGAGAGGATAGTAAGGCGGCGCTGAGACGTGCGAAATTGGAACCATCCATTGGGCAAACCAGGGGAGTCCACTCCAGGAATCCTTTCATGCCGGCACAGGGTATCAAATCCAAACACTGAGCATCATATCCGCAGCCTAATATGTGAATCAGTCAGACTGTTTGCTTGAACTGTATGAGAAAAAGAGATGCCACACCTTCTCGGCCATGGCATATACGGTGCCCTGCATATGAGCGGCCGGGAGTATTGGCATGACACTGGCGTCAAGAACTCGTAGGTTATCGACACCATATACCTTCAACTCCGCATCAACAACTCCGCCGATCTCCCGAGGCATCATCGCACAAGTACCCGATGGGTGCCAGACTGTGTTGATCCTATTCCTCAGCGAGTTGAGAATGGCCTCGTCAGAGGTGACGTTGCCCCCCGGGAATGTCTCCGCCGCACCAGTCCGCTGCAGCGCCTCCGTCGCGATGATTTTCCGGTTGTATCTGACAGCCTCGACAAAGAGTTGCCTATCTGACGGGTGGCTTAGGTATCGCGGGTCTACTAGTGGGTCATCGAAGGGGTCCGTGGAATTGAGCCGTACCCATCCGCGGCTGAGAGGGTGCATCAGGATGCTACTCAGGCCTGTGCCGCCGCCCACGTACATAAGCTCTTGTCCTGCGGTGCTGCGTTCCTTGTGCATCTTGACGATCCGTTCCAGCTGTGCTTCGTACCCTGCCTTTACGGACGGGTCGATATCGTCTGGCAGATAACTCGTCGAGATGTCCACGGCCATTCCGTCTAGTATTCTTTCGCCGTACTCGGTGTAGTTGAGGAGAGGAAGAAACAATACGGAGGACAGAGGCCCGGTTGTCCAACGGCCTTGTTTGATATATCAGATTTCTGAGTCATATTTCAGCCGCGGCAATACGTACCTTTCCTTTCCGAGTAGTAAAGCTCGCCTTGTTCGTGATCAAATGTGGCATTGTTGAGATCGGCGGCCTGGTCGAGATTCGGATTGACTGTAAGATTGATTTAGCCTACTTGTCCAAACAGCTTTCCAGTTATCAAACCAAAACCAAGTAAATGAATTGCTTACTCCTCATGAGCGTAGGTGCAGCGCAATGGTCCTGGAGATTTTGTCCCACTCCAGGCAAGTCAACCACCGAGCTAATCCCGAGTTTCCCCAGTTGAATCGCTTTTCCAATACCGGACAGCTGGAGTATCTGCGGAGAGTGAAAGGCCCCTGCTGAGAGCACAGCCTCTTTATGGACGCCAACAATTTGCTTGGCCGCGTTACGGGACGCCGCAAACTGGTTTGGTCATTGCGTCAATCTGTGTTCTAGGGAAGGGAGTGAAAATTACCCACCTCGACGCCAGTGACTTTCACGATTCCATCAACCTTGTGAGTAACAATTCTCGTCGCTTGGTGCTCGATCAGCACGTGGAGATTAGCCCTGTCAACTGTAGGGTCGAAATGAGCTACGCGCGGATATGACCTCGACCGGTTTACAGGATGGATTGAATGGGTCGTGAAATAAGCGCCGAGCGTATCGCCACAGGACTGATCCAAAGGTCTCCGGACGCCCAAAGAATCCATAGCATCCATGAATTCATCTTCAGAGGATGGTCAGTCGCGGTCGAGAATTATCTTGGCACACACGGCAATCAACTCACTATGCTGCGGGTACACCCATTCCGCGTAGCTTGACTGAATCGGTCCCTCGAAGCCGTGGCATTCGGGATTATATGTGATCTTGAACTCTTTTGCTTGCTCCTCGGGCGGCGGCGTGAAGGTCTCGGCCTATCTTCGTAAGCCTGCTGCCTAGATCGACTGAGGCCAAAGTACTCTTTCACCTTTTTGAAATATGGGAGCAAGCTGGCAGCATTCCACCCCTCAGACCCGATAATGTCAGCCCAGGAGTCGTAATCAGCTGCTCGGCCGCGGTCGTAGACCATCGCATTGATGGAACTTCCACCTCCGATCAGTTTTCCCTGGGCGATGGTAATACTGCGGTTGCCCAGTTCGGCCTGCGGGGCTGTTTTGATATGCCATGCATATTGAAAGGTCTCAGGAACTCCACTCAACGTCCCAACGTAGAAGCGGGGAACTACAATCTCCCTTTCGCCTTTGTCTCTAGTACCAAAGAAATCAGGCAAACGGATAATCAAAAGAAGAGGGGGAAAGGGGGAATCTCAGTCTTACAGTGAACCTGCCTCAATAAGGAGGACAGTGTCTATAATGTGGTCAGCCTCGAAGCATTTTGGGTTCTCAAAAACGGGGGATCACGACATACTCGTGCCGTCCTCAGACAGCCTGCTGGCGAGGGTCATCCCACCGGTGCCACCACCAACGATGACATAGTCGTAGGTGTCGAGCATGTCAGCGCGGGACACGAGCGAGGGTAAAGCTGACACAGCCCTCAGAGCCAGAACGAGCAGACATGAGGCAATAGAGCCCTTCATTTTCTCATAACAGGAGGAGGGACGTGGCAGATGAATTCACTTTGCGGTTGAAGAAAAAGAACATCGTGGATCAGGACACCCATATTTATATTGCCGCTCTTCCGAACGAACTGTGTGCGCCGAAGCCAACGTCTAGCCTGTTGGCTTCCCCTCCTAGACTTGGTGAAGCGCAATGCAGCAAGTGCTCAATGCGTCAGACTCTAGATGGCAATCGGGAAGCTGGATGAGTAATGTAGATAGAGAACTGCATCTTCCCTGACGAAAAAGATTGTTACTACCTATATCGTCACTAAAACAACATAATGCGGCGTGTATCGACAAACAGGACTATTAGGGAGCTTCACATCAAGCTTGGCAGAGATCAGTTTCACCAGCCGACGTTACTCCGCATCTGCAGTCATACTTGTCAATGCAGTTCAACCCACATCAAATTGTACAATTCCGTTCATGCACGTGTGGGTTTTAAGATCGTATTCGTAATACGAGAGGTGAAAAATGAGGCTTTTTGGTGAGAAACACGCGTGCGCGAGGGGGGAAGTGTGTGAAGCTATCTACTGATTTAAAATTTCTATAGAAAGTTTGCTTGGTGGTGATAAATTGTGATCTGTGGCTCTCCACAGTGTGCAAAGTCAGCATGACCATAGTGTCCACGAGGATGGGCCCTGCAATGATGGCGTGGATGAATGGTATCCACAGCCAAAGACGGCCTTGAACCATTCAAATCTGTCTTCTCAACCTATTTCATGCATCTCAATTTCCCCTGGTCTGAATGACCATTGAAATCAAGATACTGACATGCTCGGCACCACGGGTCAAGACAAGCCGAGGTGAGCTGGGCTGCATAACAGAACAGCGCTGCTGATCGCGCTATGCTGTACCAATGCAAATGAGAACGGCAATTATGCCTTAGCCTCTATTGTTTCTGCATCAGTTCTTCTTGGGGTGAGTCCTCTTCGGATTGAGTCGTCCTCTCCTTTTTTCTCTGAGCTTCCCGAGCTTGTCTCCATCGCATTCCGAACTTCCAATTTAGCCAGAGCAACGGGTAGGCGGTCGCGCAGAGTCCCCCAAGTAGTGTAAAAGTCCAGCCAGTCTTGAGGTGACTCAAGAGCACTTGAATGACGGAAACGCCGACGGCAGCGAACGTGCCTCGGATTATGTTGATCGTGGCACTAGCTGTGGCGGGATTGTCCGGATGAATGTCGATGACCAAGGTGCGCAGGATCTAGGATATGTGAGCCATGTGGTCCTCATGGTTTCTAGGGAAGAAGAGTATATGCCTGCATTGAATGTTCCAGTGACACCTATTCCACTGAGGAACTGAAGTACTAAGGGTACAGCCATATGCTGCATCCGAGTTAGTGATGTCAGAGTTACTCCCGGCGTGAAGTATCTTCTATGGCTTCTCTCACGGTCTTGGTTTCCACCGACCACCCATAACCCACTGTGCATGCAATCAGTAGGCCCATGAAGTACCATATGCTTCGCAACCTTGCCTTCTCAATAGGGAATTTCCGAAGGTCGTCTCCTGATTTCTTGTTGATCGTAAAGCCAACAGCCGCAGCGGTGACGCGATAGTCTCGATCGATGACCATGCCTTAATAATTAGCCGAAGAATGCATAAAGGGTCGATTTTGCATCATTGCCAACGTACCAGTCAAGAAGGTCCCTGCAGTACAAGCGATTCCATAAGGTAGATAGCAGAGTCCTGCCTGGAGCGCATTGAGACCGTAAGTGGCCATAAACAATGAGGAAAGTGAGGCCTGCGTGCACTGGTAATTTATGTAGAAGACACCGTTGGCGTACATCAATAGTGCCACGTCCTTCTTGAACAGTATCTTCAGCGCAAGGAGAGGATTTGGAATGCGTAATCTTGGCTTCTCAAGAGGATCGGACGTGCTGACGCTTGGCTGGCGTGGTGACTTCACGCACGAAATTGGACTGCGATTGATACCAGTCGCACGGAAAGACCCGTTTCCAACAATAGCACGCCCAGTCTCAGGGAGAAATATTGTGATCAGAACAAGGTTGAGCCCCGAAAGGATGCACAGGAAGCGGAAGATCCATTGCCAGCCTGCTTTTTCTACAAGGACGCCGCCTAGTACAGGCCCAATGCTCGGGGCTGCATTCGGTCTGCGACAGATGTCAGTGTCCACAAAATGTATCGTTATGGGATCCACGTTGCGTACCCTGTCATCGCCGCCCCCATATACTTGCCTCTCTCATGCGGCGCGGCTATGTCGTGTATGACGCTGAGACATAGAGCTATTGTCCCAGACGCACCCATGCTTTGTATCATCCGCAGCACAAGCAGACCTGCATACGTCCTCTGCAAGCTTAGTCCCAGGTTTGCACCGAAGTAAACCGTCAAAACCAATAAATAGACTGGCCGTCGGCCTATCATGTCCGCCAGGTCACCCGTGATAGATGGTGTAATACACTGGCAAATCAAGTATGCCGTGATGGTCAAATTGACAAGCTCAAGTGAGACTCGTAGGTCTTCTGAGATATTGGTGATAGCCGGAAAATAGATGTTCGCGCTGAGAGGCGAGAAGAAGCCGGACAAGCCTACCAAAAAGGCAATCCATGCTTTGGAGGGTTTCGAGAACGTGGAGTAAACGTCTTCATTTGATTGTTCCGAGGCGGATTGATCGGGCTGGTCATTTGAATCATGTGCCATAGTCGAAATGTGGACAGGTACTGCATGTCATATGGCGGCCGGGGACTGCGTGAAGGTTGAGAAGCCTGGGAAGATATGTTGGTCCGCTTTGCCTACATATAGGGCGACAGTCTATTTGCGGGGAGCCGCGGAGGCTCTTGAAGTGGAGTGTTGGTTGTTGGCTTGCATGATTCTTCAGAAAATCTGACAGGGGTTCCTGCAGCACGTCCGAGTGGTCTTGACTGGTTACATTCTGAGGCTGGGAGTGGTTTCCGGTCCGCCGTTGCGCGAGCCAACTTCTGACCGGGAATGTGACGGCCACAGGCATGTTTCTTCAAAGAATTAGGCACTCAAAAGTTAACCACATGCCGCCGAAATTTCTCTTGAGCGCAGATTCCGCCAGGAAATCAAATATTATCCATCCATCAAACCAAATTGTGATTCTAGGTGTGAGATCCTACGGCCGCCTCTAATAAACGTCACTTTCCTCTTCACTTAGGTAGCCGCACTGGCTATAAATGCTGTCTAGCACTTGTCAATGTTAACAATGCTACCTTTCCAAATCATGAGCACCAGTCCGTGCGAAGGTATTCGTCTTCGGTCGAGTCACAGTACATCAATTGTCAATCACGGAGATCAAGTCGAAGCGGCGACGCCTAATGGAAGAACTGTTTTTGTACGGGCCGTGGGCTATAATTGACAACGACTTTTGGGCGGATATTTGTTTACAAGTGCCAGCATATCGGCCAGGATCCTAAACCCGGGGCAGTCAGCAGAGTGAACAATCAGTGATGAGTCGAGGGAATTTCCAGCACGAACTGTTCGCGGACCAAAGGCAAGCCTGGTCTATGTAGGCAGTAGTCCAAATCAAACTTCAAACAGTACAGCGCGTTCCTGTCGTTGAATTGATCCGCAGGCTCGCTGACAGGGAAATTGCAAAAGTAGTGGGAGAAATAGGGATGGTCGAACTTGACCATGTCACGCCTCCAAATGCCTAGCTCGTATTCATTGTGTGCGTAGAAGGCAGCTGCGTCGAATATCATGGGCTCTCCTGTGTCGAGGTTGGTGGTGGTGTTCCCTTCCCATAAATCACCATGAACGAGGCACGGCTTGATGATTCTGCCTTCTTCGGTCAGAGGATCTAAAATTTGAGGAATGGCATGCTTCACGAGCAGGGCAAATGTCTTTTCATATTCGGGCCATGGACCATTGGATACAAGGTCTTTCTCAAAGCCCTGGGTACCAGTCAGAATCCAAGTCCTCCGTATAATAATAATAAGACAAGTCAGGACATTCCAGCGCTGACGTACGTAGCTGATCAGTCTTGTGAAATAGCGCGTCCAACTTGCTTCCCATTCTATCGGCTGGGGTGTTTTCCCCTTGCAGTTCTTGACGTGAAAACCAAACTTGCCAGTTGGTGAGATACTTTCGCGATGAAGTTGCGCAATTCGAGCACAGAACATCACCGGGTCAGGCAATTCTGAAGACATGTTGACAAAATCGCACAGGAAGAAATACGTGTCGATTTTCGAATTGAGGAATTTACCCCAAGCCACAGGCCGGGGAGTGAGTGTTGGAATCAGCTTGTAAATCTCCGAGATAGAATGGAATTCTCCCTCCGTCATTACAGCCCCGGCTTCTGTAGCACACTGGAAGATATTGTCAGAGGCTTCCTTTCAGAGGCCGTGGACTCTCGTCTAACCTTCAAGAAGTAGTCCTTCTTTTCCCCATTGACAATTGTGTCCACTCGGGCAGTGCGTGTCCAGAGAGAGGTGCCATAGCTGCTTGCAGAAAGAACTTGGGTTCCTTTAGGAAGCTCTGATATACTTAGTCCAGATTTCTTAGTCGGGTCATTCAGGTGCTTGGAATCCTTACTTTCGATTACAGCCGGGTCCAGCTGAAAGTTTCCTCCAATTTCAGGAATCACGTCCCTCACGCTACTCAGAGTATTCTTGGTGTTGTTCATCGCCCCTCTACCTAATCCGAAGAGAGTCAAATATGTCGGCACCGGAGAGACAAATCTGCAGGCTCAGGGTAGTGTCGATACATCTGTGAGCGAGTGGGCCCTGGCTTTCTTTCTATCCGTGTCGCCCCCCAAAGGGTACCCCGCACGATATTCAGGGGTATATGAAGGAGTCGAATGCGAGTTCGGCGCTCAAAAACAGCCACAAGGCACAACTACGGTTTCGAAGCAAGTGTTGGTTCGTATGGACCACTCAGCTGCTGCTGAACGTACCAGGGTTTAGGCTCCTCTCATGTACATGGCCAGGTTGGCGCCCCCTCGGCCGCCTGGCATGCAACCTGTTTACAGGGGGATTCTCTGTACCATATTTCGCGGCGGCAATGCAAGCTTATCAAAAGCTAGGGTTTTCTGGGAACCCCGCTCCCTCAATGGTACGATATCTTTAACTTGCAGGTCGACTGCGCGACGAGCATGTCAGCGTGGGGTTAGCAGGGTCTGCACAAGCCCCTGCTGAACGAAGCCTACTCGGGCCCAGGTGCCTCTGGGCAAGCATTTCGGGCTCAATCTCTTCCCCGTTAGCACGCTGCCTGGCTGCTTGGAAGATCAATCTCTTCGCGCAACCAAGGATTTCATGTATGGCACGGTGCGGGGGTCCTGTTCTTGTGTTCTCGTTGATTACTCGGATCCAGCGCTATCTTGATGTCGAGCTAATGCGTATCATCCCGCGGCGATCTAATGAAATCCTGGCTTTCAATCCTGCCCCTCCCCTGCCTTAGACGGTGATCGAAAAAGGACACACTTTCCGTCCGATTCGGCTGGTCCAAGATGGTAAGATGCGCCTATACTGCCGCTTCAGTCCTAAGCTAAATCACGTTCCTGTAGTTAAAATGGCTCCCGCGCAGGAAGAAGGCTGATTGGAGTTCGGAAACGCCATTGACCATTCCCCGATCTGTTGGTTCCGGGCGATCTGAGGCGTCAGCTCTTTCAACGACCCCGGCATCTTTCAATTCACGTGACTCTACGAGCACTGCAAGCCATGCTCCGAATGATCCTCTTGGACTGAACGTTATTCACGTACCAGACGCCCCTCACACGATAGACATTATTTTCGTCCATGGACTGGGTGGAACGAGCAAGCAGACATGGTCCAAGAACAAGGATCCGAATCTGTTCTGGCCGAAGGAATGGCTGCCGCTCGAGCCAGACATATCTACCGCGCGTGTGCTGTCCTTCGGGTACAATGCACACTTCGCTGCCCCGGGCAAAAGCATCTTGAACATATCGGACTTCGCTCGAGAGCTCCTGTTTGCAATGAAGTTCGGGACAGATGAGCAGTCGAAGGCTTTGGACATTGGCCATGTGAGTGCTCCGGAACTGGGCGAAATCAGTATCAAAATCAAGGACACCGGGGATGAAGTAAAACGATGTCAATACTGTAACTCGTGCACGACTGATATATGCCACATAGGTTCCCATCATATTTGTCGTGCGCTCGATGGGAGGACTCGTAGTTAAGAAGGTTGGTCATCTGTTTAGACGTCAGAAACCCTCGTGCAAGGCCAACATACTCACGACGGATCCAGGCATTCATATTGGGGCAAAATGACGCACAGTTCAAGGACATCATCCAGTCTATATCCGGAATCATATTTCTGGGCACGCCACATCGCGGGAGCAACCTCGCTCAGGTACTCAATAGAGTGCTGCAAGCTTCGGTCTTTAACCACTCTGCGAAGGAATACATCACTGAGCTTCAACGCAACTCCTCCACACTCCAGGATATCAACGACCAATTTAGAAATTTCGCGGCAGACCTCAGCATTGTGTCTTTTTTCGAAACCAGGCCGACTGCAGTTGGCCCGAGAAAAATGGTATGTACGAAGAGTTTGATCCCAGTAACGACCACCGCTAATACGCTGTTTGTAGATGATAGTGGAGAGGGACTCGGCTACCTTGGGGTATGTGGGCGAGATCACGAAGGCCCTGGATGCCGATCATCATGATCTGTCCAAATATTTTAGTCGGGAGGACCCTAAATATAGAAGCGTGAGGGATGTCATCAAGTCGATGGTGTGCCAATTCAGACCGACAGGTAAACTCAAAGCAGCCACCTAAGTTTGGCTGCCGCACTATTAATCATCGAATAGTTTTGAGTCAACGCGATCCCAACGAACACGGTGAAATGAGGAAAGTGCAATCACTCTTAGCAACTTTCGAGGCTCCCGAGGATGACCTCGCGCACTTAACCGATAGGCGAGTCTCGGGATCATGTAAATGGATACTCGATGAGCCTGTATTCCAACAGTTTCTGGGCAACACAACACGCATTCCACAAATCCTATGGGTTAAAGGACCACCCGGGGCTGGAAAATCGGTGCTTTCTGCCTTCATCGTCCAACACCTTCGCTCTATCGAAGCTAAGTGTCAATTTTACTTTTTCAGGCACGGTAACCCAGACACAAGATCGGTCAGTGGACTGCTCAAATCGCTCACATTCCAACTCGCATCTCAGCTTCCGGATTATCGTCACCGTCTGACAGGCCTGGCTGAAACCGGGTTCAGTGCGCAAAAGGTCGAGAGCCGAGTATTATGGCAAAAACTGTTTGTTCAAATGCTTTTTGAAATGGACGTTTCGTTTCCCCTTTTCTGGGTCATCGATGGCCTGGACGAAGCCGAATCACCACAGGTGTTTCTGAATTTTTTGGTGGCGCTTTCGAACTCAGACCTGCCACTCCGCCTCATTGTCATGAGTCGAGAGACCCAACCCCTTACCGCATCCATTCATCGACTTACAGCGACGATAAATGTTCAAAAGATACCGCTAGATGCTTCTGTTCAGGATGTACGACTCTACATTGAGCAAGAGATTGAGTTAGTGCACGCTCCATGCGAGCTTAAAGCTCAGATATCCAACACCATCATGACAATGGCGGCTGGTAATTTCCTTTGGGTGCACCTCGTGCTGAAGGAAATTATGATTTGCATCTCAGAAGTCGACATCGAAAGGGCGTTGAAGGGTCTCCCGCCAGAGCTGGAGCCGCTCTATGCTCGGATCGATGAGAGTGTCGCAGGCCAGATTCGAGCTGGTGATTTGAATTTGGCCAAGACAATCCTCGCTTGGGTCATATGTTCGCGCCGGCCACTTGTGCTTGAAGAACTGTCACGAGCTTTGCATCCTGAGTATCGACCCATTGATCTCTCCCACACAGTCAAACGGGTCTGTGGGGAGTTCATCCGCATCACTTCCAAAGGAAACGTCACAATGATCCACGACACCGCTCGCGAATATCTGACTAAGACACCAGAAGCTCATTTGCACATCTCCACGCCTGAGGCACATTCTGCAATTTTTCGGAAATGCATATCAAATCTTCTGACTACAAGCCCAAGGATCAGAGCCAACTTCGCTGACTCTCAGCCGTTTTTACTCTACACTGCAACGTCTTGGCCTTACCATCTGGATTTCAGCACGGCATATTGCGATAGAGTCGCCCTGGTCCAATTGGAAAAGTTCCTCCTTTCTCGCTCCGTCTTGGCATGGATCGAATGCCTGGCAATTGTTGGCGAGCTTCGGGTGCTGGTTCATGCATCAGAAGCCTTGACAAGGTTGCTTGAGAAGAGTTTTGTTGTAGTTGACTCGGAACAAAGCCGACCGGCACAACAGCTGCAGGGAAAGGATCTCCTGAAGCAATGGGCGGTTGACTTAATGAAGATCGTGGGCAAATTTGGGTCGCATCTCGCAGCGTATCCAAGATCGATATACAAACTTATCCCTTCTTTCTGCCCTCACGACTCCATTCTGCGCCGGTGCTTTGCTCAATGGGATCGGAACACACCCGGTTCAACACTGCGGCTTTCTGGCTTTTCCAACAAGTCGTGGGACGACAACCTTGCCACTTTCTCCGTCCGCCATGATTCCCAACCCATTGTCGTCAGAGCACTGGACAACCATTTCGCAATACTGATCGCGGACGGAATGGTGATTTTGTATCATGCTCTGACTTTTCAGGAGGCTATCAGATTTCGGCATGGAGAAAGGGTGCTTCACATGGAATTCAATGAGGCTGGGGACAAATTGGTAACACATGGCTACCGGACGACCAAGGTCTGGAATGTGGCTTCAGCCTCAGAAGTGGGTTGCGTTGGGAATCCTCCAGATACTAAGGCTCTGGCAGTCACCTTTGACATTAAATCCAGGGCAATAATCGCGTGCTTCGAAGACAGGACAGTCAGGCAATGGCTTTTCGTCCCAGGCCCTGGGACGTCGAACCAGTGGGACGATGTGGTTGGAGAGGCACATTTCCGCGACTATCACCACAATTCTCCGAAGAGTGCTTCATTCAACCAAGGGGGAACGCAGGTTGCACTTGCATACAGAGGGTTCCCGTTGTGCGTATGGGACGTCGACTTCCCTGGCTTCGTGGGCAGATGCGAGAGGCCCGGTCATGGTGGTGAGCTGATCTGGACAGAAGTCGACAAGGTAGGGTGGAACCCAATCACTGGGCACGTCTTTGGCACGTATACAGACAGCCATCTCTTCAAGTGGCATCCGATCGATCACGACTATCACGAACTCAGTGTTCCAGCCCTGAACATTGCGTGTAGCCGAGATGGCAACCTTCTCCTAACCACCAGTGGCGACGGCACCCTGCGAGTTTGGAACTTTCATCAGTTCGCCATGATATACCAGTTGTCGTGTAATACACCGATGACGGACATATCCTTTGACCCAGAGGGTCGAAGAATTTACGACTTGCGGGACTCTTATTGCAACGTCTGGGAGCCAAACTGCCTTGTCAAGTACGCGGAGACCGACGGTGGGGCGACCGAAACCTCCAGCTTCGAGCGAATCACAGGAAATAGTTCGATGGTATCCGAGATGTCTTCAGAAATGCTCGAGCCCATCACCGCTCTCGCACTGAACAGAGTAAGCTCAGCATATTGTGCAGGCAATGATGGAGGCCTGGTGACATTCTCGGCTGCTGGCTCAGAGGAGCCTGTTGAGCTCTGCCAGGGATTCATGTCTGTGGAACACATCGTGTGGAGTGCAGATGGGAAGAGTCTCGCAACTAGCGATCTCAGTGCTAGGGTGACGGTGAAAGTGTTTGAGGGGCCTTCCATGCCGACAGCGAGGACCGTATTGCAGACTTCGCCGCATGATGGAATCCAGCAGATACTTCTCAGCCCGTCGGGAAGTCATTTACTAGTATACACGCGACAGTCTGCGCAGCTGTGGTCTGTGGATACCAAAAGCGTGGTCGCAAGTGTTCCGCGCCCGAACAGGTTCATCCGGTGGGTCGACCACGACCAGCCCGACCTTCTTCTGTGTTTCGGGTTCAGCGACGTCCGGCTGTTTAGATGGAACAACCTTGAGGAGATAAACTCATTTTCGATCAACCGGTCATTGGTCGACGACGAACACCAATCTCCGGTCGGCGACCGACCAGGTCCGTTCAGGCTGGACTCACTTGACTGGGTGCTCGAAGCGAGTGATGTCGACAGCTCTGTTGACAAGATATTCCGGACACCTGATGGATCTGCGTTGCTGGTTCAGACCTCGCAGGTGTGTGATCACCACAGACGGCGTAAGCAATTCATGGTCTTGAAAATGAATGCGCTCGCCGCGGACAACCCAGTGAATGAAATCACTGCATCACCCCTCCCACTGCATATGCGAGAACGAATCGAGATACCCCTAGGTTTCTTGGGAAGCCAGGGTATCCAAGGGGTTGGAATGTTCTCGCACGGTCATCCCGAGGCTCCAGTACTTGCATTTCTCGACAAGGACTTCTGGGTCTGTACCGGGCTGCTTAACAACCAGGGCGAGGTGCATGTCAAGAAGTTCTTTTTCTTGCCGAGAGACTGGCTCAACATCGAGTCGTTGGAGCTGGCAGCGGTTACTAGAGAAGGTGTTTTGATATGCCCGAGGAACGGTGAGATCGGGGTAGTCACAGGTGGTCTTAAGGATGAGTGGATAGAGTAAGTAGTATTGAGGATACACATAGACTTCTATATCAACATGCCGAATGCTCAATTTAGACTCCTTGATCCACATTAAATCGGATATATTCTGAAAAGTCATTCATTCGACAATCTGAAATGTACCTAGTTTACACGTAATACGATGTCATAGCTCTCCTGGATCATTGATGGCATTCCATCTTCCTACTAACCCTAAACTCCCCGAGTCCATTTCATTGTCCAAGTGCAGCGAGAAGTCTCTCGTATCTCGTTCATGTCACTCGGGGGCAAGTTTCCATTGCAACACCTTCACTTGTTTCCTCTGCGAGCCTGCTCATTTCTATGCTATTGGTTCATAGTCATTTCCCTCACTCGTCTTCGTCGAACTCCAGTTTGACCGGAATTGGTGCGTAGAGCGCCCGCGCTTCGTCAGTTCCAAACCTCCGTAGTAGCCATTCTTGCTTAAGCTTGGGTCTCTCGAACCATTCATGGGGTATCCATCCAACGAAGCCCCGCAATTCCATGTTCCAAAAATGCCAAATGGGGTTGCATGGAGCTGACAGCACTATATGCCCAGTGTCACCTAGAATACTGTAAACGTACGAGATGTTGTAGTCAATGAGGACCACACGTGGCAGCGGGATGCCTGCGACTTTCTCATCATCACACTCTGCGTTTGTGACAATCATTACGTTCCTGTCGGCAAAATCTGCCTGATCAACACCAATGTGTTGCTGTTTGACAAAGCCGTCCATCGCACGTGCAAGGACTTCTAGCCTCCATTCTTCTGGGTAATGAAACGCATCCTTGACTCTGCTGGAGTCATTCCGAATGAGCGCATCGAGAAGTGTAGTCCCGTCGAGGCGTTCTATGAGAATCATGCGAATTGGTCGCAGGCGGGATTCTCCTTTGTAAGTAATCGGAAGGTCAAAAGTCCAGGATCCGAAATAATCTGGAACGAATTTTGGATGGCCCGTCTGCTCTGCATTTCGGAGGAATTCATAGGCAGCAGCTTCTCGGCTATAATCCTCGTCGGCTGCCATCACAACATCGCGGGGTACATTGCCGATTGATTGGGCGAATCGATAGTAGAGGGCATCGTAAATCTTTGCAACCGCCTGGAAGAGCTTGGACCCGTCCTGTACAACCGTGCAGGCAACTACTTGTGCACCGTGTGCACTACCAATTCTGATTGGCGTAGTGATAGTCATACGTGCCGTATCGGATCCGGTGTACGAAGGCGGCTCCGTCTCAAGCGGAGGGTTCGTAATGACTAGCTCACTCTGGGGCATGTCGTGAAAGTGGTCTGTGGGAAGGCATGTCCTGGTTCCGGGGCCGTAGGCGTTGCCGAACGGGGGAGGGGCCGTATGGCGATATATTTGGACCGTGAAGCCGGGTATGTATGGCAGTCTCGGCTTTGCGGGATCCTCTGGGGGCGTCCACGGGCGAAATATGAATTCAGGCCGATCCAACCACTCGGTGCCAGGGGCCGCCATGGTGAGGTTTGAGTTCGAGTGGTGAAGGCAAGAGAAAATTGTGTGGGACGTCTGTGATATGAGGCTGGCACGACTGTAAGTATGGCAAAGGGCAAATCTGGGTGGGAAAATGTTATGAACGCAAACATTCCGTTCGTCCCAATACCAAGTTGTAAGGCACTAGGCAGTGGGAATCTCGTAATGATAAAGGTTTGCTGCCTTGGGGCATACCTCAAGGGAAAGCGGTCAACCAACACGCAAGATCTTTGAAAAAGGCATTGATGCATATAGGCCATATTGTGTAGGATATAAGATGCTTTATTGCATAACTTGCATTTCGCCGTGAATATGTTTTCTTATCCTAGTCACACATTCGTTCCTCCACATTAAACCCACAGGCTCCATCGGTGTTATCAACTCTTTCTTACTTCTGAGTCTTTCCTTAACGACTCGGATGATACGCCTTGTAAACCTGGATGGCCCCTTCGATGCACTGAATAAGCCCAAACAAGATAGTCAGAGCGAGGACGAGCACAGCTACCCAAAACGTGTACCACTGCACACCATTTCGGCGATCAAACCACCACTGAGAGAGATTGTTAGGGGTCGCCTCGTCATAAGCTTGTTTAAGCACTACCAGCCGGTCCCTCCAGAATTTGAAGTTCTGAACCTGGCGCTCACTTGTATTCAGATTTCCACACCTGGTGAGTCTTTTGTCCACGAGGCAGTTGGTCTTCTCGTATTTCTCATAGAGTTTATTTAGCCACGTTGTTTTGGCATGCGCAGATCGCAGTGTCCTAGAGAATTCCGCTTGTGGGAATAGAAGCGCGAGTGTCCGCAGTGTCTCTTCAGGGAGGCCGGTGGGTAACATAGAGCTGCACCAAGAAAATGCATAACATTAGTTTCAGCGACCGTGGTATGAAGACAAAGAGGTACAGCAGGGTACATCGTGGACTCTAATATCATATTGCATGAATGGCTTACCTCGCGTTTTGGAATTCTAAGAATGAGGCATGGTGAAATATGAGCACTTTGGTGTCGTCTTCAACCAGGAGTAGATGATCCGCGAGATTGTCTGTCAGCCTGATCTCGATCCCCCCGACTGACTCGATGCTCCATGCGTTGAAAGTCTTTGGAAGTTTGATGCTTTCACAACTCATCTTGGGAGACTCGGAGAAAAAGTCGTGCAGGCAACCCCTAAGCGAGCTAGAACCCCACAGGATATTCCTACGAAGATGTGCCTCACTCATGAAGCGCCCCACGTTGGTCATGACCAAGAGCCGCGCAGTAAAGCACACGATCTCCTGACAATATTCAACTGCCATCTGGCTTTTGAGCCGCTCTTCGACAAGAGATACTGTCTCCGGCAGTGATAAGTTGTCTCGAAGCAGGTTCGCGACATCACGCATGAACTCATCATCCTGAGCCTTGTCTTGAACCCCAAGCTCGTGAGTTAGGTAGCTTTGCTGTGGGAGACAGTATCTCGTGTACGCGGCGCAATGAAGACTCGTGGCCGGTTCGCCGTTGCAAAGTCGATTGGCCGATTCACGAGGGCGCGCCCAGAGAGTATCCATTATCTCGAGCATGGCGAATGTTGAACTTCCACTGTTTCACATGCGCTGTTACCGTAATCAGCGCCATACATTCAAAGTTTCGTATGGTATCGTCTCAGTTCATACACAAGATAAGGAAAATTGATAGGACGTTGTCTCATACCAACCTGGGATCCGTTTCTCGCTAAGGATACCATGGAAGGTCAGGTGGGACGGATGGCATTGAAGAAATGCTTATCAGTTGCATGAAATCCAAGTGCGAGGAGTATGAGAATCGGCATAGTTAATGAAGGAGTGAAGCGCAAAGAAAGAGATATCTCCATTCACTGAGGCGGCCCTGGAGGGGATCGGGAAAATCCCGAGGAGTGAGAATAGACGGCCAATAAGGCTGTGTGGCCTCCGAGACAATCGAGCGTTGGTGCAGCCTGAGCCGCAGACCCGCAGCTGACCGCATGCTGCATACCACCAGGCCTTACAGTGATTCCTCCTAGGGTTGCCACCCACTACACTACACACACTAGGCTTATAAGTATAGTATAATAGACTTTAAAATGCTATTAATATAAATATAATATAGTAGATTAAAATATAAAAAGATAAGTTTTAAAAAAGTAAATAAATAAATAAATTATATTATATAAATTAAATAAGGAAAGAAAGAAAGAAAGAAAGGAGGAAAGAAAAAAGAAAAGAAAGAAGGATAGAAAGAAGGAAACAAAGAAGGAAAGAAAGAAATAAGGGTTAGAGGGTTAGGAGGTTAGGAGGTTAGGAGGTTAGGAGGTTAGGAGGTTAGGAGGTTAGGAGGTTAGGAGGTTAGGAGGTTAGGAGGTTGTTTAGGTACTAAGGTAAGTAGGGTTTTAGAAAGTTGCCCCTGTCGCGCACTATAGCAGCTGACTGCATGCTGTATACCACCAGGCCTTGCAGTGATTCCTCCTGTATAATTCGCCAGCTTTGGCGACACCTGAGCCTGCTCCGCAGATAGAATGCGTACTCAGCCCCTTCCGAACCCAATTATATCTATCTCTCTGGTCTTGGAATCCTACAGACGCAGAAAAATGTCGCAAAATCCTACACGGCAGCCTGGAGCCGAGCGGCCCATGATTTGACCGGTTGCCCATTCTTCCTGGGTACTGTCTGGGATTGGCTCCACTACGCATGGGAAACTCAATTCAACCATGCCCAGCATCACTCGTGAGAGGATCTTCCCTCACGTTTCTGTTCCGGTCCTTGATTTCTTTTCAGCGCCACCATATTGTTTGAGTCCCCGTGGCTGGAGTGATAACATCCACATTGAAATCCTTTGAGAGATAAGCTTTCAACATTTACGGCAGTCAACCTACCAAGCAAAGTATTGCGAGTTATACCTCGTGGACATTACCAGATATGGAGCGCCTGCGCCGCAAGACGCTGCCAGCCTGGCCTGACCCGACAGACTCGCTGGGCCAAAAGGTAAACACGCGCACGAGGAGGATCGGCGGGTCCTCGGTGTGGTTCCCCCGCGGCCCGGCGCTGGAGAGATACAACGCGACGATCCGCCCCGAGGTCGAGCGCATCCTGAACAATGTCGAGCTGCCCGAGGGGGAGAAGATGATACTGAAGATGTACATGATCGGGCGCAGCGAGCAGCGGGCCAACCCCGTCGTGATGATCTGCTGCCCCGACAAGGCAACGCGCAAGAGGGCCGAGGCGATGGTCCGGGAGAGCGACCTCTTCGAGCGGCAGGAGAGCTGTGGCTTTGGGCTGGGCTCGGCTGGGTTCCCTCTGGAAGCTACATTCCTCCCCCGTCCTCTGGGCAATGGTATATACTTGAACGCCGACGCGACTATGGAAGCTGCGTTGAAAGTCGACGTTTATGGGTTGACAGGGCCGGGGATCGGGAGGAAGCTTGGCTTTGTGACTTCAAGTCAGAGCACACGGAGCGTCCAATATGCTACCGGGGGACCGGTCGTGCAGCTCGGAGACAAACTCTACCAATTGACGGTTGCTCATGCTGCGCAGCCCAGCCACCGTGGGCCGAAGGACCCACAGGAGCAGTATTCGGATCTCGACGAGTGCGACTTTGACGGGCAGTCCGATGAGGAGGAGGACGAGCACATGATTCTGAGCAGAGGAAGCATCAGCCCCGGATGGCCCATGAGGGATGCGGATATTGACTCGGACCAGACACGATCACAGCAGTCCTCGGCGTATTCGGATTCATATGCCGAGACCCCAGACACGCCACATTTTCATAGCCCCACAATGATGTTGTCCCCCAAGTCGGTGGAGGTGGCCGAGGAGCATGACGACTGGAAGTCGTCTACCCTGCTGGGCTCGTTCCCCATGCCGGACGGGTATGGCGGGGAGCTGGACTACCTGCTGGTCCACCTGCCAGGGGACTATTCCGTGCCATCAAAGGACCCCAACCAGGTTGTGATTGCGCGATTCGGACCTCGGAGCGTCCAGGTACGTGACATTGCAAGCACAAACAACGTGGATGTCAGCATATTGGCCGTGACTTCGAGGGGAGTAATCCGTGGGAACATATTGGCAGATACAGTATCATTCAAAACGAACAGGTCATGCTCCTTTCAACAGCTGCTCACTGTGGTCCTCTCGGAGGGGCTGAGGGAGGGAGACTCCGGCTCGGCTCTGATTGACGCCCGAACCGGGGACTTCTACGGCTACGTGATTCTCGGGACTGATGGGGATTGTGTGGCGTATGCGCTGCCTTCACCGATGATCATGGCCAAGATCACCACCCAGTTCCAGCATCTCCCCTCGTTCCACCACCCCATGGAGAACCCACCAAGACAGAGGCGCGCAGCTTCGTCCGGCAGCAGTATGCCTTCGATCCTGGAGGACATGACCTGGTCCGGCAACCAGAAAGTACCCCTGAATGACCACATGGTTGCCCTCCAAAGAAATCTGTCGTACGCAGAGGTGGAGGTGGAGAGGTTGAACGAAGAGCTGCGAAGCATGCGGTCGGAGCTCGAGGTCAGCCGCGAGGTATCCCTCGACCCTGCCCTGGCGCGAGACATTCAAGCCGCCATGGCGGACCAGGGGTTCCAGGAGCAGCTGAGATCCCTGGAGCAGTGGTTCTGTGTCGTGAGCGCGGGACAGCAACGCGTGGCACTGCACACCCTGCTCCAGAACGCCAATCCGGCACATGTGGACTCTGTCAGGCACGTCCTGCGCCGCTGGGGACCTGTTGTGCCTCTTTCTGAGCTGTTTGGGACAGACGTCATTGTTCCGGACAAAGACAGGCCATTTCCTGAACAACAAGGGTGAGACTTCCAAGTTGCGTCTTGAGAACGCCCCTCCACGGCAGTCAGCCCAGCCCAGACATAAGCACGAAAACGTGTCCTTCAATCCCAGAAATTCAAAGATGAGACAGTCTGAGGGTAGTGATGAGAAGTATGCCTATCTCGGAAAATACAGTCGGTGACAGGACTTGCTTGATATCTGCGGGCTGAGCGCCGAGGTTGCTTCACAGTTCTCTTGAACTGACCAGGAGAACTCAGCGTATGCTGACGAGGAGCATAGTAATAAGTGGTAGATGGTGGGTGTTTTGAAAGCGGGTTCAAAAACCTCAAGAGGAAAGGGATAGACAAGAAACAGCATTGACATGCACTTCAAGTCCCCTCATGTTAGTGGTGGCTATCTGCGGAACTTTGGATCCTTTAGCTGTGAGACGTCCATAACAGCAACTGCAAACACGGCGCCAAGAGAATACTGAACCAGATGCACCCTAGGGTCGGAGTATTGCCAGTTGACGTAAGGACTCTGAGTCTGAGAGTGGAGGCGGGCGGCTCGCTCGAGAGCACGGGGCAGCGGTGCAAAGACACAATGCAAGAAGAACCTTGGGCACTAATAGAGCACAGCGTAAAGATTGAACCTGTCGACGAACTCAATTGAGCCCCCTCTTGGTTGTGCTTGATTTCCAAGGCTGTTGCTTGGCAACAGGCTGGGCAGGGAAGGAAGAAGCCGAGACTGTGGGGAAGGATGATCGACGAGTGGATCCGACCGGGGGGGTTATTCAGCACGGACCATGCCGCGTCTAGCCCGATCCATGCTGCCCCGTCAGATGTCATTGCCGCATCTGGACGGGGCGTCGCAGTCGTCGATATGACGTAGATGGGAACAACCAGACAACACCCAGTCCAGCTAACCAGATTCCCCAACCACAGAAACCAGGGCAGAGCTGCCTCGGAGCGGCTAAGAAACGGTGACACCATAGCTCGCTCAGGAGGAGCAACGCCAGGTTTGGGCAGGGGACGGCCCCGGCTGTGCGGGCGTATATAATATCAGCTAGCAGAGGCCAATCAATCCCGTCTCTCGTCCCCCTCCTCCAGCTGTGACACACCTGCCCCCCCAAAACACCCAACCCCTCTCCTCAATCACACCAGAGCTCATCAGCTTCCTTCGAGGTCTGATCCGAATTGATTGCCATTGCCATCCAACGCAGTCCGACAAGTCCATACACACCCAGTCGCACTCAGGCCAACGACCTCTTCACCCATCCCGCAAAAACACCACATCCACATCCACATCCAATCAAAAGCAACAATGTCCCGATCAAGAGCCCCCCTCCTCCTCGGCCTGACCGCCGCCGGCGGCGTCGGCTACTACCTCTACGGAGCCGGAGGCAACGCCAAGGTGGCCGAGAAGCAGTTCGAGGGTAAGCAGCACCGCCGCCGCCCTGATGATGGGCCCCCACTCTCAATGTCCGCGACAGGCTTAAGAGGCTTCAACTTTGGCTGACACCCTGCCCGCCCCAAAAAAACAGCCGACGTCCACAAGGCCTCCGCAAAGGTCAAGGCCGAGCTGCCCGGCCGCGGCAAGCAGTACGAGAAGGAGGCCGAGGCGACGGGCAAGCAGGCCGGCGCCAAGTTCGACGAGGCTGTATGTTGTTTGTTCTCTCTTTCCCCCTCCCTTCACCCCCCCCTCCCCTTCCCTGATCAATGCTGCCCTCTTCCCCACCTCACTGACATTACGATTCACTGACTAACCCCGGGAAAACAGCTCGCCAAGACCCAGGCCGAGCTCCAGAAGGGCAAGCAGGAGGCCGCCGCCTACGCGCGCGACGCCAAGAACGCCACCCTCCAGGAGATCGACAAGTTCGACAAGAAGGTCGAGGAGAAGGCCAGCCAGGCCAAGTCGGGCGTGTCGAGCTGGTTCGGCGGGAAGTAAGGGACGCAGACAGTCGGTCTCATGGGGAGAAGAAGCTGCTGGCGTGGAGGAGACGAGTTTACTTGTTGTCTGTGAAAGGATGATTTGAGCCAAGGGGGCTTTTCTTCCCCCCCCCCCCCCTTTTCTCTTTTGACGATTCTATACTTGACATGACCGGCGTGCGACGGCATAATGGAATTCACGATACTTTAATGGCAATTGCATTTTATATCCTCCGCCTGTCTGTCTTGGGGTGTTCTGTCTCTGCTGTGGTGATGTTCACAAGAACCCCGCCATTCGAGGCCCCCAACGCCGCCCGCCTTGTCGTTCGTTGTTGTCACCCACCGCCTCACGACACGCCGTCCGCAGCCTAAGCCGGCAGGGAGGCGGTGACGAGCTCGAGGATCTTGTCGACGCCCGCCCTCGCGTTCCGCGGGTCCTTGGCGACGGGCTGCCAGTACTCGCCGTGCCGGGGGTCGCTGGCGACGCACTTGCCCACGACCTCGCCCCTCTTCTCGTCGGTGCCGTGCTGCAGCAGGAACTTGTAGTACCACGCCCAGCTGTCGCCGACGTCCCCGTCCAGCACGATGGCCTTCTCGAACCAGCTCTGCGCCCGGTCCAGCCGCCGCTCCAGCCAGAAGATGCGCGCCACGGCGACGAACAGCACCGGGTCGTCCTCGACCTCCTTGATGGCCTGCAGCGCCAGCGGCTTGCGCTGCGTGCGCGCCTCGAGGTGCCAGATGCGCTCCGACCACAGCAGCCCGCTCTTGGGCATCTCCTTGAGCGCGGTGGCCATCAGGTTCTTGGCCTGCGCCGTGTTGCCCGCCCGCCGCTCCACGCGGATCAGCTCGCACCACAGCTCCGGCGACCTGGGGACCGCCGTCCGCGCCCGGTCCAGCACGCTGCGCGCCTTGACCGTCGCCCCGGCCTTCTCCTCGAGCCGCGAGTACAGGATCCACAGCGGCACGCTCTTGGGGCACGCCTTGACGCCGACGCCGTACGCCCCGCGCGCGCGGGCCACGTCGCCCCCGTCCTCGTAGATCTGGCCCTTGAGCATGTGCAGCTTCGGGCTGGCCGGGAACAGCTGCAGCGCGTCGCCCACGAGCGCGAGCGCCGCCTCGTTGTCGCCCTGCTGCCGCTCGAACACGACGCTGCGCACGAACACGCGGTCCGTCGGCGCCTGCTGCCGCGCCGTCTTGAGCAGCTCGCGCGCCTGCTCGGGGAAGTCGTGGTCCGACTCGAGCTTCACCGCCGCCAGCCAGATGTCCTCGTTGTTGGGGTTCTGCTGGAACGCCTCGCCCAGCACCTTGCGCGCCTCGTCCAGCTCGCCCGCCAGCAGCTTCTCCTTGGCCCGCATCAGCCACAGCACCTCGGACGTCGGGCACGCCTCCGTCGCCTTCTTGAGCACGTTCCACAGCGCCTCCTTGCTGCCGTGGTTCCGCTCCAGGTCCACCGCCTCCTTCCACACCGTCCTGCTCGTCGGGAACACGCGCAGCGTGTAGGCGTAGATGGCGCGCGCCGTCTCGTATTTGCCCCGGGCGATACTCATCTTGGCGTCTTCCATCCATGTGTCCCTGCGGTCGTCGTCCTCGTCTAGGCCCCAGCCAAGCGTCTCCTGGATGATGTTTGCGCACGTCAGGATCGCGCCCTCGCCCTCGCACTTCTCTGCCTCTGTGATCCACTCCTCGCGCTTGGGCATGGCCCCCTCCTTTGCGAGGGCGAGGACAGCTCGCTTCATCATGTTGACCTTGGAGTCGCCCAGTTGTTCCATCAGGCGTGCACCGGCAATCCAAATCTCGTGGCTCTGCGGGTTCGCCTTCTGGGCCTTCTGGATGACCTTCCTTGCGTTTTGTGGTTTCCCGAGGTGAGCCAGGGCAAGCCACAACTCGACACTGTTGGGTATCTCGTCTACCGCCTTGGCCAGTAGCAGCCTCGCGTCTTCTGGGTCCTCCTCCAGGTTGACCGCCTCCTTCCATAGCATCTCACTCTTGGGTATGTGTAGCAGCGCTTGCCTGATGACCTTCTTCTTCGACCGCGGGTCTGTCTCCAGCTTCATCGCTTCCACCCACAGCCTGACTGACTTATTGTTCGCCTTGATGGCGTCGGCAGCAATAATCTTTGCATTGCGAGCCTCGTTCAGTCTGATGTTCTCCAGCCACAGATCCTCCGAGCGAGGGTTCTTGGCACATCCCTTGGCTATCAGGTTCCTCGCCGCCACGGTCTTACCTGCCAGTTCCTCGACTCGGGCTGCCGCGATCCAGGCGGGTGGGTGCAGAGGGTTAGACTCGTATGCCGACTTTAGCAGCTTCCGCGCAAAGTCGACGTCCCCGACGCTGACCTCTGGGATCTCCCCAGCCCTGGCCATGGACGTGAGGTAGCCCTTCGCATCCACGCTTGTCGACGACCCTAGTGACGTCGCTGTGCCACTGCTCTGTGACGCCTGGTCGAGCCTCGCCTGGAGCACCTTGTCCCTCGCAGCACCGATCTTGGCGAAGTTGGTCATGGAGCCGTCCTTGGCGTCGCCGCCGTCGTCAGCCACGGTCGTGCCCATCTCGCCCACATCGCGCGCAGCTGCCAGCACGGAGTCGGGGACGGCGTAGAACCGCTGCCGCCGGGCCTCTCGCTCCCGCTTCGTCTTGCCGGTCATGTCCTTGACGTCGGGCAGGTTGGCCCACTCCTCGTCGGTGACGGAGCCGAGGGCCCGCTTCAGGTCGGCGAACTGCTGCTGGATCTTGGGGTTCTTGCGCTCGTATTCTTCGACCTCTTCGCGCTCGCGGGCTTCCCTGTGTGGAGAGAGAATGTTGTGTCGGTACTCTGCTCATCTATCATCACAAACGATAAACCTTTTGCTTGAAGAAGGTCAAGTGGTATGGAGGGGGGAGGGGGGGGGGAGGAGTGTGGGTAAAGGGGATATACAAGAAGGACGAACCTTTGCTTCTGGCGACGCTTTGCCATCTTCTCGTCTACCTCCTGCCATATGCGATCGGCCTCCTCGTCATCCTTCTCGTAGATGCCGCCGGCGAACAGGCCAACCTCGTTGTCCGGGTCCTGATAGCGGTTCCCATCGCCGCCACCGCCGGCGTCGTCATCGCCACCATCCTTAGCCTCGGTGAGACCAAGCTGCTCGGAGCGCTTCTTGATGGCGGACGAGATCTGCTCCTCGCTGGGGCCGTCGCGCGCAGGGCCCAGGTCGGACCGGGTGGTGAAGCCAACAGCACCTCGACCGATACCTGCGACGTAGTTCTCGGGTGCCGGTTGGCTGAGAAAGTCCCGACGACTGGCCATTGTGTCGATGGTGTGTGGTCAAATTCGCATTGTTTTGGGCAGGTGGGAAGAGAGGGCTGCGAATGCGACGGGCCTGGCCCAGGCCCCAAAAGCTGGAGCGGCTTGGCGGGAGCTTGGCCCCACGCTGATTGGCTGGGTCGGAGCCGACCCGGCAATCGTCGACAGCTGCAGTGCTAAAAGTGGCCACTTCCAGACATGCGACTGCACAGCTTTGACCTCTTCCAGTCATGCAGGATGCACTATCCTACGAGACATGCTCGCCTCTCGTCCCGATCAGCATGCGCCCAGGCTTGCTCACTCGATGTGGACGGTGTGTTTTATTCTTCGCATGCGGGGACCAAACAAATCCCTCTTCATTTACTCCAAAAATTCAAGATATTCATCAAACATGAGCGATACCTCGCAAATTTCTGCTAGACTTTCCTTTTAGCCAACAGCATGGCTTGAGTTTCTTGGTGATGTAGGACGAGTCTCTCGCCTGCATGTGGTCCCTATTGCTCCTGCTGCTCCTGTTGGTAGGACTAGAACGCACCTTCATCGATACCTAGGTAATTGTGTGTATTCGTGGCGGTTGTTGTTGTAGCTAAGTTCTAAAATGGTCTCTCCACGGAAGACGAACCCGTCTACTTGCCTAGGTACCCACCTTGGTAGGTAGGTAGTCCTAAGCCTACCTCGGTAACTTTCCTCCCACCCAACGAGAGCTCCTCCTCCTGACCCCCCCCCCTGCTCCTCCAGCTCCTCCCCCTTCCTCCTGTCTCTCCCGCAGACCTCCCGAGAAGAACTCCTTGTGGTCTATCAGCTGTGGGAAACTCTGGTCCAACCTCCCGTCCGCTTGATGGTGAGCAGGTTCCAGTATGACAGCGACAGTAGCTCCTCCTACAGCACCGATGTTCCCCAGGTGAGCAAAATGGCGTAGAACCCCTCGTCCACGTCCGTGAAGATGTCGTCATCCTGGCTGGGGCTGCTCAAACAATGCTCCAACTTGTCGATGATCGCAAGCGTCTCTGGGTTCACCACGGAGTGTTGCCATAAAATCCGCAAATTTGCGGTATTTCTCTGTGTGGCTCTTGCATGCTAAACAAAGGACTGCCACATCATCTCGGACGGCCAGAGTTTGTCGGCGTCCAAGTTCGTGTCTCGGTCCTTCATGATATCAAGGAGGACCATTGTTCCCGACTTCGCGTGAACTTCAAGTTGTGTACGACATATAGTGTCGGATCAATCCAAGACGCACGCGCCGGCTGGTGACCTCCGCCCATGCGGGACTCCCGCTCTGAACAAGTGCTGTGTGCAACCGTTGCCTGCCTCGCCGCCGTCGCCGCCCTCATCGGATGGGGGTTGGATCTTCAGTCGCGATGACATGTACGCGTATAGGCCGCACGGCGATATTGCAGCTTGTAGGTGGGGAAGTCCGCGAAATGCTCGTGCTCGTCGGACATGCTCATCGTGTGATTCTCTGAGGAAAGAAATACGTTCAACTGAGAATCCGTGGAGGGCTGAGACGCGAAGGTGGATATAAGGTCGTGACGGAAGACGAAGAGTAAACAAAGCAAAACGGGAGGCGATAATAAAAGTCAACAAATTCAGGGGTGCTTTGGAATTGGCAAGAGCATGCAGTTCCGTCATTGCCCGGCATCGGGGGCACGAGAATGGCCGTACGGAAGGCGCCCCGATCTAGATACACTGTCCCTTCATTCATGACTACCTAGGTACCTAGGTACCTGCCAGCAGCACGAAGAGAGACACCCGGTTGCCGCTCCCCGAAGGCAGAACGGAACCACCGAGGTCGTCTGAATGGTGGGGCACCAGGCCAGGCAGGTGAAGACTACTTGCGCACCTAGAAGAGTACTTTCCTATCCTATACCCGAGCCCTAAGGGATAACCTCTCATAGGATAACGTCCTATAGGATAGCCTCCTATAGGAAAACCTCCTATAGGAAAACATCTTATGGGATAATTGCTTGTATTTTGGTGCTGAACTAGCTTTGATCTCTGAGTTCACTGGTAAGGGTGTACCCTTCGTTTTGGTGGGTGCGAATATCTGATCTCTCTTAGGATGAGGATATGAATAAGGAGACTTGCTGCAGGAGGAACAAGATGAGGGCTTTGGATGATAAGGCTGTCCCTATAACCCGTGTGTGACTGGCTTATGCGTGAGGGTTAGAGTTAAATAATGAGAGGAAAAGGGCCAGGTTGAGAGTGGAATGGGGTGTAAGACTAGCCATGCTGTGTAACAAGAGGAACATCAATATTCCCAGCCGGGGGCAGTGAGCTGACAGGAGGGAGGAGCCTGGGTAAGAGATGCGCTTTATGCTGGCAAACACATTTCGCCATTTCAACCTTAATCACTTCTCGGGCGAATGTAACGACCAGCCAAGTCACGTTGAAATGCATCTCATCCATGTCAGTACGCTTCGCTTGCATGAATTCTACGATGATGCGGGACCCAAGTACGCAATACTCTCCCACACCTGGGAAGACGATGAGGTCAGCTTCAAGGACATGCAGTCGCTCGAGCTCAGTCAGCTGCGCCAAAAGCGGGGTTTCCAGAAGATCCAATATACGTGTGATGAAGCACACAAACGTGGGCTGCGCTGGGCGTGGGTCGACACTTGCTGTATTGACAAATCGAGCAGTGCCGAGCTTTCCGAGGCTATCAACTCGATGTATGCCTGGTATCAAAGAAGCGAAATTTGTTTCGCTTATCTGTCCGATGTGCCCCATGATGCACGTCCTCAGCCCATGCGGTCGAGTTTCAGACTAAGCAGGTGGTTTTCTCGGGGCTGGACCCTCCAAGAATTAATTGCCCCTGCCCAGGTGGTCTTTTATGGCGCGAATTGGACATTTATCGGAGACAAACTTCTGCTTTGCATGGTTCTGGAAGAGACCATCGGGATACCATGCGACCTGCTCCTGGGACAGGAAAGGATCGAGTCCTTCAGTATTGCACAAAGAATGGCATGGGCATCCAGACGTCAGACCACGAGAGTGGAGGACACAGCCTACTGCTTGCTCGGCTTGTGCGAGATCAACATGCCCCTGCTCTATGGGGAGGGTGGAAAAGCATTTCGGCGCCTACAGGAAGAGATTATTAAGCAAACGGACGACCAGTCACTCTTGGCTTGGACGGTCGACTCTGACAGTCCGATGGCATGGACACTCAGCAGCGTCCTCGCCACCTCCCCGGCCAACTTCGCGAAAAGTTCCCAAGTCCAAAATACACATGAGGAGCGAGGCGATCCTTCAATCGTCACCAAGAAGGGGGTACAGGTTCACGCGCCGTTGCTACCAATCCAGGACTACCCCATTGACAGAATCCTCTACAAGTACTGCGATCGCTCAACTGTGCATGGTCTCACTCTGTACAGAGTTCCACTGAATTGTGGGTTCCACTCATTGCGAGTCTGTCTGACGATTATGCAGATTGATTGGGACACCGTAGCGTCCAATAGGTTATGGGCACACAGTGGCCATAGGTCGTTCGAGGGAAATCTGTTCGTGCGCGTCCTTCTGCCTATGTGGGACACCGTACAGGATGAGTACACATTTCTTGATCCGGACTCTTTCGACAAATTCTTCCTGCGTACGAACATGGCGTCGTTACCCGAGACGCAGAATATCTTCAAGAGCAAGGGCGGTTCTTTCCATTTCCACGGTATCAAATTGACATATGGCAAGGCTGCACTTGATCACCGATTCGGCGAGAATCTAGGGAGCTGGCATCTCCGGGAGACGGTTGGTCACTTCAGAGAGGAGCAGACGGTTATTAAGACATTGGGTCCCATGAATGCATTCGGTTTCCTTTTTCTTCCGCGAATCCCTTGGAAACTGCCTTCAGATCAGGTATACTTGGGTAAGCATGGGTCAAAAGGATACCGCTTCAAGCCCCTGGCCAGAGACTGCCCCGCCAGTATGAAGTTCTTTATCATCGAAGGACCCACGGATTGTCCACCACTCTATCTAGTCTGTGGGACAACTCTAGACCCAGATGCGGGAGATTACAGAGGCAACCGACCTCGAAGGGTGCCTCGAGGGGGCGTGCTGGCCGAGCCATACATCTTTTGCAACCTGTTGCCGGAGCTGAGTGCAAAGCTCTTTCCGAGATGTAGTCTCATATTTTTCCAACCAAAGGGGCGTGTTGGCCCTCTTATTGCCCTCGAAGCCCGGCACGGCAGGACCGCCGTGTCGGTCGACCTGCACCGCGACAAAGGGTTCGACCCGCCAGGGGTCAAGAACAGGACTGGATTCGGGGCTCAGAGCCCACACTTCATCTTCGAGATTCATGCGAGGGCGATAGATGATTCAGCGACCAACTCCGATGAAGATGATTCAGCCACAGGCTCCGATGAATCAGCCCTAAGTTCCGATGAGTCTTCAGGTTCGCGCCAAATTTTCCTCGACAACAGTGAAGTGGATTCTGATCAAGGCATTGGTGGACGCGAAAGTGCAGAGGGGGGGGCCATATCCAGGCAGGTCTCGAAACCTCCACTCGCGCTTTCCTCGGGCTTCCGATCCCAAGCCTCTAGTCATACTCCATGTGCTACAAAGTATCAGTTTGAGGATTATTGGTGTGACATATACACGCGTGATCATGATGGCACACTGCAGTTTCGACAGCAGTACCGTTTATAGGGTAGTCAGGATTATAATGGACTATGAGCCGTTTACATACGGAATAGAAGCGAAACCAGGCAGATCAAGTGGACTAGTAAGCACCACGGCTGACGTGGCCAAGCGCCAAAGCAGGCGCGAATTCGGATTATTCAATCATTTAGCTTCAAGACATCAATGCGTCATATTGATAGGCCTCCAAATAATATCCCAAACTCATATGTACTCATATAATTTCATGTAATTCCTTCTTTGATTGTATTCACCGCAGAAGATCTTGTTAAGAGAATATAATCTAACCCGGTGCTATGCCCGTGGGAATACTTCCGCAGAAGAATGCCCAGGTAGGGTGATTTCGTTTTTGATCCCCATACATGTAAAATGTACGTGGTGCCTTTATATAGTGGTAAACGCTCAAGACCCAGTATTTGAAGAAATATAGTGCCAATAACGGTGGAAAGAGAATACAGTACGTGGGCACGTGGCTGAGCCTTAATGCCCAGGTAATATTGCGTGGACCATGTATGGCTTCGGAAACATACGGGTTAGAAACGAACGAGTTATTCGTGATGCGAATCTGTTCTAGTAGGGATTATTTGAAAAGAAGTAAGGATGAGTGACGAGGTCAAAGCTGCCCAGGTGTCGATATGGAGCCAGGAGCACTGCACCTTGGGCCAGAAAGACTGCATGGATACCTAGGTTCGGACATTTGAAAGAAGATGCTCTGGAATCTGCCGAGCCGACACACCGATTCCACCAGACAATGGGAGTCATGCGGTTATAGTGGTTACTAAAAGATGAGACAACGTGGTTATTTCGCCGTAAAGCCGTAGGGTGCGAGAGTGCTACAACCAGTTGCCCAGGTGATCGGGCTATCAAACCATTGACACCAGGGCAGATTTACTTACTTAGTAAGTGCCTAGGTACTTGAGTACCCACTAAACTAGGCCATCTACTCATTCATATACCATAGTGGCATCGACTACCAAGGTGACTCTTATAAGTGGGTTCGGCGACTTGCCTCGAGCCAATTTGGGTAACTGAGGCTACCTACCTAAATACACTAAGTAGCTAGGTAGGCAATCAAGTACCTAGTTATGTAAAAGCGCAACTGGACTTCTCTACACACAAATATAAATTACCCTGACTGAGATTCTCGCTCTGCTGAAACAACAACCGCTTTAAAAAATCGACTGATTACCCCATCCTTCTTCTTACGCCTTTTCGAAAGTCACCATTCAGCCGAGACAATAGGTAGCCTTCCAGCCAAGCCCTGACCGGTGCACAGGTCTGGTAACTTTGGAAGCCAACCACACTCGACTGTCATGGAACCCTGTGAAATTAGTTGTGCATTGTGCCTTTCAATAAACCTCGCTGATTGTCTGAGACCCGGGCATAGCGTTCTTTTCTACTTGGCAAAATTCAACAACCGGCAAACGAACCTTGTTCTTGCAAGGCTTTCTTCACAACAGAATACCCTTCGCAATCATGGGGGTATTCAATTCAAAGCTCGACAATGGTAACCAGAGTACCGGCCCGGGATCCGAGACGAGTCGATCGAAAACATCAAAGGCTGCTGTCTTCCAGCAGGAACTCATCTACTGGGAGAAGGTCTATCAAGAACGCTTCGCTAGGAAATTCATCTATTCACATTATACCCAGGACCCACTTTTCCTGCCTCATGGCGGAGGGCCTACGGTAAAAGCATCACCGTGGACAGAGCATCTTGACCCCGATAGTCACTCGAGTCGATGCAACCCTCGTTACAAAGACACTACGCCGGAGCCGCTGTCAAAGAAGCTGGCCGATCAAACAAGAGATGAGCTTAGGAAGATTTACTATGACCTCCTTCTACATGGCTCGCTGCGGCAGTGGATGAGGTTAGCTTGGATGACCGAATGTTGGCTATTGCCCCGTATCCCTTATTTGACAGACAAACTCATCTCTCCTCCTGCGAGCCAAATCCGGAATGGGCATATTTTACCCTCACGTGTCCGATCATACATCTCGGGTGAGGCTGAGGAAACACCCCTCGACCGAGATGCCTTTTCGAAGCAGAGGCTCGGCGACATTACGCTGTGGCCAAATATTAACGACCTTTCTCAACTTCCCGACGACAACATGCTTCTGACACGATGTTCATGGCTCAATCAGACGACTGCCATGTATTTTGAACCGGAGTTTGAGAATCTTAGACGACTCTATTTGGGTGTCCCGTACATTGGACGTGGCCTCTTTGCAGCCTGGCACAAGGCTGACGTAGAGAGAGGAAGGGAACCCAATCTGCAGCAGATGCGTTATTTCGCACACCCTATAATGCTGCTGGGCGGACCTGAACAAAGACCAATTGCGGATGTCATCGCCACACATAGACGGATGTGCAACGCCTTGGCGGATGCGCAAAACAAGCCCGTCGGTCCAAAGGATCCCTTCTCCTGGGTCGAACACGGAGCTGAGATGGGAGTGGTTTACCCATCTATCATTATTGTCGTCGACGATGCACGAGACGGCCAGCTATGGAGGGGCGGTTCCGAGGCCGAGGCTCGTGCAAATATGTTTGAGCACTTCAGCGTGTTGCTGGTGCGCACGGGGAATGAAGAACACTTGAGCGAGCCGATCGACCTCTCCGGTATCGGTGATGCCATGCTAGCTCTGGGCCGAGATGAGGTGTTGCAAGACAACCAGCAAGTGGTCCGGGTCTGCTTGGACACGGCTGTTCGCTTTGTTATGGACCTCGAGCACCGCGAGCAGGACCGCTGCCCCCGTCTTACGGCGATCAAGAAGATACTGGATCGAGAAACTTTCATTGCTGCTGATAAATTTGCCGCGGATTCGCTGGCGATGGCTTATGGAAATGGAAGCATTGACCGAAATTATGATACCTGGGTGGCGGTCCGCAGGGCCAGGGCTTGCCTTGATGGGGACTCCTTTCATGTCGACCCGAAGTTGGTTGAGCTAGACAAGAAGATGGACTATTGCGCTATTCGTACTCCGATGTGACAGGCTGGTGGTAACAACTGTAAGAGTTTGGACAGCAAGATCTACTCCCGGGTGTGCGACTGCAATGGGATTTGATTTGGGTTGTTTGCAGTCTCATTTCTAATATTATCCATTCATAAAGTGTATGCGGCGTCTTCATACAGTGCCCAGGTGGTCAACACTCAGAGACAGATTCAATTTACAACTTTCCGCTAAATACATCCCAGCTCTACCACTCATTCACCAACCTTTTCCATCCAGAGTACCTTGGAGGATAATCGGCTGTCTCCATAAGGGCTTCTTGTCGATTTTCTTTAATCGAACGTCGTAAAACCGCTATTCGGCGTTTTGGGTATTCATGCTGTGGCACAGTCAACGAATACCACCCCTGAATTGAACCTACACGCCACTAGATGATCGACATAATCTTCCGACGAATATCGAGACCCAATTCTCTTTATACAAGAATATTCGTGAAATGTCGCTCTCGTCGAGACCCTTCAGCCTCGAGGGATGGATGCGATGTAGCACGCTACGGTCATCAGATTGACCTTTGTATCGAGAATCTGTACGATACTACCAGAACGAATGTGAAACCATGCCATTTGAATAATTTGGAACTTCATTCGCTATCATTAAATGTGGTTCCTCCAAATCCTATATGATAGCCCTTTGGACGTGAAGCAGGCTGCAGGACCCATACCCACCGCCGACCGACTGCAGACTCCTCATTCATGGTTTGCCGGCGTACGTCTCAATGGGAGGCTGCGCCGTGGGAGGTTACGCCGTAGGAGGTTCTCCTGTGGTGAATTATCTTCTAGGTAGTCGGACCAAAAGATTCAAGTGTTTCTGGGCTGTTTGAGCAATTTTCTTGCCCTGCAGTGTCTTTGACTCGACTACAATGGCCCCATTGCTCCTGGAGATCTACAGACAGCTAGATACCTCGTCGAATGGGGAAATATACAGCATATTTAATGTCTCAACACGATACATAACATGATTATTCTAGCTTATGAGCCTGCCGAAAAAACCGCAGGCAACAGTGATGTTTACCGCACTAGGTCATAAGTGGACGTATCAGTATTTACGCCATTTCATGGTTTCATTGTACACGACACTTGAAATTTAGAAGTCAGTTCTCTTCTTTGTCTGCTTTCCCCCCAAATACTGCAGGACCTTTATCTCCTAATCGAAATTTAGATAATGGGGGTACTCGTAGCCTTTCAAGAAGACGGCTAGTGCCTGTTGTCTCAGCCTGGAAAGTGGTTCTTGACGCTGTACAGGAGCAATTGGTTGTTTGTTACTATGGACGGTCCGAGTACAGCCGCGGGCCCAATGTGATGACCAGACCATGAGGTCTCTTTAAGCTAAATACAAGCTTAACTCCGTCGTGTGCCAGCCAAGGAAGTCGCCCAGGGGTTCCATGTCATGACATGGTATGTCGCATCTGGCACGTGCCTGTGGGCATGGAAGGGAATAAACGCGGATCTGAACGAGGACGAACTCAGCCCGGTAAAGTCGTTTCGTTTCAGGAAAATTATCCTACAGGTGGATCTTGGCAAGTGCCGGCAGTAACGAATGACCCGCGTGGCCCGCTTCCCCACTGTGAACCCATGCTTAACATGAAATTAATAGGGATTACTGTGGACTGTTTGAATCAGGGAAATAGGGCGAATATCACCATTATAGCAGTGATCTACCACTGACACTATTCAGGGGTCAATGTGCCTTACAAAAACCTTGGCTGTGCCGGTTTGTTAACAATTGTGTAATATTGGCACTACACATCTTTACACTTGACCAACTCACCGTCGAAGCAGGGTCTTCACTTTCGTTCATTACAAAAACACACACTCGTTCAATACAAATCCGACCATATGTTCTTCAGCAAGTCCCAATTCGCAGCCCTTCTGCTGTCGGCATCTTCGGCCACGGCCAAGGCAGTCCTCGACAGCCGCCAGGCCGGAGTCGAGGATCTTGGTTGGGGCCCTATCTGTGGACTGCAGCCCACCAGGTCAGAGATCATCAGTACAACGAGCACAATCTACCCGGGAAAGATGCCGCAGGGTCAAAAGGGATACCTTTTTGCATGGATCGGGATCCAGGGAACGTCGAAATCAGGACAGCAGGAGGGAGACCTGGTTCAGAGCATCGTCGGCTCGTACCCTGCGGGATCGAGCGAGTGCTCCGGCCCTGACGCCGATTCCACTTGGTGCATCTCTTCCGAGGTCTACGGCAACGATGGGTCGGGCAACACAATCCAATTCGTGGGCGAAAAGAGGACGGCTGGCGTCAACTACGAGAACGGCATCGTCTTCAACTACACTCTGGTCGACAAGTCGACCTACATGTGGAAGCAGACCATGACTGATGCGGTCACGGGCGAAGTCCTTGCCACCTACAAGAAGACTTCCGGCCCCATGACGCTGTGGAACACTGCCATTGAGAAGCAGGACGCCAACGGCAACGACCCCACCGGCACGAACGAGCCCCAATACTACGTCAACACGACTATCGCCCTTGCTGAGGCCGACAGCTCATACGCGGACGGCATTTACGGCCAGAACGGTGCTACCTTCACTGACATGACCACGTCCGACAATGGCAAGACAGTAAGTTGTAGTCTTTTGCGGTTTCTCTGATCGACTTATTCCATGCGACGACTTATGGAGCACAGAGTGGTAGAAGAAATGGACGCTAATCAAGGTTCCGGCAGTGGTTTATCGAGAAGATCACCATCCCCGCCATGAACTGAAGGATGAGTCGAACAGTACGCGAGGTGTATCGCCATCATCCTATGATTCTTTGAGCCCACAAATATCCGCCAGTGTAAATATTGTGACGGTACGGGCTTATAAGTGTTGAATTCCAAGTCTAGACAACTTGGAATTGTGGTCTTTTGGCCGGGACGCCTATCGCGTAACAATCTATCGATCCGTCTCAAATATTAGCTTTCTGGCCGGGTTTAATATGCACTGGTAGATAAGAACGCATATATAGTTTCGCTTCTATTCCATATACATCTAAGGATATACTTAGCACCTTTATATAATAGTAAGTACTTAAAACCTAATACTTAAAAAGAATATAATACTAATAATAATAATTATAATATAATAGGTACTTATAACCTTAACTTTATAATATATAGATAAGGTTAAAGGATACTATTTTAATAATAACGTTAACTAAAATATTATAAAAAAGTTATATAATAAAATTAAATCTCTAAAAATAATCGCTATATAAATAAATCACACTAAGAAAAGCCTAACTAAAAATCATCCCTCTAAACATATATATATATATATATATATATACCTTATAATAAGACCCTCACTAGGTAAGCTAACACTATAACCCCTATTTAAATATATAGCTAACTTTAAAAGAACTTAAAATAAAGAAATAATTTATAATATACTACCTTTAAAACTTTTATAATAAAGTATTAAAATTTCTAAAAAAAATCCTAAAAGTAATTTATAAAAAAATAAAGGGAGGGTATAATAAACTTATTCTCCTTTAAGTTTATACTTTTATTATTAATAACTATTAACTTTTTAATAATATAGAAAAGTATAATAAAAATAAAGAAAAAGGTGGATTTAAAGTTCCTTTTTAAAAGAACTATAAAGATATATATAAAGTTATTAAAGACTTTATATATAAGCTTTAAATTAAGGAAGAAATAAGTAGTTGAATTAAAAAATAGTTATATAGTATAAAGGAAAAATATAGTGTGGCTAAAGCTTAAGAACGTATATATATAGAGAAACCCTTGCATTCCTAGTATAATTCCGCCTTCTTCATACTATTAATAAAATTACCTATAGCCTAGCCTACCTAAGTAGGTGCAATGGTATAGTTTTTTTTAAAAAAATCTCTATTTATAGAAATTTTAAATACTATTTATATAGAAGGATATAACTTATATAATAAATAATTAATACTTTTATATAAATACTTTATATATATATTATATATTAAAATTTATATATATTTTTACTTTTATTTATATTATTTTACTTTTATTTTATATAAATTTAAAAATATATAAAATATCTTTATATAATAATAAATATTTAAAACTTAATAATTAAAAAGTATATAATTATATAAAGGTTAACCTTTATTTTAAAAATAGAATAAAGATTTATAAAGTAAAAAACGGAGAGTATAAAGTAACGTATACCCTTAGTGCGCCAACCTTAATTTAGACTACTAATCTACTATATAAAATAATAATATATAATTATTAACTATTTATATATCTATCACTTTATATAAATACTACTTTTATTACTTCTACTTACCCTTATTACTTCTACTTACCTCTATTACTTCTACTTACCCCTATTACTTCTACTTACCTTTATTACTTCTACTTACCCCTATCGCTTCTTCTATATTAATAGTTTACTACTACTTTCCTTATCGTCGCTTAGAGCGCTCTAGCAAGTCTTTAAATACTTAAATCTCCTCCTAAATCTCCTCTTATAAATTAATAAGTTTATAGGTTAGAATATACACTTAGTGTAAGTATTAAAGTGTAAAAAGTACTTAGTTAGGGTGGTATAGGTAGTAAAGTAAGGTTGAATAAAACTCTTTAATTAGCTAGTAGTACTTCTTACTTTATACCCTTTATTTTTAACTCTTTAAATCTCTATTCTCTTTTAAAAAAGTTAATTAATATTAAAATAATTAATATATTTTTAAAAAAGTTAAAAGATTATAAACTTAGTTTAAAGTATATTAAAATCTATAAAAATCTTAAAGTTAAACTTAAAAATATTCACTTAAAGTTTTTATTTATAAAATAAAAGTATAAATAAAGGTTAAAATAAATTGAAAAATAAATTGAAAAATAAATTAAATTATAATATAATATAATAATTAAATAAAAGTTAATTAAAAATTATAATTATAATTCTTTTAATTTTATATTAAAATAAGTTAATTATAAATATTAATATAAAATATTATTAAAAATTAAAATAAATTATTAATTATATTAAAAATTAAATATTAAAATTATATTTTTAAATAAAATTAATTAAAAGAAAATAAAAAAGTAATTTTAATAAAAAATTATAATTAAAATAAAATAAAATAATTATAATAATTAAAATTAAAGTTATTAAAATATAAATAACTTATATAAAGATTATTAATAATTAAAATTAATAATTTTATAACGTAAATAAATATTATTAAAAAATAAACTTTAAAATTATAAATTATAAATAATTATCTTATAAAAATATTAATTAATTATTTTATTCTATTACAAAATTTATTAAGTTATTAGATAGCACTTTGTTCTAATAGTAGGGGTGTTCTACTAGTAGGGGTTGGATAGTATGGTGTAGGCACTTGGTATCTCCACGGAATCCCCCTCGGAGCATAGGGATTCGCACAAGAGAATCAATTGGTCCTTGACCGCATGAGCCTGTTTTGCTTCCTTTGTGTCGGTTGAAACGAACAGCAAGGTTTGCATCTCCCATATTAAGCTAAGGCCTCTCGATGGAGGTGAGTCTCAGTAGAGTCGCGGCCATGATTTTGAATGATAGTAACCACCATGGCGAGGGTTTCAACCCTGTTATTTGTGTTTACTCTGCCATTCAAAATCTGTTTCTTGACCTTTTCCCAGCCTGGTTTGCCGTGTGCAATCCGAGCGGCAGGGGAGGTCGCAGAACATAACATTATGCCAGCTAAATTCAAGACTCCTCTGCCCACGCAAGGGCAAGAAGGTCCAAGGATCCCATGGATCTGACAATAAGGTCCCATCGTGCCACGGCCCTTTCGTCAGCTTGTGGCTTTCTATGTACCTCGTAGCTATGAATATCTAGCCTAGACCCGAGATTGACTCGTCTCTGGTACCCAGAATCAGAGTGTCGCCTGCGCGTAATCACTCGAAAATGTAGTACGTCGTTTCCGAGATTTATCGATAGACAATAGAGGGGTATAGCGTCACATCGCTACCGAACCGATTCCGCCGGGCCTTCGCCCGGCTCACGCCGGGTCTAAAGGGACATTAAACTTTGTCGTGCAAGAAGACGGACATCTGGACGAGTGGAAAATTGGTAGAGCTTGCGCATTAGTGGCAAACCATCTGACTCGTACCCTAGGGTACACTTCTCAAAGCTCTCGAGCTAAATATTTGGGTTCGGTGCCACCCGCCCGCACATTTACAAGTCCTCCAAATGTTTCTCCACACCAGCCCCGGACAGAGAACACCATCTCATGGAATAAGATTCCCGAGTTCTACGGTGCTGATCTGCAGGATCGAACAGCACGCGTCGTCAGACAGTATATGGAGCTTCAGGGTAGGGTGCCGCGGGAGGGAGCCGGTGCTCCGCCGCTGGGGGAGGTGGCTGACACGCGCAATCCTGAAGATGTCTTGCATAGCGTCAGCATCGCTGTGATGATCATTGTACTGTGTCTCACAACGCCTCTATTCCTTTTGCGAGTCTATGTTAGATCGATTGTTCTACGAGACCTGGGAAGAGAAGAATGTAAGTCACAGCCGACTATGGGCTCATTTCCGAGCATGGGTTAATGCCGCACTTGTGCGAAGGAGTTGGCTAACAGACAATGTTCTTGTAGGGAGTTGCCTCATGGGATACGTATGATGGGTTTGATTAGACATCGACCAACTTGTCGCAGATATGCTGACCGGAGCAGGTGTCTTTGCTCTCTTATTGGGTTAACTCAATATTCAGTGAGTCCAGTCGCACACATCATGAAGGATAATGATCATTTGAGTCTCACACATGAAAGTGTATCGACATGGACTAGGTATTTGCAATCTCAAAAATATTTCACGAAAAGTTGCGGAACTTGTGAGCTGACGATGAACGAGGCTATCATCTGTGGGACGTATCGCCAGAAGATCTGGTTCAATTTCAAATGGTGAGAGGGATGACACTCAGACTGGGCAAGGATATTAACCACTGCATCTAGTACGCATTTATCGCTTCTATCTGCTACAGTGTTGCAAGCTTCTGGACCAAACTGGCCCTTCTCCTCTTACTCGGACGGGTCTTGAAGCAATTCAGCAAAACAACCCTGCTCATCTGGGCGACGATCGCCTTCCAAGTCGCATTCTGCATAGCCATCACCGTCGTCAAGATCGTGATTTGCCTTCCCATCGAGGGGGTCTGGGACAAGTCTGTGCGGTCCCAGTGCCTCGACAGGAAGGGAATCTTCATAGCCGACACAGCAGTCGCGTCGGTTTCTGACCTTGTGATACTCTTCCCGCCCATAATTCTGACATGTTCCCTTACTTTTTCACCGATGAAAAAAATCAGGATCATGCTGATGCTGGGGGCTGGGGGTCTGGCCACCGCGACAAGCTTCGCGAGGCTTGGAATGATGCTTCAGGAAGACAGCTTTGACGATCCCACGGTGAATTTTGCGAAGTTCAATCTGCTTGGGTAAGGGTTCTATCCCTCTACCTCATTACCGAGGCATCCGACCAGGCTAAGGGGACAGCATAGCTGACCACCATGTTTGACCATAGGATGTCTGAGATATGCATTGGTCTCATCTGTGCCGTGAGTATATTTCAAGTCCTTGCAGGTCTCGGGAACGCAGAATTTCTGCCTATCCATTGGACTGACCAGATTGTCTGTCAGTGTCTCCCGTCTTTGAGTATACTTGTAGAAAAGTGCAAAGCGACGGCAGGGCCGCAAGCTGGTCGATACGTGTTCCCGTCGATTCTCAGGAATCCGCTCCAAGCACGCGGCATCC